CATGGAGTTAGACTTTCACACACTGTTTTATACAGTAAAATATTTGAGAACTTGAGATAGATCATAATGGCATGCCTTGAGAAATACAACATAGATAGACGGGAGTTTATTGCAGTTATGCTATCTGATGTTGGAAAGATGATGAGATTAAATACAATAGAACAGTTAAATAAACTATGCTATCCGGCATAACTGTGGTGAGGTTCATGTTGCCACACTTCAAAATAGCATATTGCAAAACAATGCCAAAACTAGTGAGATGCACAAATAAGGAAGAAAGAAGTCAAAAGTAGTAGAAAGTCTACAAAAGAAGAATATGAAAGCATAAAACAAACAATGAAATTCGGTATGAAGATTAGGATGATAATTTTATGTGAGTGCATGTGAACATACTTAAGTCAACATGGTGCAACGAGGTGGACGGTAATTAGGAATGTACAACACATTTCCTAGCCACCTGAATCCATGTACATCTAAAACCTCATCGATTGACTCTTGTCTCCTTCCTAAAACTCTACATCTAAGTTACTAAAGTAATAACACCACAACAGATGACCTGCGCTGCGAAAACAAAAGTAGTCGAACATATCAAGCCTCTTTCTGTGTACTTTATCTTAGATGAAAATGTTTCACAGTTATACAGCGGGAAAAATCGGAGTGTAGAGCAATACACTAGACCTTCGATAGATAACCGGGTATCACAACAGACTCATAAATGGTGTAAGTTGGCTGAAGCTAATCGAGGACTTTTTTTAATCTATGCAAAGATATAACCTCGCCTGGTTAACTAGTTAACTAGTTACTAGCAGGTCCTAAGCCCCTATAAAGAGGGAAGGTCAGGCATAGGGCTAGCAACCCTACCCCGGAAAACAAATCCAACCGCTTAACTAACTTCAAAGCACAAACAAAATATAAAAAAATAAAAACAAAATTATTCCTCGCTGGAATCGGAGAGGCGAAATGACTGTGGTTGGTGAAAGCCTTCGAAAAGCCAATTGGCCGATGTGTCTTCTCTCGATAAAAGCGAAAGTAAACGTGGGGACATGGAATGTCCGCACCATGTTTGAAGCCAGCAAGGTATACTACGACCGGAACAGGCACGCTTCAGGAAGTACAAATCATGTGCGGATCAAATTGCAACGCTTCGCATCATCATAGAACAGAGTATAGAATGACAGTCAACTATCCACCTCAACTTCATCCACTTTGAAAAAGCCTTCGATAGTGTCGACCGACAAGTAATCTGGCAGGCAGCTGCTCCAACACTACGCTTCTAGTGCCACAAACCTTTATCAACCTCATTCAACAACTATATGAAGACGCCACATGCCAAGCAATTCACAATGGTGATTCACCTTAGTGATGCTTTTGAAGTGAAGACAGGAGTAAAACAAGGCTGCCGCCTACTATCACGCATGATATTCTTGATTGTGGTCGACTGGATCATGCAACAAACAGTGAGGAGCTGTGAGAAGAGGCGGATACTCTGGACCGGGGAAAAGAACCTAGAACATTTGGATTTCGCCGACGACTTATGTCTAATGTCACACAAACTGGAAGATCTACAGGCGAAATTCAACAAAGTTAACAGAAGATGCAGAGCAGCGAAGACGGGACTACAATTGAAGGTGATGAAGATACCCAACCAACGCCACCAACAACAACAATAAGCTCCAATCACCATATACGGGAGAAACTTAAAGGAAGTAGTCTTTTTCATCTATCTAGGTAGCACTGTTTCAACTACAGGTGGCATAGGCACAGACGAGGATGTCAAAGTCAGAATCGGAAAAGCAGGACAGGCATTCATCAGCCTGAAACCAGTGTGGAAATCTTCTGCACTCAGCATGTGGAACAACATCCGGATTTTCAACACCAATGTCAACTCAGTGCTTCTGTATGGCTCATGGACTTGGTGCATTACGAAAGGGATTTCCAATAAACTACAGACATTCATCAACAACTGACTAAACTGGCTCGTTACTGAAGATCAGATGGCCAGAATAGTCAGAATAAGCAACAAGGAACTCTGGCTGTCAACGAACCAACCAACAACCTATCGCTGAACAAATATGCAGAAGGAAGTGGAGATGGATTGGTCATACACTGAGAAGGCCGACTAGAGACATCACACGTCAGGCCAGGCCAGGTACTCGAGTGGAACCCCCATAGGAAGCAACGAGTTGGGCGTCTGACGTGAGGGTGACATGGAGTAGGTCATGTGAGGAAGAAAGGAGAGCTTGTGGGCTGTCGTGGAACCAGATTCAAAAGATTTCAGAGAAGAGAGTACACTGGAGACGTGCTACTGAAGCCCTATGTTCCATTAGGAACCCAAAGAACAAATAAATAATAATATAATAAATAATGCGCAAAGATATCGTCGGTCACTAACCCATCTGGGCTGATACAACTTTTTAACTATGTGAAGCCGTGAAGGCGAAAAACTAATTACCTTCTTATTGCTAAAAAAAGACGCTAGCGAAGGCCAGAAGTGGGGTAACATTTTGTATTTGAGTAGTGAGAAATGCATGCAAAGCATCTCGAAATGTCACTCAGGATGTTCAGTAGACTCTGTATGTTTTCATAGCCTTCACCTATTAAGACTTTTTCATCTGCATACTCTAGGTCTACTAAGAAGTCTCTGGTGACAAGATGAATCCCTGTACGGTCAGATGAGGAGAGAGGGAAATCCATACACAAATATATAACAAAGTTACATAAAAATCCAGAAAGTAGACCTTCATGAGCAACAACACGCGACGTAAAACAACTTATCTGATAACTTACCACAGGTTCCAACATTATCATGAGTGTCTAAATACAAAGCTTTCGAGAGGGTGGTGTGAAAAAACAGCTATAAGACCTCCCGATCAGTCAAGCCGAATATTACCTTCATATCGAAAACCACAAACAGTGATGACTGTTGGTAATTATGTCTATGTTCCAGAACTTAGCGGAGGGTGAATATGTAGTCGATACACCCACAGATGTTCCTGAAACCTGCCTGTTTTACTCAGGTTTGCTGTTTCCGAACTTCAATTGAATATTTAATGACTACAGAATCTAGGATCGCAGACAATATGTTCATCAAACTGGTTCTCCTGTAGTTATCACAAGAGGATTCCTCTCATTACTTGCGGACTATGACAATCAGTGAGAGAGACAAGTCCAAAAAGATCATATTTGATTCCTTATACGCTACTTGAGACTTCAGTCAGTTATGCCGATAATCCGTTGACTACCATCCTTATCATAGAGAATACTAAAAAGCAAAGGCTATGTTTCTAATGCCGTGATAGAAGAAGGTTTTACAAAAGCGAATAACCAATCAGATAAACGAGCTTATTATTTAATTAACAGTTAGTACAGAAGAAAAGTTGGACTACTTGTATAAATTCTCGTGCGAAGCTGTTTCAAGAAACCGAATACATCCTATACTGTTTTAGCATTATTTTTAATACAAGATATCATTTATTATATTTTCTTGTTTTCACCCTTTTCAATAAGAGCTGTACTTATTTATACTGTTAGTTGGCTGAAGGTAATCGGCAGGAAGCCCTGGACCTAGTTTTCGTGCTTGTTAGCACGCGTCAGCAGGGTGTATTTGGGACCTTGACGGAACTGATGTTCCTCGCCTGAGATTTGAACCCACGTCACCGTGTTGTAGTCAGGCACCTTATTACTGAGCTATTCGGGGCGCGATTCACCTCTTCTTCGACTGGGTTACATGTATTGATTAGTCACGGGAGAGCAACCAATTTCATGTTGTCTAGTCCTGATTGCAGACCACATTCTATCGATCGTATTTGCAATGTGGCCAGCAAACAAAAAAGCTCAGCATCGCGGTGCACATTAGTAGATATTATTTTGTTAAAGGCATAGAAATAAAACAAACCAATGAGTAAGTAGGTTGGCCGAAGATGGGGATCATTGTTTTAGACGTCCGATTTCCAACCGACAGGTAACACATTCAAACTCTGCCCCACTGACTGAGATCTGAGTAACCAGGTAATATCATAAGGTCCCGTACATAGGAACGGTTGACTGTCTAGTACTGAAATCTGTGCATCGTTGCCGAGTTACACTCTTTTTTTGAACTTTATGTTACTCGGCCGATAGCTTCTAACTTGACGAGGAGCTAGGGCTTACGCTTCAGAATGACCCAACGAGCTACACTGGCTGGTTCGAGGTCCAACAATACCACAAACGTCCCTTGGATAGTGGTGAGATGAAAAGAATTCAACGTTGCAGCGTAAATTACTACAGTGTGATGGGGGTCTGATGGGGAAGTCGTACAGCTGCTAGCTGGATGAAGTATGAAGGCAGTAAAGTTTTTCCTTCGGATGACCACGAGTGCTATGCTGATGCTTCCTTCCCAAAGGTAAGGTAGAAGGTTAGAAAAGGTCGACTGCCAAAATAACATCCTAACCTCTCTACGGTTTTCCGGTGTCGGCGATATGGGTTTTCTCTATCTGGTGTTAGAACAACCAGACCTCTATACAACAAACCCACAAAAGTCTGTATGTGACCCGACTAAAATAGGTGTCTCATGAACTCTATGGTCACACAGATCTTTTTCTCTTTCAAGTACCTGAAAAAGATATACCGTTCCAAGATATGGGCAGCTATGAAAAATCAACCACCCATTGGCTTCCAGTAGTACGCAAGACCCAATCAAACATAACCTATCCTCTCCTAATTAAGTAGATTGATAAATCTTAAAGTTCGATATAAGTGAAATGGATAGATGAAGCAAATTCAACACTATATTTATGCCTTCTAGCTGATTTACACTTAAAGATGAAATACAGCAAAACGTCATCATAATAAACTGATCTTTATAATAGAGAGAGATATTCAACCAGAGTCGTATTTTAAACAATTTTTTATAACTTAATAAGTAGAAACACACCACAACCAAACAAAAATATACAACAGAACAAGAACAAAACAATATAGACTGGAACCTGTTTTGATATAGTTTTAAAAAGGAGACTTACGGAGTGTTATCCGGTTTCGAGGCTTCATCAACCATCAAGCATTGTAATAAACTTTGAACATCAGATGACTTTTTATAGATTTGTCGAAGATAACATATAAATTCACCTGAAACAGATATGTAACATAGAAACTAGTATAAGAAGAATTAGAAAGGCAGACGCTTTACTCCACATTCCTGCTTCAACTTTTAAAACAAGCATATTGTTAACAATCGAATTTACTACCATGATTTGTTTTGTGATTATGCATGATCATTAGAATCACTCAATAACCTTGTGCACATTCGTACTGGGTTCGGACCTATGACCCACTGTTTGGAAGTCAACTCCCTAAACCGAAGATTCAAGGCTTCATTGCACGACTATGATCTATGTCTTTACTAATTGGTCAGCCTAGATAACAACTATTGCAGCTACCAACTTCTAAAGGGCTTGGAACTGATAGATGTTTATCGAATTTATTTACAATATACAGCTGAAACTAACCGATAAGACAGTAAGATGCATTAGGTTTTGGAAACTTAATCTGACCTGAATAGATTAGTAGTAAGATATCCCCGTATATCACTAAGTGAAGCAGGTACCGAACTTCGAGCGAAGATGAGTTTCTGCAGAGTTATTTATCTATCAGTCTAACATATATATAATAACGGAAGCACCCTTTCAAATTATGAACTTATTCACTGAAACACTACTAATCTTAATCAAAACACAGAAAAGGAATTCATGCAGCTTATCTTTTCGCTCTTCTTCTACATCGTTCTCATAGCAGATCCCAGCATTACATTTTACTTAACCGCCTAGATTAAATCGAGTTATCATCAAGTGGTCATATGAAGATCCATCAAATAAAACTGTAGCTCATTGGCTCAAGGGTCCAGTTTTCAAAAAAATAGTGCCAGCGTTCATATCCCGTTCCACTTATTTCGTCCTGGATAGCCTAGCAATATCACGAGCCCTTATCATACAATAAGTGTGGCGGTTGAGTGACATTACTTTCTTATACTTATTTATTTATAGGCTCTAAGTTTATGAACTTAAAAATCTGATATTCGACTAAGAACAAGATGATATGGTTTTTAAAGCTTTCAAAACTAATTCCAGCCATCAATTGATTAAGATACGAATATCTGTGTTTCAAATCTGAGGGGAGATTTAATAATCACTGAGATGTTTTATCCGTTACCCGACCATATTAAAGTTAAGTCAAATAATGTACGTAGAAGTGAAGAACAAACAGAAAAAACAGATGAAAAGTAAGTCTAATAAAATAATTTTGCCAAGTACTCCTTCAAACATTTTCTGTGCACGATGTTATTTAACAAGCTAATAGTTATGTAACTGAAAAAAACAGCAAACAGAATGCAAACCGAAAGTATATACACTATTTGCAATGACTTCCATGAAGTTGAAAGATGCCAAAAATGTACCACCTGACAACTTTACGGTTTTATAAGTCTATTTCCACTGTAAATCATTTGTCATTGTTTACATACATTAGTAATGCCTATCAGGTCAAGTCTTGTCAATAGTATACATACATAGTGAATTTGGTTGCTTCCAGAAGGATATTTTCCATTGATTTTGTTACTTCAACTAAACTAGTATTTAGACATATAATCATGCACTTTTTCTAAGACTCGGAAGATCTTAGTGACTATGAGCTGCTTTGAAGAATTTATAGGATAATACTTTACGTTACTGTTATCTTTTCGTTTCTTGTGTGTTCGTACGAATTTTTTAATAAACTGAGGAGGATAATTATTAACTATTGGCGCTTCTTTTACGTGTTTCAATTCCGTGCTCAGGTCCTTGCACTGACTAGTCAGTTTTCTAGCTCCATAACTCAGACATTTGACTAAGCCTGACTTAACTGACATTGGATGAGAAAACTTGAAGTTTAGATACCTGTTGGGATGTATCGGTTTTCTGTAGACGGTAGTATTCAAACCACCATATGTCCTTCGTTTTATCCTGCAATTCAACATAGGTAATTCTCCTTGTTCATTTTATACCTCATAAGTGAATTGAATTGAGCCTACTACTGAGTTTATAAGTGTTAGGAAATTTTAGACATGTTCCGATTTCAACACAGTAAATGTGTCATCCACATATCGCCACCATATCACAGGTGCAGGACTGAACGTTTGTAAAGCCGTGTTTCCCCAAGTATCCATTATATATATATATATATATATATATATCTGCTCCAATTGGGGATATTAGTGATCCCATTGCTACTCCTTCTGCTTATCTGTATATTTTGTCCTGAAACTTGAAGACTGTGGAGGTCAGACACAACTGTACGCCTAATACGATCTCATCAACCGATATCTTAGTTCTGTGAGTAAGTTCCGAGTCAACACTTAGTTGACTTCTGACTGCCTTCAGTGCTATATTGATTGGTATTTTAGTATAAAGACTTGTTACATCGAAGTTAACATTTTTTTTCATCCTCTTCCATATGTAGGTCATTAAGCCCAAGTTAGGTAAGGATACTTTAAATAGACAACAGTATTCAATATATATGCACAATTTATCCTAAGAATATACACCAAAGATGAATTTATTCAGTAGCAACGTCTTGGATTAAGTGAAAATATCAAAAAATGAGAAAATAGGCCAACTTACGCCAGTAACAACGACGTGAGACCAAAGAATACTGTGATGGAAAACTCATCAAGACACTTAATTCACATTCCAGTTGAGATCTATGAATATGGTTATTATTTTTTTCAAAAGATATGAAAAGCAAATAAACAGAAACATAGATTTATGAGAGAAACGTAAACTTTCATATATATATATATATATATATATATATATATATATATATATATATATGCATACTATGGATAAGGACTTGCGCGGATACTATAGTTCAACAATTCAACTCCAACCAACTAACTGAAACCTGACGTGAACATTTTCAGTGAGTTCCACTTGATGTATAACGACTCATCTTATGAGCCCAATCGTTTAACATGAAGTATATGGAGAGTGATTTAACTCTGACCTCAATGGTTGGCAGTCAAATGCCGAAAGCAGTGGGTTGAGCCTTTATAATCAATATATAACAGAACAGATATAGAGAGATATAGAGAACAGAATTCTATGCGATAGAAATAGTGGAGGGGGGCAGAGGGGGAAGGAGTCCCCCATATAGGTTTATTTATACTTGCCTAAAATCGTTCGGGAAAGAGATTTCTCGAATATAAATGATCCCATTAAAAATCTACACACACCATATCAATTTCAATTAAATTACTGAATACATACAATATAGAACGATTGTAAAAAAATTTAACCTTTCCAAAACAAAATAAAAAATGCTTAACTAGCTTGTCACAGTTGTTACACAACGCACACAATGTTTAATTCATTTTCCTTAATTAGTAACCTTCCAGCGCCCCACTATGCACTTTTATCGGGTGGTCAGGAATGTTAATATTGAGAAACAACGGGAATCATGAAGAAACAAAGCAAAGAATCATCTTCAGATAACACATTCAACACAATCTTAGCTGAAAATATCAAAAGATTTCCTGGAAATCAAGTCACTCATGATTAAATCTTCACTTCGAGTTTCTATGCAATCCACATAGACAATCAGTTGCTTAACAAGGCTTGTACTCTGTTTTCACCTTTTCACCATCATTTGTGATCAATACAGAATGAATCCTAACCCAAAACTTGCTTTCTATACTAATAACTTGAATAAATGTAACAATATCCCACATAGAGAGAAGTCTATAGATATAACAAAACGCGTCATTCAAGTAGTCGACGTGATTTCAGACAGTTAGTTAAAACAATCGATTAAAATCTATGCCAATGTTGAAAATAACAATAAAAGAGAGGTCTAGATTGCCAACCAAGACAAAATGACACAACAACCAAAAGACCAACCATCTTAACAAATAAAACATGCAATAAATAATATTTTCATTGAAACAGGTTTGTTCCAATTTACTACAAATGTTACACTGTTATAAACTGCTTGCTTTCAACAGATCATAAGATATGTACAACCGATAGGCTGGATCATGAAAGACAATGCATATACTCAGTTTCACAGACTAATTGGTACCCAAAGACTTCACTTTGTGGAACAGTGAAGACAAACTATCCACAAATATACCTGCCTTCATGAAACTCTTATCTACAGGTAGCCAGATTATGCAACCGATAACTTCGATCGACTACTAAACTCACTCTCCACACCAATTATTTTTCATCTAACCTCACAGACATTTTCACTCGCAATAGCTAACAACTAACGAGTCAAATTCTGTTAATTTCCCCTGAAATTGATCCCATAAATTCACCTGCAGTCGTGGTGATACTTACTCAAGTGCTGTTGGAAACAGCATTTTCTTCAATGGTTGTTTAATCACATAATCAAACCGAATGTACTTAACATCAATACGAGTTCAGTAGTTATTGATAAATGGTTACATAATGAGAGCTAATGGTCATTTTTCATTGGTCGCATACAACTTCGAATAAACAAAATTAAGGGGAATGAAGACAAAATGATTAACCTTTCAATCGTTACACAATACATCAACAGAATGTTATTCAAAGTAACAGAAGCATCAAGGATTAACCATACACACCTAAACGTTTATTCTTCAGAAAGTTATAGATGTGACATTCACCTGCCATGGACTATTTCAACAATAATATACTGACTAGTCATCAATATCTCATATAACTAAGCATATTGTTACATCCGTAATTGTAGTAAACTGTGTTATTTGGAGTATGATTGAAGAAAAACTAAAAATTGATATCACTACGGAATAATTTGTCTTTTGAATACTTTAACTGGAACTTTTAAAAATTCATCCATCCATTCAAACCAACATAGGATCAGGCATTACTGCGTAACGCTCCAAGTTCCCACAACTCATATCACCACATCAAGTAAACAAGGCAGTCAAATGCAAGATGAAGAAAACAAAATCCACTCAAAAGAAATATAAAGTACTAAAAGAGAGAAAAGAAAAATGAGAAAGTGGTGACATTCGGGGTAGCGTCGTTAAGATGACGACAATGTGTGTATACATCTCTCCACACACGTCGGTTCTCAACCATGCTATCACCTACAGTCTCCAACCGCTCACTGGTTCCTCTCATCTCGCCGACCCCAACCACACAGTCAGCATCGCCACACATTGCTCAAACCAACAGTCAAACACTTCATACATTCATACCATGTTTTAGTCTGTCGCCCCACCGACGGAGCCTTTTTCCAGCCTGAACCTACTTCGGCCAACATTGTGTGACGAGGCAGACGGCGACTAGGCATACACAACACATGTCTCAGTCACCCATCTCAGTCCATGAAGGTTCACAACCTCATCAACTGACTTACCTCTTCTTCCTAAAACTCTCTACACCTGACTTGTGTTACTCACATGGTGACACCACGGAATTCGGCCTATACTACGAAGGCAACGGTGGTCAAACACTTGAAGCCAGCCTTCTCATGTCTTCTACCTTCAATGGCCATGTATCACAGCATACAGTAGAACAGACCGGACTGCTGTGCAGTACACGCCACCCCTAGTAGACAAACGGATATCACGGCGGCACCATAGGTGGCGTAAATTGGCAAAGCCAATCGAGCCTTTTGTATCCGTGCAGAGATTTCATCGGCCACTGATCAACGCACGAAGGCTGGTTCTACTTCCCAGGTAAGTGGAGTGGTTGACACGCTTAATCACTACACTCTCTATTGTTAGCCGCGGTGGGGCACCGCTGAAGACCAATCCTGGAGAAACAATCTGCATTTAGATACTGAGAAACGCATCCCAAACATTTTCGAATTGCCACTCAAAGTGTTCAGAAGACTGCATTTTGTCACCCTCTTCACCTAACAGGAATATGTCATCTGCATATTCTAGGTCCAACGAAAATTCTCCCGCGATTAGGTCAACCTCTGTGTAGTCAGGTCACGAGAGAAACCTCCATGAAAATATTCATGGTGAAACTGAATAAGAATGGAGACAGTGAGCACCCTTGACGGACACTACTCGAGGAGTTTAGCTCCCCTGACACCTCACCATAGGCTGTAACACGTCTACAAATGTTCGAGTAGAGAGCCTTCAATAAGGTGATGTACTTACTCGGCACGCCTTTCGGTGAGAGACATTGTCATAAGAAGTCAAACTATTTCAAATTAAGCTTAAGGTAATTTAGTATGACAATGAAAGTTTATTTACAAATTTCGTACAATGTACAAAAGTAGCTTGTCAAAAATCCCGAAAGGACGTTTTTCTTCATATCAGAAGACAGCAGATTTAGAGGTTCATAATCTAGACCCATCTATTCGAATGCGGATAACTAATATCGAGTTCTGATAACCAATTAGTGTTTAATACATACTGATTATTGTTCATATATACTTTTTATCAATGTGGCAAAGCCTCTGCTGTTTGAGATAGTAGGCATAGGATTCCAGTTTCAGAGACAATATCAACATATAAGGATCTAACTATTTTAGGGCGATGAGTTTAGTATGTTTCTAGGATTCCACTAATCCTCGAAAGTGAAATGGTAATCATTATCCCATCATTGATTGGACAGAATTGGTCGGTTTCTGTTGGCGTATAGACTGCTGTGTGAATGCTTCGACATTGCCTGTCGTTTCATTTTTATAGTAATGATGGATAGTGGCTTACAGTGAAATCCAAGACAAGCTATTCATCCCATATGGGACTCGTCAATCGAAAGTACTTGCCTTCAAGCGTGATGAATCCCACTGTAAGCCACTATCCAGCATTACCATGAAATTGAAACGACAGGCAATACCTATGAATCCATACAGCAACTCATATACCAATAGAGATTGATCAATTCAGTCCCCTTAAAGATGGCATGATACAAGCAACAACATAAAAACTATAACCGTCGAACAAGAAATGGCTTTCGTGACTCAGTGGCTTAGTGGATAACTTAACCCGCGTCCCGGATCCAACTGCTAGCCACTATCCATCACAATCACGAAGTATGTTTAGCGTATCAACCCAACATAATGATATCTATAGAAGAAACAGCTCTTATGCTATTTTCTCATTAGAATAGTGGAAACCAGTTAGTGTTTTGATAGAAGACAATCATACATACCTTAGTAACATTATAGCCTCATACTTATCGCTGAGTAGTTGAGACATCAGGACTCGACGTTGAAGATTCAACTCATCGTCAAAACCATTCAGATCGTTCCAAATAGTTGAACCAGTAGTTGAAAGTGAATTCTGGAAATAATTAACACAATAATAATGTTCAAGGTGTTAAAGACGAACACAACAAAACACCCATGATGAATCAAATATTATAAGCTAGACAACAATATTAGGCCCCAATACACAGAACACGCTTTGTGTGGTCTATATAACCAGCTTCACAAGATACGGTGAATTGGCAACTACACACGGAAATGGCCCAAAGCGGTAGCGTATCCTTTACACATCCTAGAATCAGTTGTCGATTGGAGAAAACAATCCGAAGCCAAGCGGAAAAGAAGGTCTTCTTCAGTGTTTTGCACAATTGATTCTTCAGTATCTCTGCCAGTCCATCTTCCTTAAATCCAATACGCATAAACAGTGTCATTTTTAGAAACCTTAGCGGTTTTTTGTTTGAAAGTCTCAAGTCTTATATTCCTCTCAATGAATCTTGAATGATAACCATTCTCGATGAACACTTTGAAGTATTTCCGGCTTCTCATTTGATGGACCATTCGTACAAATCTTTTTTGGGTATAGTGAATGAATTCGATTTCTTTTATTGACTAATGAAAACCCAACTTTGAAAATGAGTATTTCTTATTTTAGGTTTTTTTTCTTCTGTAAACCGATCTCCTTAAGGAGCCATCATTTCTTTTTCTCAATAGAACATCTAGGAAGTGGAATTCTGAGTTATTTCCAGTTTCCATGGTAAATTTAACTGACTTATGACATTCATTCAGCTTTCGTCGTAATTGTTCAAGGTTACTATCTTTTTCACAGATGAACGTGTCATCTGTGTACCATTTTACACAAAATGAACTAGTCGATCAATAGACGCAGTTTTCTGTTCTTAAGATTGGCAATAAAGAAATCAGCTACGAGAGGACCCAATGATGAAGCAGTCCGTTTTTTGATGAAGTTCTCTATTGAATCTGACTTGTATATTACAAGTACGTCGCAAAAGCAATTCCTTCAGATAATGTTTAGAAAACCCATTTCCAGCTTGTTAATCTCAATATAATCATATAGAAAGATTATTTTCATCAGAGAGAGATTTGTGAAGAGCGCTGTGACGTCCAGTGATAACATACGTTTACCACAAACGCTGACATCTCTTATGCAGTTAACGAAGTTGAAGAAATCAGGAGTAATGTAATTATTGGTCTGATTCTTAACTAACTGAAGGATTTGGGTTAGTTTTTTTAGCAATCTAATGATATAGTGAGCGATTCATGTCAAAAATTAGACAAAGAGGAATATCTTTCTTATGGGCTTTAGGCGGACCGTAGAGTAGAGAAAATTAGCGTACTAGATGGTTTTAGTCGTTCAAACAGCTCTGCATATATGATCAATTCATCTTTGTCTTCTCCAAAGATTTTTTCGAATTTTATTCTGTTTGTTCCACTGCATCTTTCTGATATGCTTCTTTCCAGAATTTACTTTCACCTTCTAGTACAGATGACAGTTTATTAACATAGCCTTTGCGATTCATAAGAACTATGCCAGAGCTCGTTACACAGACCGCACAAAACGTGTTCTACCTAAACACTATCCTATATAGCTATCTAAAGGACAGTCAAAAGCCATCAACAGCTCGATTTTGAGCATTTGGTTATCTCCTGTCACTGTGCTCCACCAGAGACCTCTTTCAAGGTCATCCATGCAGTGAATTAAACATTTCGAAGGAAGTGCGTATTCACCACCATAACACAGAAGAGGCTTTGGCAAACCAGTGTTACAAGCCTGATCTTTGTATTTAAAAGAGCAATATTCAATCTCATATTTTAATCTGGTTGTAATCTCCCTAAGACAGTTTATTCACTTCTTTATTTATTTGCCATAATGCTATAGGTAGTTTTTGGTGACCTTGATTTGACCTTCCAGTTATTATCACCTTGTGACTTTATTGACCATTTTTGATGACTTTATACAGTGACCCATTAGTTATTGATGAATACATATTTTGTTGTAACTATGATTACGATTGTACAGTTTTAGGAAATGATTCATCGAAAAGAAAATTTTCTTCGATGAATTGTCTTTTGAAATAATTAGTATCTTAAATGAATTTGGATCACGTAATTAGAAGACGTAGATTATTTGAAAAATGTGTGTGATGTATTTATGGTATACATTCTGAACGATCAGATCACATATTTATTTGTCACAAGGCATTAAATATATGAAAACTGGAAGTGGGGCGAGAACAAATATAACATAAAGGAATTCGATAATAGGAAAGATAATGAAAGGAAAAAAAGGATTAGATTTCAAGACTATCTTGGTAATACGATAAAATAAGCATTATCAGGGTAGGCTTAGCGTAAGGAAAAACTGGTTTTGCACACACAATCAACGGTTAACTATGTTTATGGCTAACGGTTCAACAAACCTAAGTATACGCCCCACTCTGACAGCCTTTATACAAAATTTTAAAGGCTGTTTTAATATCAATTCTGTGACCTTCATCAATGATATATTTTTCAATGAGTGCGGGTGATGGTTGTCTGCCGCCTGCGCTTATCGATGTTTGTGAATCTAGCTGGTTTTGTAGGCATTTTGGCACATGTTCCTCTACCCTCAAGTGCATATCACGATTAGTCCTCTCCATGTGTGTTTGTCCACATACACACATATGTAAATTTATCAACACAGTGGGATGTGAAGCAGTTGTTTATACAGCGTTGAGGTCTGTGTTGTCGTAGGCGTTTGGTCTTCTCAACTACGATAAGCTTAGCTGCATACTACGTTTTGCTAACGGCAGATCTTAACCTTCGTTTTAACATTATGTTATTAGATTCTCCTCTACATGACAACGTGATGTAAAGGTAATTCTTCATAACACAGTAGACTAGGTTTCAATCCTGCCTAGTTTTTGCAGTGGTTTATGAACTTCAATGGATATCCATTTTCCACTAATGTTTCCGTTAGTATTTTGATGTCATCATCCATTGAGTCTTCCATACAAATACGCTGGATTCTTACTAATAGGCAAGTTACCAAACCTCGCTTGTATTGGGTTGGACAAAAGCTATGGAGACCTAAGTACTGACGTGTCCAATTGCGTTTCCTGTAAATCGACCGATTTATTAAACCTTCATTTCTGTGACTTGAGAGCAGATCCATTAACGGCAGACGGTTTTCTTTCTCTTCTTCACATGTCAAGCTTACGTTGTTTTCTACGCTGTTAAGTCTTTCTAATAAACATGTTGCATCTTCACACTTGTCACATATCACAATTATATCACCGACATATCTCTTATAGAGACTAACTTTATTGATCAAATCGCCGGTCAAGCCTTCAATGTGTGACATGTAAATATCAGCTAGCAATGGTTCTAGGGGACTTCCCATGGCCATACCATCTATTTGTTGAGAATGATCACCTTCAAGTGTGAAATGAATTTTATCAGTACACAATAACAACAGCTCTTCCAAATACGTTGAAAGGACAGGGAAAGAAGAATTACTGGAAGATATTCTATCATTGTCTTTCCTCCACTTCCAGTTTTAATATATAATGGCTTGTGACAAGTAAATGTGTGATCAAACTGTTCGAAATGTATAGTGCAAATATATAACAGACATTTTTCAGATAATCTACGTCTTCTAATTACGTTATCCCAATTGTCTTTCATGATTTTTTCATTATTTAAGCATTATTATATATGGGAATAAAAATTTAATACAAATAAACATATTGTGAAATAAAAAGTAGTCTCATTCACTAACCAGTACACCTAAAAGGGTGTCAATATTTTCTTGAGCATATTCTACAGAAGGGAATGAATGCTGTTTATCACCAGTATCAGAGCTAGACAATGGAACTAACGGTAGAAGATGATGAATATCTCGTCTGCACAGAGGACATGTAATCCATGAACGATTACGTGCTGCAGCCGATCGATTACCCCCCTTGATAAAAACAAAACACATGAAAGATAATAACAGTATTTTAGCAGCTGAAAGCTATGTAAACAGTTTAACAATGCTTACTTAACTAATGTCTTAAGGATGAGAACCGAAAAAGACAAAACTTAGGAAAACCAGGACATCTTATCTCTAAGGAAAGTGAACTGTCGTATTGTTTCACTTACGTAGGTAGTTATACAGTAACAACACTTCATTGATACGTGTTGACTAACATGGATAACTTCATGGCTACATTTGATAACAATTCGCTGACCGGTTTGTGTACACAACTATGTCCTACAAAAAAAGCGTTCCAAACTTGAATAAAACATCATAAAATAAAGTAACTCAACTTAGTGGAGACATATGTACTAGGAAATGAAGCAAATTTAGTATATGAGGCTTTGTATTACTACCTAGTTGCTCAGGTTAGTATAGGTAAAGTGGGGTTGAAGTGTTTGAGCAAGTGAGCCATTACTCAGAACATAAATAGCATAGAAGTGGAGTTGTTCATGCTGAAATTAAGTGTTGCTAGTTTGATTCTTTGACAGAACCTTCTTTAGCGTTATAGTTCCAAAATATTGCCACTGATTAGAACTAGGGAATTGATGATTACATTAGTCACTCTACCCGGAGATTACATTGTGCGTATACATTAGAAAATGTTGAATTCGATAGAGAGAAAAAGAAAAGGAAAAAAGGCATAATCAATGAATCGGAAGCTGGATATTAAGAACTCTGAATTGAAGGGTAGATGTTTTAGCTGACAGTAACTTATTAATTGATAAGTAATAGTACAGCTCGAATTGCACGAACTGAAGAAAGCAAGTCAACTACGAAATTACTTTGTTGTTAATCAATCTTGCTTTTTAATTCATTGAAAGTAACTGTGAAAAAATAACATATAAAACATACATGTGTACGATAACGTTGGAAACACTCTCGATGCACAACGTGACCACAGGTTTGTAACAGTAGTCCAGAACGTAATAATGGCAGTGTTTGAGATATGAAAGAAGGTAATGCATAAGTCCACCATTGACGAGATTCAACGAAACATTTTTGATGCTTTGATTGTTTATGTTCCAAAGAGTTTTGATGTTTTGGTGATGCAGATGAACTTTTTGCGTATGATGTTACAACAGAAGGACCAATAACAGTAGTGGTACTTAACGAATTTACAGGTAGACCAACAATACCTGCAGGAGCTTGGCTGCTTACACTGCCAGGAGATGGATTATCAGAGATTGTTGCATGAAGCAATAGGCCATCTCTAAAAGAGGGATCAGCAGGCGGTCGCTCAGGTGATAACCATGACAACTCGTCAGCATCCGAAGTAACTGGAAGAAAACCTGAAGATTGGCTTAGATCTCGTCCAGACAATGTGGGTAATATAGCAGTTTCTCGGAGTTGGAGCATGACTAAAAAGTTATTCAATATAGATCATTAAAAACAACCTCATAACTTAGTATGCAATAGTTGTTTTATGGTGTAAAGGCCCTGACAAGTTACATGCCTCGTAATGGTAAATAGTAAGTTGATGCAACAATAACAAATCTTTATTCATACACATAAAGATATGTTGGCTCAAGCTGACAACCTCATAATAGTGAAGAGAGGAACAACCAACAAGTAAAGAAAAATGCATACATCCAGCAGGTAAATGCTTGAAAAAGAGTACATAAGTGAAAGGCAATGAAATGAAGAACTACACACAGCAACATAGACACTTTTAGCTACTTTTATTACTGGTAGTAATGAAAGTAGTAATAATAGGGTACAGATATAGTACACTCTCAGCACTCAGAGATAGACGCGTCATATAAAATAATCAAGTAACATAAGGAAGAAACAGAAAATGGGAAAAACAAAGAGAGAAAAAGTGAGTTATTTATGGAGTAATCCAAAAGATACATTCCATAAAGTGTTCGCTGGTTTCAGTAATAGATGAAACAAGAAAACTGTGACATAATTACCAACGGTTGGGATTTTAAGCCATATTTGCTATCGTCTGAAACCACTGAGCTGTATGGTATCTCGGATTATATTCAAGAAGTAGTGGAACACACATATGCTAACGTAATACAACTATATTTTTTTCACGATGCTAAATCATACACTGGGCACTTTTGTAGCGTTGGCGGCACATCCGACTATCTATCAAAGGACGAGTATATTGCGCTGCAGTCCGTTCTATCCTGTTATGCGGCTGTTAAAAATAAAAGTCATGAAGTGGTTATCAGCTTTCGATCATGGGTGTTTTCGTAGCATTACTTGTGTTCGGTGGAATCACCGTGTGAGCAGTAATGAGGTCAGGTGAAGGGTACTAGACAAGACAGGCAAGTCGATTGATGCAGTTGTGAACCTTAATAGACTGAGATGACTTGAATATGCACTGCATATGGCGATCCACCATCTAACTAGACGCGCCATTCTGGTGGAAGTTGTATAAGGTTGGAAGAGGGTTCAGGGTGGCCAGATCAAGACGTGACACCAGTCGATGAAGTCTTTGACTGTTAGTTTGAGCCATGCAGAGAGATGTAGACTGTCTGGTTGGGGTCCCTGGGATGATAGGATTCAGCGACTGAGGACTGATTCTTGGTGACATGGCTGAAACTCGATCACAGTGACGCAAATGTATTCACTTCTTGACATCTAAAGCTTGAGTATTTACACTATCCTTCATCTTCAGATTGTTTGTCCCCTCTAACACAACTTTGTCTACTTTGATATCATTCTTTTTCCATCCACTTGTTCTTTGTATACTACTGTGAAGTATCGATGAATCTGTGTGCGAGGTTCTACAGTGATCTTATCCATCTATCTATTTATCTTTACTTCTTCCGACCAGCTTAAATGCAAGCGAACAGTGGACAATTTGAGAGCCACAGGGACGGTATTCATAACACATGTTAAAGCTAATGAATTCAGTGTTTGAAGATGACTAAACTCAATCAATAATGATCTTCATCACGCCTAAAAAACCATGTCCCCTCACTTCAGAATTATTAACACGGTGATTCCGATCCTACAGAGACAACTGTAACTGAAAATTCAGAGTCACTGAACATCCTCAGATCTTAGAAGCCAGGTTTTGTGAGCGCGTAGCGGAAATTCCAACAGCAAAACTATTTATAGTTAAAGGTTTACATCCGGTTAACGTCACGATGAAACCTAAGGTGATTCACAGTTGCCAGTGGTTTTTGAAACACGGTTGGAAATCTCATCGGTTGTACCTCCTCCAGGACCCACACGATTATGAAGATATACAAACTCTTCGATAACTTCTAATGATTCACCCCCAAGGCTGAATGATGGTGTAGGCTCCTGTTAATCTTGTACGAGAACTTTTTAACCCGACAGTGGGAAGAATATATATCATACTTAAGGATACCGATTGCTAAATGGTTTTGACTTCAGTAACCTGTATGTTGTTGCACAGTAAAATGATATCGTTTGCATACTCTAGGTTAATATATTTTTTACTTGGTGACAAATCTACATCATAACCACCACTATCACCACCCCACCTTTAGATGTGTGTTGAGAATGTCATCGATGGTGAAGTTAAAGATGAATAGTGAGATCCAACAACTCTCCCTAATCCCACTATGGGTTTGGAGCAACGAAAATAGTAGGTTGTAAGCCTTCATTGTACCTGAAGGGCTAAAGTATGGGGATGCCAACAAGATTCTTATGGACTCCCCTCTGCAACAGATGATTCCAGAGTAGGACCTTGTCCTACGAACATAACGTAGCCTTAACATTGAGAAATACAACGATTATTGGTCTGCAATACGTGTAACAGTATTCGAGTATGTGATGGGGCATGAACACGTTTTGACTACATCCATGACCTGAATGAAACTTGGTCTAATATATGCGGATCAGTTTCCCATACATTTTGCACAGCCTGTGAAGTGTGATAGTAACCAATAGTCTAGACGCTATCTGTACCAGACTGGTACCCCGATGATTACCACATACATTACGTAGACCAACAGCTTCATTTCAAAGTGATGGTACACTTTCAGTCTACCATGCTTTTCCAAAATATTTCAGTTCCTTCTGTGATCAAACCCAAATCCTTAAAAAGGGCTGATAGTAGGTCGTCAAGGGAATATAAAAATGTTTTCCACTTATCGCTGGAAAAAGAATAGAATAAAATACGGTAAACAACTTATTTTCGGTGTTCAAATCGACTAAGTAGTCAATTTTAACGGCAAAAATAAGGCACTAATGCAATGTCTTGAGTCTTAGTTCCAAAAAACTACATTGGAATAGGACATCTTATGCTTGATATCAGCAAGACGTATCTATGATCTCAAGGAAACTAACATTTTCTCAGAGATCCAAACTCTCATAAATCAAAGCTTCGGTCATCACCAAGCTATTCGGGTTGCGACTGACCTCCTGTGTGTCTAGATTAGATACATTTATTGGTTACTCAGGAATAACTAATTTCATATTGTCTTAACCTAAGTCCTGACTGAACTCTATCAACCATTTTATAATATAGTCAGCAAGCAATGACGATTCCTCGTCATTGGATAATCACGTTACCAATGATCAGTTCGAGATAAGGCTGGAAGCATTGGGTGATGCAGGCTCCAATTTCTCAGAGGAGATCAGTTACTTCAACGTTGGAGATACGACTGCATTGTACAACGATCGCTAGTATTCGGTCAGCTCATAGGACTAGACAACATGGAGTCGGTTGTTCAGCAGTAAAAAGAAACGATTTATCTACTTCGAATACAGAGATAATGTAATCAAACAGAAATTGAAATCATGAAAATAATGATGAAGCTGGTTATATTCTATGCTCTATATTGTTTGATTGTTCACTTGATTCAATAACCAAATAATAAATTAAACCAGTTAACATATCTAATAAAATAACTTACGATTTGATTCACACATCATATCTAAAAGAACCATATCATCAGTTGAAGGTCGACCAGATGTTTGACAAATAACACATTCATAGGATGACTCACTTTTATCTATATGCTCTTGCCGATCTATTGTCTGTTGATCTAAAATACAATGAAAATAACAAGGTAAAAGAATGAAAGTGAAAGGTGAAAAAAAATATTCACTCCGATCAATAGCTTCATACAAATGCATTCATAATCATCATGAAATCTACAAACATATACTTGAAGCATAGTTTAACTAGTAAGAATAGTACACATACAACAGTATGCTAAAAATAACACTTTCATACAAATTCTCATTTTGTTGATGAAAGTTTCAAGACTATGGTGTATGTGAGTTAGAACTGTTGTAAAGCATAGTCGACCAACACATAAAACGTACGTGATATGCATAGAGATTGATATAACTATTAAAACTGACTTCCTAGAAAGTGAGTAGAGTAGACATTTTAACAGATATTATAGGGTTTATATATTATATGCATTAATACTGGAATAACTTAGATATTAGGTAAAAGGTTTCTCTTATTGTAAGGTTTGTACATCCTAATGAATGAAAGACGATTTTTATTTCGGCAGTACTTGGTACTCGAGACGATATTATTTATTGATTAATCTTCTCCCCTCTCATATGCTTGTACTGACTTTAATATTACTACCTTTCTATTCTTTTTATCTATTTATATACTCCTAATGAGGAGTGTGGTAACTTGAACTGATACGTTCGATTGTAATCTGCTTGGTAGGGACTGTTGTCCTCTCTGATACTTGAACATAGAACCCATCGCTTCAAACGTTCTATGTTGATATATCTGTCTGCTTCCGAGGCAATACCTAAACTAGTGACCATGGGTACATCATAGTTAATTCCTCAAAGATGTAAGGCACTAAACAGTAAACATTTCCTCAAGTAATATTGTTAGGGAAGCCTTAATTCCTAAGAAAAACTAACTTATAATATGTTTATATCATTGTAGAATTTAAACCTTATTTTTGTGCCATGGTCAAGGCTATCTAAGGATATATAAATGCCTGAGTTTTGCCTAATATTATTCGGTTGAAGTAAATATACTTCCAATCCTATCGTCATCTTCTAATGTCAACTGAATAACGAGTTGAGAAGTCATTGTTTTATCGTTAACCGTATCGTCTCGGAGCATTGTATCGTTATCTAAAGCGTGGATCATAAAAGTCGTGTCAGAGGTGGGACCAAAAATGGACTTTTAGAAGCTGAACAAATTTCTCGAACAACAAATCAAGATTATCGAGTTATTAACTCAATCCAGAATTTCTGTACCTGAATCATAGAATCCTACGCCTGCTGTATTAGCCCCTTCAGTCGACAGAAATGCAACCAGTATCACAGAATTTCATTATGATCCGGATGTTAATGTGACTTTCGATACTTGGTTCTGAAGATATGAAGACCAATTCAAAGTTGATTTTGCTGGTCAAGATTATTCATGGAAAGTTCATCTCCTACTTCGAAAACTTGGTCCATCTGAATTAGATCAGTATTGCAATATAATACTGCCACAGAACCCAAGAGACCTTCGATGCCACAATACAGACCCTAAGACAACACTTCGGTGATCATTCATCTTTTGTCGATACCACATATCGTTGTCTTAAACTGGTCATGAATGAGAATAATGATTTCTTCACTCATGTTAATATTGTTAATCACGAATGCGAAAAATTCAAGCTGAAGCCCGTCACCGATGACCAATTCAAATCTTTGATACTCATATACAGCTTTCAGTCACCCAAGTTCGCAGATATTAGAATGAGATTGCTAAATCGATTGGAGCAAGAACCAACAATAACTTTGAGTGATATCGCTGCTGAATACCAACGACTGGTCAACCTGTAACGGGATACAAGTTTAGTTTAATCCGGACGCCAGGGTCATCATAAAGTGGATGAGGTTCGACAGAAATCGAATTCCTCTGCATCCTTTTTGGGCCGAAAGACCCCTTTTTCTTCGTCGCCTGTTCATCATCCCAGTAGCTCATCAAATACCAAAAGAAACACGAAGATGCGTCCGTCTCCCTGCTGGCATTGTGATGCATGGCATTTCATCAAAATATGTCCTCATAAGCAGAAAACATGCAGAGAGTGCAATCTTGTCTGTCACTAAGACGGATTTTGCAAGCAGCATACATCACAAAGAACGGGTAGGTCACAATCCAGTCACTTCCGAAGATAGAAGTCTCGACCAGTTGGCAAATCTCTGAATCTTACCATTGCTTTTCAAGCACATGCAATAGCACGGGAAAAATATACCACTATCCAGATAAATAACCATCTAGTGCGACTGCGAATCGACACACTTTCGGATATCACGACTACTTCCAAGAAGCTTTGGTGGAAGACTGGTCGACCTCCTGTCCAGAAGGCTGTACAAACCGATCTTAGCGCATGTAGTGGCCGATTACCACTAAAAGGTCAGTTATCACGTACTATATCTTTCCACGATACTTCGATAAATGGAATTTGCTATAGATCTGATGCTGATTTAAACCACCGGGGTCTCGATTGGTTTCAAGGTATTGGTCTTTTGGATATGTCTCTACGTTCTATTTACAATCAGACCAAGCGTCCGCTGACAATCGCTGATACAATCCGACGTTTCCCCAATGTGTTCAAACCTAGTCACAGTCGCTGCACAGTATCCCGTGGATAATAACAAATATGGTTACAAATGTAGATATAGATGGAGTATCGTTTCAGTTTACAGGTTGGGTGAATACAGCAAACAATCTTAGTTTAGATGATTTTCAACACGTACATGCTACGCTTTAATTTATACTGGGTGATGACTGAAGGCAAAATAAAATTTGGACCGCGGCCGGATTCGAACCAGCGACTGACGCTGATTATCAATATAACGCTCTCCCTTCCTAATTCAGTTAGATTTGGATTTGGATGAGAAGTTCTGACTAGGAAACCAATGTGAATACGATCAAGCGGTAGTAACGTTCCACGAATTCACATGGTAGTCGAGCAAAACTACTCGTGATTGAAGTGAAATAAAAATCTGGTCAGTAGTCGAACCTCGTAGCTCAGTTGGTAGAGCACAGGGTCGGAAACCTGGTCGTCGCTGGTTCGTATCCTACCGCGGTCCGAATTTTCATTCCATCTTCAAACATCATCCAGTTTAAATACTAGGCTGTCAAACCACGGCTATTACAGATTGTCAAAATAGATACGTTTTGATTGACAAGTCAAGAAACAGCAGGAAACGCTCAACAATCAAATCATATGCTGAAACTCATTTTCGTAATAATTATGAGGATTTTAAAAGAATGATGAAAAGGCATTAAAAAAAGAATGTCACACAACTTGTAGAACAAACTGCTAGCAAGGACAGATGGGAGCGTTGGTTACTACACTAAGCACTGATAAAATTACACAATCTTGCACTTAACGCAGTTCATGCAAACAGTATTTGCATTCTACATTAAACATGAACTGTACTTTATGTTTCTCGTTTCTTCCTCCAGAACCCTTACAAACTGAATGTCAACTCTAATTGCTTTTTCTAGAGGTATCACGCTACATACTACTTTTGTGTTCTTATAAGTAGCACACACTATAAACTAAAATTCACGTTTGTAATCCAACATTTCAACAATAGACAAATAATTATGATTTTTGAGATGAGTGGGGATTTTTTAATTTAGAAGTAGTATTTATCATGGACTGACATCAGTTAGGGAACCGTTGAAAATCTGGGAGCACTGAACAACTGTTTCGTCCTAGTGTGGGACTCCTCAGCAGTACGCACCCACGACCCGGCTAGGGATCGAACTCGGGACCTTCAGGTTCTACGGCGAACCACTGGAAACCGATCCAGTGGCTGAATGGTTAACGCGTTTGTCGTGAAACCTGAAGGTCCTGAGTTCGATCCCCAGCTGGGTCGTGGGTGAGTAGTGCTGAGGAGTCCCATACTGGGACGAAACAGCTGTCCAGTGCCTCCAGATTTTCAATGGTTCCCCAACTGATGTCAGTCCATAATGAATAATACTTCCAAATAATTATGACTCACTAATTAATTCCATATCCTTGAAATGAGAAGAAGCAAATGCCTTTTGTTTAGACGCCATTTGTTCCATGAGTCGTTTACGTCGTTCTTGTGCTAAACGTTTTCTTTCTTCACGTGTAACAGTTGTTATTGTTGGTGTAACAGCTGATGAATTTGTCACATTTTGAGCTGTTGAAGGATAGCTTGATATATGAAAAGGTAAGTGGAATGAAACAATATAAACACAACTATTCAAGTACAAGTCAGCAATTCAGTTGTAAAAATAATCAGTATGATGAAATTTCATATTGGATTTGTTTATTCAATATAGTAAAGTGATACAGTATTATTTACTGGACGACGTTTCGAGCATAAATTATTGCTCATTGTCATATCAATGTTACCACACCTCATATTCTTTTTTTCTCAGTGGTAGTAAAATTTTACATATCACTGGTATAGATGTGGCGTCATTCCTATTTCATGTGTTGGGTGTTGGTTGATTCGATGAACAAAGATTAAGTAATCAATCTCTCTCTCTCTGTCTCCACTTAATTATACTAAGTTTAAGTACAGTGGTTTTATCCCACTCTATTGTGGGGTTGTATACATTAAAATAGCTGAATTTTCTTCTAGATTATTGATCTTATTGGGGTCTGTCATTCTGTATTTGGCTAAATTCCTATGTTTCAATGATCTAACTGACCCTGATCGGCTAGTTTCACCTAGGTACTTGACCTTATAGTCATCCCACGGAATTCGGTAGATTAGATTATCATGTTTAATAGGATCCTTAAGCCGATAAAGCTTATCTCTGAGTGATCTTTTAGGTTTTTTATATTGCTATTAACGGAGGATATATATATATATAACAGAGGATCATATGGTTATGTACCCACAAAAGATCAACAAACTTATTTTAAAAAAACTCAAATATAATTGCAGTGAATTTTAGCCATTCACACTTTAGAATGAATAGGGAGTAAGATAAACCACTCTATATGCCGAGTCGTACTATTTTCTGTATATGGAGGTGTGGCTGTTGTTATTGGTCCCAAAATAAATGGAGGTTTCATTATTGTTCCTATGAATAACAGGCTGATAGGATTATAGAATGCTGGTTCTATCTACCATTATTACAACAGTTTGCTACGTGCGGATTTGATCTTACTAGCTTAGAGTAATGGAAAGTGTACTTCATGAGTGACTTTGAAGTCTACCACCCTAGCAACTACTGGAATAACTAGCTATGCTTCTTTGTTTTATTTTGAAAAACGATCTTCTTCAGCAAAATGTAGACAGAAGTGAAAAACATGATTGGTTTATTTCAATAACTTCATATATGCATCTTAAGGGCAAGTCACGTATTTTGCGCAGCAATGTACTCTTTTCTACTAAGTGGTTGTGAGAAGGCTTCCAGTACTTCATCACCGTCCCTTTAGCAGTAACGCGTAATGGTGATGGAACCATGTAGTTATTAAACGTGAAATTCTACTTAAATGAGGCAATTCATTCTCTGAGGTTGCAAACTTAATTCGACCTCATAAACTGAAGAGCTTCAGCATATTGACCACTCCAGTAACTTAAACAGTTGCATCAATCCTGGCAGAATAGTGACCGGACACTTATTTTTGTTTGAAATATTCTAAAGTCACCCGCTTGGATCTGAGAGATTTCTAACTACTTTTTCATAGTTAAATATACTATACATCACCAACTTTTATTTCATCCCATAACTAAAAGTGATGATCGCTGAATGAAAGTTATAGATATTCTGGTTGTATTAAGGCTACTTATTGATAAAGACAACATATCGAGTGCAACTGAGTATTTGACTCTAATGAGGTGTATGTGGTATTTCGTTAACCATGTCTAACTAATGCCTATCACTTTACCTGAAGTGGAGGAAAAGTCACGTTGTGAAAAGAAACGTTCCAAAAGGATAGTTTATATAATTTCCACATAAACTGCTGTTTTTACATTGTAATACTATCTATTCAACCACATGAAAACGCAGTAATTCATCTGATCAAGAATTAAATATAATCCATACTGATAAACTAATTTAGTCGAATGCTTTCTTCAATGATCCATTGCTAAACTCATTAAGAACATGAAACTCAACAAGCATACAACCATGTTTATCACACAGTACTACATAAGGGTAGGCGATACCATCTAAATGTTCACAAACAATAGTAGACGGAAGCGGCTTAGACATCGTGGCACATGGTACTAATGATAAGACTTCTCTCGATGACCGACCAACTTAGGCACTATTGATTCCCAGTTCACTAGACCACCAGAACAAGAAGAATAAACTATTATTAGGAAGTGATACTATTTATTGTTATACTTGTAATTCTCTGCTGTTTTATTTGATCGAATTGTCCGACCTCTATTGGCATATGGGCTCCTATGCGGATGCCTCTATATTGCCTGAATGTTAATTACGGCATTTTAGTTGGTTGTGACTAGCAGAAAAATCCAGGACGCATGTTCCGTCCTATTTGGGACTCAATAAATAGTAATAACTAATAGCTATTAAAACAATAAGTGGCTACCGTGCCTCAGTGGCACGGTGGATAACGCATGGCATTTGAAATGATGGATACGAGGTTCGACTCTCGGTGGGAACAACATCACTCAGTGAGTTGTAGGTATATCCAGCTGACGAGTTCCAAAAATTGGCGAAACGAGCGTCCTGGATTTCTCTGCTAGCGACAACCAACCAAATTACTACTATCAGGAAGGTTGCAAATAATTCGGAGCACGTTTCTTACGAAAATCCTTCAAAAAATGAGCACCGGGTTTGATTTAATCATTATGACAATATAATTTAATATATAATCCCGGGGGGTTTCAAAAATCAGAGCAAGATTAAATAGAACGCTTCTCTGTGCAAGCCAAATACTCGGTTGGGTAACCTATGGCTTACAAGGCTTAGCGTTCTACAATATCTTCTACTGATTTCCTACACACGCAAAGATAATGCATAAGAATGAGTAGTCGCCAGTGAAAAATTCATGTACCAGTCTAGTATTTGGTGCTTAGAACTGATCGACGTTTATTGGTTAACTTTTGAAATACGATCACTAGGCGAAGTGAAGTGATACTGTATTTCGGTGTTAGATGGTGGCAGTCTATAAGCAGGAAGTCATATCCGACCTCCTATGTTTCGCAGGTGATGCCACTCATCGCAAGGCGTATTCGCAACCATGAGAACTATGATGTTTCCTAAGTAATTCGAACCTTCTGAGGTCAGATACTTAACCACTAAGCTATTCATGTCACGAATGATATCCTGTAGGACTGATTATGTGCACAAAATGGTCACCAATAGGCAAATGAATTAGTTGTCTACCCCTTAGTAATGATAAAAATCTATCCATCAAGTTTGCAATGTGGTCACACTAAGCTAAGTGACGCGACATTGAGGTGGACTGCATTCTGGTGTTAGACGTTGAGCCCGAATAAATTAATGATAAAGTCTCTGGCTTCAGCTCTAAGTGATGTAGGTTCGAAATATCAATGGAAGATCAGGATTCTCATGGTTGCACATACGTATGGCTAATGGATGCTCACAAGCATGAAACCTGGGTTTAAAGCTTCCTATCAATTGACTCCTAGCATTTAACATGCTGGATTACACGGAAAAAACGTTTTTTAAAGATTCTTTTAAAGAAGAATACAGTAACAAGATAACGCGTAAATGTACATCACATTTGCAAACTAAGACTATTTTGTAGCAAATAGTTAACGATTTAAACGCATTTTCCATTTGTATACCTCAACAAAATGAGGTAATATTGTAGTGGGCGTTGCTGATTAGAATGAATATAAGTAGTATATATTCAGAGGGTGGCAGAAATCATAGGGAATTACCAGGAATGGGTAAAGATTCTGCCCAAAGAAATGCAAGAGACAATGTGGGCGAATTAAGACCAAATCAAGATAGAAGCAGAAGAGGAAATGAGGCACATTGTGCAAATGACTATCTTAGTGGAAGGTGCACAATATTTGATGACTGCTATAAAATATGTCAATAATAAACATTCCTTCTTTCATCTCCGTCTTGTCGTCTCTATAATATTATTCTAAGTTAATCAGATGACGGTTACACAGAACATAAATGACTACTTGATTTGAATGAAGTGAGAATTTATGCAAAAAGCCTATCCACAAATACCGATAATCAACAACAAAATGCTTCATCAAACCAGATGAGTTCAGGTGAATAACGCCACAAACAATGATATACCTTACAAACCCTACATTTAGAAGAGAGACAACAAAATTACCGTTTAATGGACGGAGTCGAACGTCATTTATAGATGTAGAAAAGACAAAGATACGGCGCTGATAATTACGTCGACTACCATTAAGACTATCCGAGACAACCACGTTCTAAGATGGATAAAGCCAATCGGCAGGAAGCACTGGACCTGGGTTTTGTGCTTGTTGGTACTCATCAGCAAGCCGTATCTGCAACGCCGATGGAACTGATGTCCCACCCCAGGTTCGAACCACCGTTACCCGGTGTTGTAGTCAGCGGCGATTTCCACTGAGCTATTCGAGCCGTGACTAACCTCCTGTAGGACTGGTTCGGATTCATTGATTGGTAACCAACTTGGAATCTCAGGCGGGACATCAGTTTCGTCGGCGTTGCAGATACGCCTTGCTGACGAGTGCCAAGGAGCACGAAACCTAGGTCCAGGACTTCCTGCCGATTAACTTCATCCATCTAACACCTATCAAAGTGAATTGTGATACTGAGCTGTCTAGTCTGGTGGCCACACTGCAAAATAATCGATAGAATTCGGTCAGCACTTAGGACTAGACATGAAGTTGGTTACCCTCCAGTGACCAATCAATATAGCCATAGTCTGGCAGACTGGTGTCACTGTTATTGAATGTGAAGTGAAAACCTGGGTCACGAAAAGATTCCCCCCAGTAGCCTCTGGAATTCTGGCCTAATACTTCACCAAATAAGTTGGGTCGTTTAGCTCAGCTGGCAGATGGTCAGGCCAGAAAGTTAAAGATTACCGGTTCCCAACCTGCTGCAACTCAGGTTTTCGTTTCATATTCAATCAATACTTAATATGAAGTATATCAGTCTTTTAGTTCATATATGTTCTATAAATGAAGACCAATATTTCAATGATATATCTATTAGGTCCTAAGCATCAGAACTAAATCAGCATGTACTCACCAATCATTTGTTGAAGGAAATGTAATATTCAACGCAGTAGCCGTTTCATGATTTTGTAGGGAGGTGGAAGTGTCTTCATCAATTTTCTTGGAAATGCGAAAATCTCCTTCTAACTGTTGCTGTTGCTGCCGTTGCTGACCTTGCATTAGCTTTACATCCTTACTTGATGACACAGTATCCATTGGCTGATGTGTATGTAGTTGCGCTACAGGAGTGTATGGCTTCCTTGCCCTAGCCAAATACATTTTGATTGCTGACTTATTATTTTCTGATAGAGATGCAATTTTATCTAACAAACGTTCTATCCAATAAGCACCATCACCAAAATTGGTATAATGACATTCATTTGTTGATGTAAAATCAGTTTGATCGTCCGTAGATTGGGAAGGTGGATAGTTGCCTATAGGTGAACTGGTTAGACCACACGTTTGACCTAAAGTACACAAAAAACGAGTCAATAAACATGAGAGTTTAAATTTTTTTTAAATACTAAGTATTTCAGGAGATATTTTTCAGCGTATACTCGATGGCTTCAACAGTTGTAGGATACAAGAATGTAAGCAATTAACTTTGTCAACAGTCTATTAACTCAAACCTGCTATCCAAAGACTGAGGCGTAGCGTCATAACCTCCATTCACAGAGAAACTGATAACCAGTGCTAAATTTTATTACTTGTTTCAGAAACTGACAGGCCGTGTATGACAGTTAGCTTGAGACTTTAATTTTCCAATAGTGTAGGTTTAGTTATCTAAATCAATCAATGCCGCCTTCAGCAGCAGACACGTGAGGGTGCCTGAATAAGACATTGCTGATACTGTATATTAAACAGGACTATAAAACATTTTTAGTTAAGTTAAACAAGTTTAATTTACATTGTTATACCTTGTAGGTATAAGCCCATACAAGTCTCCATACACGGTTGTGAGCCAAACGCAACATGTGGGGACTCCTGACCGATAAATGGTAGCTTGACGTAGTGCTCGGGCTTAGGCATCACAGTGACCCAACGAGCTAAGCTGATGGAAAGCTTGTTTCTTGACGTCCTAACATACCGGAAGGGTATGGATAGTGATAAGACGAAATGCAGTTACTGTTGTAGCGTAAATTGTTTAACTATGACGGGAGTCTGAGAGCGGAGTCATACTGCTGGCTGGACAGGATTGGACAATAATAAAGGGATTCCCTTGGATGACCAGCAGTGCTACGCTGAGGCTGCCTTCATAAATGGCCCCCAAAATAGCCCACTCCTCTCTGCTTTATAGTCTTCCGATTCTGACGGTGTGGGTTCTCTCTATCCGGTGTAAGAACAACCATACCCTAATAACAACAACCAGCAAAAAGCTTTGTGTGACAGGCCTCAAGCAGATGTCTCATGGGCTCTGAGGACACGCAAATCTTTTTCTCTTTCAGGTAACCCCCCACTACCACAGAAAATAGCCTTCCCCAGTAGGAGTCTTCAAGATGGTATCATCTAGGATGTAGGCTTCCGTAAAAATTATGAAATATAACCTCATGATGCTCATTAAAATGTGAATACTCATGAGAAAGTAAAGAATATATCGGATACTTGTGGATATAAAGACTCTATCCAGAGAACAAAATCTGGAATTATGTCAACTAAGGCTTACTAATATACAATACACCGCTTCGCTCAATTCATTTGGAGATGAAAAGATGCAGATAAGCAGCCAGCGTGACTGATAGTGGATAATTACATACTTCAAACTAAATTACGATCTAATACTTCATAGTGACATGCTTCGAGATGGATATCCCAAAGTTCTAATGAGAAGTCATGACCCGCGAGGCAAACCAAGTCGGACATGAAGCCGATGTCAACTAATGACCGGGATATGACAGTCACGCTATATCACGAGTTCGCAGAAGTAGGGAACTGTGAACCATTCGACTCCGACCAGGTGGTTGGATGATTAACGTGTTCCCCATGAAATCTGAGGGTCCTAAGTTCGGTCCCAAGAGGGGGGTCATGGAAACGTGCTGCTGAGAAGTCCCGTACTACGACTAAACGGCTGTTCAGTGCTCCTAGGTTCCCAGATGATTTCAGTCCTTGATATCTTTGATTCACACGACAGGTGAACAATATACTAGCGACCACAAGTGAACTGTGGATCTAATTAATAGTTGGATTTTGTTGGTCAGTAGGCAGAGGGTTATACAAAAGGTAACAATGAGACCACTGGAATAAGTCGTACGATGAATACAAGCTTCTCTATAGGTTGTTACATTCCTTTTTAATAAATAGTGATGAAGACCTCATACTTGACAGGTAAAGCAATGACTAAAACCTCTTTGAAGGGAAGGGAAAATTCATGGAATGCATTCCTTTTAGTGCTAAGAATATAGAAACCAAAACGTTATGGTGTTTCAAGTAGGTTCTGACTGAATGTTTCTGCCACCTTTAGACTAAAGTATGAACTAAATTCTCTTACATTGAAGACGGCAAATCGACTTCCATTACCGTTATCCTTAGAAAACGTTTCAACTAATCAATATTAACATAGAGCCTGGCATTAATGAGAAACGATCCAAGTTACCATACCTCATATCGAGGTAGAAAATACCATGATGAAATGAAGAGAAATGGTGCAATAACGAGTCGTATGTATGGATGCGTCTGGACCATTGAGAGTGATTCTGACCCACACCATTAATATAGGTGTAAAACTTGGGCACTGTGGTAGAATTTAATTCCATATTAGATTTGTTTATTTGATTTATAACACACAGTGATCTAGTATTATTTACTTGATGACGTTCCAAGCATAAATTATTGCTCATAATCACCTGAAGTCTCCAACCAATAATCGCGGTTGTCACCTCCAACCCCAACTGAAAAGTTTACATCCCCCCACACGGCTCAGATCAACAGTCAAAGACAGGGTGAAGTGATATTGTATTTTATTATGGTCACCTTTATTACAGCTGAACACCCAAAGATCTTCCATGTCCTCTACCATTAATGGCCATGTTTCACAGTCAAATAGTAGAACAAAGAGAAAAACAGTGCAGTACACTTGGCGCTTAATGAAACGAAACGCAATCAACTACATCCTGTGTACATTAGTGCAGTAGGTAATGAGCCACATATATTGTTTGAGGGCTAGTAATACTACCTGGGTGCCCAAACTTCAGTAGATGGACAGGGTTCGAACCCGCAAGCAGCTGGCTGATAGTAATTTCTACACACTGCTGGGTCACAGCTCCACCTTGTTGCTTATATAGACGGTCGGATATCACGATGGTCGTACGGAGGGGCATAATTTGGCAAAAGCCAAGTCTAAATCACATTTATTTATTACAGCTATGAATATTGTGGTATGATGGATAGGGTTGACAGTGTGTATATACAGGTTGTAGGAGAATTTAAACAAGTAACTCTTATAAATAGGGTGACCTACCATCAGTTGACTGACTCCTCTCTTCTGGAAGACAATAGGCTGGTTTTGAAGAAGCGAAATACCGTAATTCCGGTGATAATTGTGCAACAACTGATGGATTAAGATTCACAGTATTTAGTGTAGAAGATTGAGGAGTACGATCATTAGAATTATCGGATTCTAAGCATTGATTGCCTTCATTTGGCATCAAGACAGACATACAACGAGCAGACAAAAAGTTAGTCGGATTACCAGAAGTATGTTTTGGAAAAGTATTCACAAAATCTTCCCAATTATTTCCTTGATTATGGCCTACTATTAGGATATTATTACTTTCTTCATTTAAACTTGGCATCATCATCACTGAGATTGTAGGTGATTCACCAATTACATTAGATGATTGTAATGGAGGTGTATTGGGATCAGTGAATCCTGATCCACCAACAGCGATTTTAGGGATCGCTTCAGCTCCACCAACAACACGACTCCAGTAAAGACGTGCATGTGCTTTGATTAATAACGAGATCAGACTGTCTAATATGACGCTGAAAAGGAAATAAACATTTTAAAAAACGAAAATTAATTTTTCAACAATTTAAGTCAAGACATATAAGCGAACAATATTGTTTTCAATTAGATCCTCTTCAAGCTTTACTCTAATACAAATAGGTTAATATATATAAAGTGAAACCAATCATGTAGAATTGTCGATTGATGTGATAAATGTTTCATATAACGGTGGGGATAATAATACAAATAATAATAATAATGAAATTGATAAAAGTGATAACGCTGACTAAAGAACATGCAATATAGATAATAATTATGATAAGAACCAAGACAGCAGCATGAAAATGTAAACACCCCAATAATCAAAATGGGTCAAAAGCTTGTGAAAATAAAAGTTACGTAATAGTGAAGGGCAAGTAGATAAAGCCTAGACAAATACAGTAAGTATACAAAAGGGGTAGGAAAAAATAATAATAATGAAAACTGAGTGATAAAGTTATTAACTATGTAATCCCTGGCCATGGGAGAGATAAGGGATGTACAAACTTCTTCTGAATACAAAGGCTAGGATTATTAGCTCGAATTCCTACAGCTTCTGCTATGTATAAAAGACGAGTTTGAATACCTTTTGAAAGATGAAATGGTATGCAGTGTATAGTCGTGAAAGCAATGTTCTTATCTACCGAGTAACCATTATCAACAAGGTGAGATAAAACTGAGCTTCTGATGGATTTTATCTGTCCCTTTCCCAACCATGAAGGTAGATGCCCAGCAACACGTTTTTTAAGTTGTCTAGTAGTACGCCCTATATAGCTTTCTCCACAGGAGCAGCTAAACTTGTAAATACACATAGAAATGGCAAAACTAGATAACTTATCTTTTGTCTGAGCAGTAACAATTGGTCGACTGGAAAATGATAGACAAAGTTGAGTGACGTAGAAGGTCCTTTCAATGGATCTAGAGAGTCTCTGGTATAAAACTTCTCCAGCCACATCCCCATTAAATTGCAATTTCATAAATAAGGGTTTCTTTTGCATGATAATAGTACCAGTTTGTTCCCCTTGGCTTTGTCCATGTGTCTTTTTATGAAACTGTTAGGGTAGCCCATTTCAAGCAATGAATTACGGATATAATCTAACTCCTTCAGTACTTGATCATCCGAACGTATTTTCCGTGCTCTGTTGGTGAGGCTTTTGACCAGGTTTGCTTTGTACCGAATTGGTACATGACTAATAAAATGTGTATACTGACTTATAGATGTGGTCTTCCTATAAACACATCTACTGAGTGAAATATCTTCTCTTCTGCTTACCAAGATATCCAAGAAGTGTAGTTTACTGGCATTTTCTTCCTCACAAGTGAAAGTGAGTGAAGGGTGCACTTCATTATATTTTCCACATTCTGATCCAGGATAACGAATGTGACGTCAATATAACGGTGATACATAGTCATCTCCCTAATGACCTCTTTCAATGCTCCATTCTCCAGTTTGGCAAGAAATATATCTGCTAAAATAGGGCCAGGTGGTGAACACATAGCTATCTCATAAATCTGTCTATAATGAGAGCTATTGAAGACAAAATGTACATTCACAGTACATTTAAGAAGTAGTTCCCTGAGGATGTGTGTAGGAATCCCGATGTTGATTTGCCTTTTCGATATTTGTTGACAGACAAACTCTATCGTCTCCAGTAATGGCACATTAGTGAATAATGATGAGATATCAAGCGACATCATATGTTTTCCGTTTACATTCACACTATCTAGCTCAGAAAGCTTACAGTAAAGCCTGAAGAGGATCTAATTGAAAAAAATATTGTTCGCTTATATGTCTTGTTCTAATTTACATGATGGGAATTTTTAAAGCTCGGAAATTTAGGTCAAACAAATAAGAGGCCCATAGGTCGAGACCGAACTCGCTTCAGTTAAGTATTAAACAGAAAATAAGAGGTCTCGATGAGTAAAAAATGATACCCATTGCATGAAGGGGCTCTTGTGATTCAATAGCCCAGTGGATAACGCTCTGGCGCTTGAAGTGATGGATGCTAGGGCGTAGTCTCAACGGGAACACTATCACACACAGAGGCAGGTTCCAACCGACAGCTCCTACCTTGACGTAGTGGTCGAGCTTTCATATCAAATGACCCAAGGAGCAATTTTGGCAGGATGGATGTCCCTTGAGGTCCTTCCATACCACAAATGACTGTTTGATGATGGCGAGAAAAAAGTAGTTACCGATCTATTGTAAATTTCTATCCAATGATGAGGTCCGACGGCGAAGTCTTACTGCTGGCTGGATGAAGTGTGACAGTAGCAAGATACATCCCTTGGGTGACCAGCAGTACCACGTTGATGCTGCCTTCCCTATGGGAAGGGGGGTGATTACGAAAGGTCAGCCCTAAAAACAGCACATTCTCGTTTACAAGCGACATACCAATGTCAGTGATATAAGCCCATAGTCGGATTCAAAACTAACAAACCTGAATCTCACACTTCTAAAAAGGCCGTGTATGGCTGGCCTGAAGCAGGTGTCCCATGGGTTCTGTGGTCACGTAAGAAACCTTTTTTTCAGGTATTTCACGAAACGCTAGTCTTCCATGATGTGGGAAGCTGGAAAGTGTCAATCACCCTCACAACTTTGTCAGCATCTAGCTTCCTTCAGACGACCATTCACCTTCCACATACTTATAATCTTCCATCATATCTTTCGGTCAAAAGGAGGATGAATTCACCCTTCAAGTTTCTGGAGATTCGATGTTTAGTTCTCTGGGTATAGCATTACGTGCTAAGGCAGAAAGTGCACTACTCGACTGGATCCCAGTTGATAATCACCTGTGCGCTGTTCAAGTGAACAGTACAGTAAGGACTAAAAAGAATAGTGAAACTCGCCGTTGTCTCTTTGTAATTTTCTTTACGCATCGACTGACTGCAGTTCGAATGAAGTGAAGGATGAATCCTACCAAAAACTGTTTAGTCTCCTACTGAAAACCAACCGTTCAGACATGATTGTCGTTGCAGGTAATTTCAATTTACAAATGGAAAGACTACGGCAGGAAGGCACTTAGGTCGAGATCAACTCAGAGGTGGGTACAGATAAACCATATTGCTATCAGTTATCACGTGAGAGGGTCGGGTGGAGATTGCCGATCTTTCAGGAGCAAGTTTTTGGACAGTGACAACACGCGTCGATTCCAGCAAGTGTACGTTTGCGTTTAGGTGGACGTGGGAAAGCTATAGCACAAACACCATTTAGAGTGCAGCTCAGCAATGACAATACCAAGGCTGCTTACACCGACAAGCCGGCTACACAGCTATCTTATGATACCTATGTTATATATATCCAGAAGAAAGCCGGTGTTATCTCCAATCTGCTATCAAAACAGCATTGAAGGCTGTATCCAACGCTCAGAAAGTGGTTAAAAGGACCTAGCAGGTATCAGCAGCTTCTTCTGAATTAATGGATGCATGTGAACACACTCCTGGAGGCTCCGATCACAATTAGGAGCAGATACAACTGAAATGTAGATGGACGAAAAGTCTATCCAATGAACGCGAAAAGTAGTGAGCAACGAAGGTTAAAAAGAACAGAATAGCCAGTGGAGATAAGCAACAGTGGACGGTTGTTTAGAATTATCAAAGAAACTCGGACGAAAAGGTCAAAAGTTAGTGAGACTACATGGGAGAAGGATGGTCCTGAAATGCGCTTGCAAGAGAAACAATGGGAACGATAGGTGGAATACTTCGAGGAACAGTTCAACTGGCCTTCAGCTACTTTCCGTTGCCTGTTATGCAGTTGGATCCCTGAATGAATCATTAAGACGGGACCTCCAACACTTACAGCAGGGAAATCTAAGAGGCATATCTCAACCTATTTGGGACTCATTAGCTGCATGTACCTGCATCCCAACGATGATGTTCTCACTGAGAGTCGGAGCCAATAAACATCGCTTTAAATTCTGGAGCATCATCCGCTATGCTACTGAGTTGTGATAGCTACTCATTGTATGACGGTTATAGTTTTGATACTGGGAGCAGGTGCATCCAGTTGACGAGTCCCAAACAGAATGAAACGCAAGTCCTGCAATCGACTGCTAGTCACTAGCCGTCCTCAATATCAAAATGAAATCACCGAATACATCGAGGCATCCCCATAGGAGTACATATACCAACAAAAGCCAATCAATTCGGTAACGTAACGATCCAAATTTTAACACCTCACATCATACATCAACATACAACGAAGGAGTATGAAAGATAGAAACCTGAAAAAATGCAATCTTATATTGTAGAAGGGTATAGAGAAAGGAACAAAAGGGGGTAGAACAATAAGGAATTGCGACATGAAGATTAGGATGATGATGATAATGTATGGATACATCTGCATCACCACGACCACACGCTTATTTTAAACAGTGCCACCCATTTTCATTGGTTGTGGCTAGCAGAGAGATCCAGGAAGCACGTTTCGTCCTACTTCTGACTCATCAGCCGGATGTACATGCACCCCAGTGAGACTCGAATCTGGCACCTATAGCTTCAAACGCCAGTGTTATCCATTAGGCCACTGAGTCACGATAGCGACCTCTTGTAAAACAGGTGTTAGTTGTAACTATTTGTTAATATACTTGTAATTCTCCATTGTTGTACTGTATTAAATTAATCGGCCTCTGTTGGCATACGGGCTCTTATGCGGATGTTTTGATATTAACTCAATAAATATTATGATAATTTACCAATATAACAACGGAGAACTATAAGTATGTCAACAAATAGTGGTACCACCTAGAGTTCTCAACCACTGATTAAAAACATCATGCCAACTTTAACCTAGAAGTTAACATTTCCCACATGGCTCCAACTAACAGTCAGAAAATTCATGCACTAAACGCTACATTTTAATCTGAACACTCTTAACCGTTTTCAATCCTAAACCTGATTAGATTAACATTAAACGTCAAAGTAGATGAGAATTAGTCACATATAACATACGCCTAGGTGATCTGAATTGATTAAGGCCTACAAACACATCAACTGACTAACTCCATTGACCCATGAATTGATATTACTTATTTGGTAGTTTCATGACATATGACCAAGGCTACGAAGATTACCTTGGTAAAACATTCGAAGTCTTCCCATATTCTCCTCCTTCAATAGGAAAATAAAATATAAAAAAAGGAGTAATAACTTACTTTTTACTATCACTTTTTAATTCATTATTAGGTAATACTGGAACTGTACTCATAGTGATATTTGAATCTGTAGAATCTTGATTAAGTAAACTAGCTAGCATTACTTGAGCACAAGAAACATATGGCACATAACTTTTTGATACCATAAGCCAACAGTTTAAATTATCTTGTATACTTGTACGCGGTTCATATGGACAACTAATTAAACTTGTATCCCAATATTTTTTATGACGATTAGTAGATGATGTTGTAGAAGGATATAATGGTAATGGGCTTAATGAAGTACTCCATGGCTGACGACACCATATATGCGGTGAACGATAACCACTTATACGACCACGTACTTTGCCATGATCACGTTGTGAATCAGATTCTTCACGATCATCTGAACTACCACCAGCACCACCACCTTGACCACCTGTATCGTCATCATCATCATCTTCGTAGTCATCATCATCACAGTCAATTTGATCAAGTCTATCAGAGTCTGTATCTTCGATAATTTCTTCAAATGTTCCCCTTTCCCAATCCATTAAAACATCATCTGTGAAGGCTTTATTATGCGGTTGAAAGTTTTGTGTTGATGACTGCTGTTGCACTCCATTTGATTTTTGTAGTTGTTGCTGTATCAAACTACTTCCGCAACTACTGATATTTAGTGGTATCGATGAGGTGGATTCGATATCATCACATCCTTGAGTTTCCATAAAAACCTATTTTAAAAATAAGCAAGGGTATATATATATACTTTATTTCAGTCTGTATTTTAATTAGAAAGACACAAGAGGTAAAAAGCATCATAAACTACCATCATGACTTCATCTTGTAGTCAAGATGATTAAAAAAATTGACTAGTAAACCAAAAAACATTGTATTTTGAGGCTGATGGGGATTTTGAATATGGAGGAAGTATTCATCAAGGGCTGATGATAACTGGATACGTACTGCTGAGGAGTCTCATATCGGGGTGAAACAGCTATCCCATGCTTCCAGGTTCTTAATGGTTCTCCAACTGATATCGGTCCTTGATGAATACTACCTCAGAAATTAAAATCCACATTCACCTCAAAATACATTACTATATAGTGCTCACTATCGACATACTTCCAGATGGATATCACGAAGTTCTAATGAGAAGCCGTGACCTGTGGAGTCAACTAGTTGGAAGGAAAGAGGATGCTAACTGAAGATCTTAGATGATAACCACGCTATATTGTGAATTGACAGAAGCTGGAAACTGTGAATTGACCGAGTAGCTGAATGATTAACGTGTTCACCGTGGAACATGAAAGTCCTAAGTTCGTCCCCTAGCGCATACTGCTGAGGAGTTCCGTACTAGGATGAAACAGTCCTTGATGAATGCTACATTGAAAACATTGTATTGAATTCAAATGAGATTCATATTTTTGAACTCAGTTACTTATCACTGCTGTATTAAAATATAGGGTCAACAAAGTAATTTCATTAATCCAATTGTACTGATATCAATGTTCTGTATCAAATTAATTATTTTTTTCAAAGATGCACAATATTGAAAAGAGTGAGGGTCAGTGTACCCGGTAAGCGAATGATTTCCTTGGATCTGAACTGTCTTTCTGAATGTTTCACATACGGAAATCTTCAGTGTGATTTTATAGATAATAACCGTGAAGTCGGTTAACTGAAGTATTACTCAAAATAACTGCTTCTGAGATATACTTTCATCATTTAGTTTAAATTCAATGACAAGTGGTATCAAAAAATAGCTGGAGTCGGAATGAGATCATCATTTCACCTTATTCTGGTCGACTACTTCATGGAAAACTTCAAGTAAATATGTAGGCATGATGCATTCATTATATGCGACAAAGATTTGAACATTAAGAACATAGCTGAGAAGTTTAATCATTGACATCAGTCAACCGATTTCACTTAAAAATCCGAAAATAACTTGAAGTTACATTTCCTGGATGTTCTTTTGAAAAGGAGGTCAGATAGCTCGCTTCGAATATCAATATACAGAAAGCCGATATAGAGTGCGCAGTAAATAAGTTTTCATAGCTGGAAGTTATTGAGTTAAAGCAGAAATCTAATTCATTTATAATCATCGAGAATCAGAAGAATCAGTATAGATGATACAGCTGGAGATGAATTGAAAATAATTCGACAGATTCTTATGCGAAGTGAATACTCATTCAGATACATTGAGAACTTGAAATTCAAACAACATTCAGAGCAGATCCAAGTAGTTCAATAGAGTATATTTATGAATGGTGGTTACAGGCGTCCTAACGATAGCTGGAACCTTGACATGGTCAGGTTTGCATATCGTAATAACCTAACGAGCTACATTGTCTGGGGAACTTGTTCACTCGAGGTTCTACTATGCCATAAATGTCTGTTGCGTAATGCTGACAGAAAAAGTTAAAGTTATAACATAAATCCCTACGCTATGATGTAGGCGAGGGCGTGCTGTTGACTGGATGGGGTGTGATAATAGTAAGATGTCTTCCGCAGATGATCAGCAGTATTATCCTAATACTACATTCGGACAGTTAGAAAAAGTTGACCCCAAAATGGCACACTCATCCTAGTCCGGCAGTATGGGTTCTTCCTATGCGATCGCGGAACAATAAGTTATAATACGAAATATCCCTACAAGGCTGTCTGCGAAGGACCTCAGAGAGATGTCTCATGGGCTCTGGGGTCACACAAATACTTTTCTTGTTTAGGTACCCTGCAAAAACAATATCCACAGTTGGGGCAGCAGGTAAGTGTCAACTGTTCGCACGCTTTCAACAGTATACAAAATCCAATAAAAGATAACCAATCCTCCTTAACTCCGTTTCTTCCATCGCCTTCCACTTCTGATATCAACATTAAGCGTCTTACAACTTTCTCAGCCTCCGAAACCGAAACAATAATCCTAGTCTCCTAAAGCTCCGATGTCGGTTTCACATTGCAGCTTTCAACGTCCAAAGTCAAAACACAGATGGAGAGCAGGTATCTCTTGTCGAAAACCCGAGATCTCGACCTATGGATGTATCATGTGTTTCAGAAACACATATACACGACTAGAGTGAGGTAATTAACATAACATCAACTGCCCTACACAATTAATCTCCAGAGATTCAGTGCCTAGCTCTCGTGAACTCACTGATGAAGGCATAACATTAAGGTAACAAGCAAAAAACACGCTCACCAACTGGTAACCAGCCAGCAGTCGTCTGTGTGCTTTTCGATTAGATAGATCGGTTAAGTTTAAGAAAGGCAAACTTATGTCTATTAAAAATCTCCGTTTACGCACCCAACGACTGCAGTTTCGATGATGCAAAAAATGAATTATATGAAAAGCTGTCAAGTTTGCTACAGAAAACGAAACGTTCAAATACAGTGATAACAGCAGGTGACTTTAACACTCAAGCAGGAAAGGTGAGCCAGTAGGAAAGGCATCATGAAGACATATGCAGAATTCCATGTCAACAAACCGACAACGGTGATCGTCTGCTGCAATTTTGCTCTGAAAATCATTTGTTCCTAGCCAGAACTTATTTCAACGACTGGGAGAAACACTGCCTCACATGGCATCCGCCAGCATCAAACTATCGATGGACACAGATCGATAGTACCGCTGTAAGTCATCAATGGAGAGGATCAGTGGAGGATTGCAGCTCTTTCTAGAGTAACGTTTTGCACTCCGATCACGCGTTAGTACGGTAATGTGTTTGTCTGTGCCTTACTAGTAGCAGAAAAGAGGCGACAGTTAGGCCTGTATATGCTCGACAAAAAGATGAGAGTATCAAGTATATACTGAGCAAGGAGACAGCAAAGCATTTATCTGAACTTGACAGTAATACTCATCCTGAGAAAATCTGGTGAGATATACAGTCTGAAGTAGAAACAGTGGTAAAACAGTCGGTAACCTACACCCATAGGTTAGCAAACGTCAATGGATTTCGGCAACATCATCTGAACTGATTGATAAGAGAAGACTGATTTCAGCTCGATCTGATCACAATGAGGAACGAAAGCAAATCAGAAGTAAATTGATCAAAGGTCTTCACAATGATTTCAATAGTACCCTGATAACCTCCCAGGATAGACAGTTAGAAGGCTTGGAAGAAATGCTTTCAACTGACCCTCAGCAATGTTTCAGTTGCCCAGTATCCAGGAAGTGTGAAACTGAATGGGATGTAGATGTCGATTCTCCAACTGATCTCGAAGTTAGGAAGACTGTTTCAAGACTAAAAACGACACAAAGCAGCAGGACCTGACGGTTTGCCACAAGAATTATTCGAGGATGAAGGTAAGAAACTAGTGAGTAGAATAACGGAGGTACTAGGTAGAGTACGAGAATCAAAGGTAGTCTCATCGAAGTAGTCTACTTCATTGACCATTCTGGTTTGTAAGAAAGAAGAGAATTTTTGACAACCATAGGAAAATCAGTTTGACAAACATTGCATCCAAGATCTTTAGGTCCATAGTTATCCGATACCCAACTGGAGCTCGTGGAAAACAAACTCGAGAAAACCACGCACGCTTTAGACCTGGACGAGGATGAATCGATAGGATTTTCATCCTTCAAGAGGTTCTGGAACACAGGCATACTTACCGGCGGCCGACACTCTCCATATTCCTTGTGACCTGAAGGCGGTGTTCGACTCTGTCGATCAGCATACGACGGATACGATTGTATGCAACTTGATATGATAATTTGAAGAGAAATTCTATGGAATTGTGTAACATACACATCTGTTGCCAATAAATTTACTTTACCATATGAAAAAGCGACATTTTAACATAAAAGACAACAAAAGTATTCTGTATTCACCAACAGGTTCATCTTTCGCTGAAAAGTAATAAATTAGAGGGATTTAACAAAGCAAAATGTCAAATTTACCTGAGTACAAGCTTTTCTATTATTTGTTGGCAAACGACAAGGAACATCTAAGGCTCGATCAATTAGATGAATTATCATAGCCAGGCTTTCTTCAGTTACAAGTGGATCACCATACACATACTAGTAGTGAGAAAAAAAATACATCACAATTATTATTGTTTTAAGGTTAGTGGGGATTTTAACTTAAAGGTAGTACTCATTGCGGAAATGAAGCGGATGTCAACTGAAGACCTCGGTGGATAGTCGCGCTACATTGAGAACTGACAGAAGTAGGATATTATGGACTAGTGAATTCTGACCCGGTGGCTGAATGGTTGGCGCGTTTACCGTGAAACCTGAAGGTCTTGAGTCCGATCCCTAGCCAGGCTATGAGTGCGTACTGCTGAGGAGTCCCGTGCTAGGACGAAACAGCTGTCCAGTGCTCCCAGATTTTCAGTGGTTCCCCAAATTATGTCAGTCCGTGATGAATACTAACTAATTATCATCGTTTACACATTTATCTAATAATCAAGCAATCAAATAATAGTCCCCCGGGGGTTTCACCTAACTGATTGGTTAAGATGTAGTAGATGAGGGGACAAAACACAAATTAATAAAGGCTGTGAAAACAAACATTCTATGCAACCACTCCATAAGTCACGCATACTGGTCACTCAAAAACGAATATGAGGGCAAAGGACAAACGTCCACCGTTAGCCACTTCAATGTGCACTGTAGCATCAACCGATGAAATCCCCAACTGTTAGTTTGAGTCCTGTAGGGGAGATGTAGACTGCCTGGTTGGAGTCTCCGAAATGAAAGGAATCAGTGGTTGAGGACTCTTGGTGACATGGCTGAAAACCAGTCACAATGGTCCAGATGTACGTACTCCTTGACATCTTCTAAAGCTTCATTGTTCTCACTAATGTTCACCTTCGGATTGTATATTCCTTCACACAATATTGATTACTTTGATATCACTCTTTTCCTCTTCATTTATTTTTTGAATAGTACTTTAAAGTGTGGCAACTTGAACTGATCCACTTATGTGAGAAGTTCTATGTTGATTTTGTCTATCTGTCAATGTGCACATATCAGTTCACCTGCTCCTATAGAGCTGAGTATATAAGCCGTTCGCAGAGATAGACTGTTCAACGTCGATGCCAAAATCTGCTAGCATGGCTCAGTAGAGGTAACCCACAGATCTATCAACAGTGCCACATTGCAAAATTTGGTTGGTGGTGGAAATACAGTCCCGGAAAATTCTTTTATACTAGCCTACAAGGTACAGAATAATCTTTCGAAGGGTATGCGGAAACATCTACTTTGCCTTACTGAGGCTCTGGCAATACAAAAATCGAGACCAGAATTTGGTATTCAGAGGCAAAGTTGCCACTCCCCGCATATTTCGTCGTCTCATAGTTTTTGAAACGCTTCAGTTCTTAAGTTTAACCAACGTAAACGCTATCTATAGCTCCGTAACTAATGTGTCACTGCACTCAGCAAAAGAAACAAGATCCGGATTTTCAACACCAACATCAACTCAGTGCTTCTATATGGTTAAGAAACTTGGCGTCTCACAAAAAGCATTTCCAACAAACTACAGACATCCATCAACATATGCCGTCTAAGCTCACTCGATAATGAAGACCAGATCACATGGCCAGAATAATATGAATAAGCAACTCTGGCTGGCTGTCAACAAACCAACCAACAACTTATTGCCCAACAAATATGGATTGGAATGGACATACACTGAGAAGACGAATTGGGGACATCACGCACCAGGGCCTCGGGTAGAATCCAAAGGGAAACGATGAGTTGGGTGTCCGAGGTGAGGGTGACATGGATGAGATCATGTGAGGAAGGAATGAAAGCTTGTAGACAGTTGTGCAGCTAGGTTCAAAAGACTGTAGAGGACAGAGTGTAATGGAGGCGTATGTTCCTACAAGGAACCCAAGGGAAAAATAATATGATAATAATAATAACTAATGTGTCATTTCCTTCCTCATTCAGAACTGTCCACCTACTTTGTCACGAATTCTTAAATTTTCAATTTACACTCACGTTTTCAAATATTGTTCATACTGCTTGCACAATTTGTATTACCACATTATTTTCCTGGTTATTAATAGTTATTGCTTGTAAAACATTGATTTTTTTTCTTTTTTCTAATGAATATACATATAGTAATTACATTTAAGTGCGATTGTACACTTGGAGAGGATGATACTGCCAAAAACAAATTTGTTCCCTAAAGTCTTTATTGTTTTCCAGACAGACTCATGTCCATAGATGACCAATTACAATCAATGAACTACAAGTCTAGAAGAAACAATTAACTCAAGCCCAAAGTTTTCATTTCACAACGGTCGAAAATAGCTTAATGATAAGATAGTTATGTGGCAGTTAGATGATAAAAGACAATTCATATACTGATCACAACAGAGATAAAAGGAAGATTGTCGACTGAAACACGAGTCTTAAACAGTTCACCAATCTACCCTGAACTCCAATGAATCCGAAGCTGCAGGTAGTTCAAAAGAAACTTTGAAAATCAATTTAGTGCTAAACATCACTAAGCAGACAGTGAGAATTGTATATAGCTAAGAACTTCCCTTTACATCTAGATTCTAAATAAGTATTCATTAGCGATACACAAAATCAGGTAATGCAACTCACTGATTTAATGTATGGCTGAACAGACAGGATGTTAAATACCAACTGATCAATTAAAAGATTTTTTTTACTTCATACATTTCATAACGAAAAGACAAAACTTACAGTCACTGGAAGAAGGATACTGAAGTTAGGGCTGATGATGTCGTCTAGAAAGACGATGAAAGTATCGAGATTAAACAACCCAGCTCAGAGAACACAATACAAGCAATACTGAATGATTGTTTGCTATTCAATAGTCAGCTTTTCATAATGGTACAGCTTGGTAGCATCCTCGACTTTCAATCAGTCGATCATTTCATCTTCTGGTGTTTCTCTCAGCAACTAGGTGGTATCATTAGCCCTAACATACAACAAGTATAGTTCGTCACCTAGTACACGGTTGCAGAGTTACCATTTCGAATAACTGATCAACCAATAATCTAAATATTTACGGAGAAAAAGAAAATCTGGTCAGCGGTTGCGTTTTCAACCTCGTCAGTATGGTTTAAGATCTAAAACTTCGTTCCGGGTTCGAATTCTGCTGAGACCAAGGCATTCTTTCAGTCTTAATCAGAATTAAATTATCATGACCACTTTTCAATACTGAATGAAGTTTACTAACCGACATTACGATAAGTGGGTTCAATTAACTGAAGTTATATTGTAAAACAAGCAACAAACGTTATCCTTCATAGCAGGATTTATTGGATTCATATACTTCAGTAGAACTCGTCAGTGCTTTCTACTCTACACACATAATTTTATATGTATTCTGTTGTACAATAAAGGAATGCATACACATATAATACAGCAGACTAAGACATTGACTGAAGCAAGTGAATCATTTACTACTTATGTCAAACAGAACTAAGATTTGGTTGAGGGGGTAACGAATTGATAATGAAAAATAAAAGGACTAGAAATGGATTACATCATTTCGAACAGAATAATTAGTAGTCAACTAGACAGCTTGGTAAAGGTGTACACTGAGAGAAGAGAATACAGGTGTTAGGTAAACAAAAGTATTGATTATGGTAATAACAATACAGGTGAGCAATAATAATAATGATAACAACGAAAATATGAATACTGAAAAGATTAAAAATGATGACATCTTGAAACAAAGTAGGTGAACATTTGTTAAGACTTAAGTGGTAGAGAACCGGACAGGCAAATCAGTGGCCGCTGGTTCGAGTCCGGCCGTGGTCCTGATTTTTATCTCACCTTCAATCATCACCCAGTATGAATACCAGTCCGCCAAACTACGGCTATCTCAGGTAGTCAAATGATAATCTATATGATGCTCCTCCTCTCTAGTTCACTTACATTTCGATTGAGATAAGAATTGCTGACTAGGCAGCCAGTGTAAATACGATCAAGCGGTAGTAAAGCGACACGAATTCACATGGTAGTCGGTCAAAACCCTTGGTGATTGAAGTGAAACAAAAATCTGATCAGCATTCGGACCTCGTAGCTGCGTTGGTAGAGCACAGAGGTTGAAACCTAATAGTGGGTGGTTATAATCCGGCCGCGGTCCAAATTTTCATCTCACCTTCAATCATCACCCAGTATCAATTAAGAAGCTTGGTAACAGTGCAAAACTAAAGGAGGCTACAGTAATGGTTGGGCGATAACAATGATAATAAAGATGGTGGAGATGAGTCATTTGACTAGCAAGCAAGGAAGTTCAAGAGGACATAATAGTACAATAGAATAATGATAGTGAAGTGAAAAAAATAAGACATGTCTTATTTTTTTCACTTCACTATCATTATTCTATTGTACTATTATGTCCTCTTGAACTTCCTTGCTTGCTAGTCAAATGACTCATCTCCACCATCTTTATTATCATTGTTATCGCCCAACCATTACTGTAGCCTCCTTTAGTTTTGCACTGTTACCAAGCTTCTTAATTGATACTGGGTGATGATTGAAGGTGAGATGAAAATTTGGACCGCGGCCGGATTATAACCACCCACTATTAGGTTTCAACCTCTGTGCTCTACCAACGCAGCTACGAGGTCCGAATGCTGATCAGATTTTTGTTTCACTTCAATCACCAAGGGTTTTGACCGACTACCATGTGAATTCGTGTCGCTTTACTACCGCTTGATCGTATTTACACTGGCTGCCTAGTCAGCAATTCTTATCTCAATCGAAATGTAAGTGAACTAGAGAGGAGGAGCATCATATAGATTATCATTTGACTACCTGAGATAGCCGTAGTTTGGCGGACTGGTATTCATACTGGGTGATGATTGAAGGTGAGATAAAAATCAGGACCACGGCCGGACTCGAACCAGCGGCCACTGATTTGCCTGTCCGGTTCTCTACCACTTAAGTCTTAACAAATGTTCACCTACTTTGTTTCAAGATGTCATCATTTTTAATCTTTTCAGTATTCATATTTTCGTTGTTATCATTATTATTATTGCTCACCTGTATTGTTATTACCATAATCAATACTTTTGTTTACCTAACACCTGTATTCTCTTCTCTCAGTGTACACCTTTACCAAGCTGTCTAGTTGACTACTAATTATTCTGTTCGAAATGATGTAATCCATTTCTAGTCCTTTTATTTTTCATTATCAATTCGTTACCCCCTCAACCAAATCTTAGTTCTGTTTGACATAAGTAGTAAATGATTCACTTGCTTCAGTCAATGTCTTAGTCTGCTGTATTATATGTGTATGCATTCCTTTATTGTACAACAGAATACATATAAAATTGTGTGTAGAGTAGAAAGCACTGACGAGTTCTACTGAAGTATATGAATCCAATAAATCCTGCTATGAAGGATTACGTTTGTTGCTTGTTTGAACTTTGTATCAGGAAATAAATGTTTTCAATTCCTAAAGAAGTTATATGTCACAGGATTCGATTTAAACAGTTATTATCTGTTCAGTCACCCCTGTTTAGTATTCACCGGTTATTAATTAAGCTAATAATTTCGTAGACATAAACATATATACAATAAAATAAATGTAAGTTTATATCAAGGATAGGAACTTACAAGGCTCAGTTGTATAAATATCAAATAATGCAAATGGCGACTATGTAAAACATGATCCAGACCATGAAAATCTGGTGGTAATTGTTTAGGTTTACGAAATGGTGGCCATAAAGACGATACATTTGTAACACCATGACGTTGACGACAACTAGAGCACAATGAGAAAGAGAGAATCGTTTGATACTACTACTACTAATAATAATAATGGTTCATATAAACAGAATACTAAGATTATCCAACTGAACTATAAATATTCTTCACAGTGAATTATGAATAATGTCGTAACAGGAAAAAAAATTTGAGATACACTTTCAATAGGAGAACTTCTAAGATATTTAAAGTGATGATGAGTATCTGTATCTGAGGCAGTAGATTTTGTGGTAATGTCCTTCGAGGTTGGCATTATTTAATGAAGAGTTTTCAACGACATTTTAGTAATCTTCACTGTGATTTTGGAAATCGGTCGAAAACGTGAATGCTCTTTCACAAGTATTTACACCTAATTGATTGTTGCGTCTCTTCAAGTTGCTTGACTTCTGACTTTTATATTAGCCAAAAAGTGGAAAAAGTGAATCTTAGATAAGTGTTGTTATTCGTACTATTTTATTTATTTTAGGAGTCATTTTACTTATCCTTCAATTGGCAACACTGATGAATCTAATCACAGTTGGGAGGGTTGAATTGCGTCACTCATCGTGTTAGTGGACTGGATATACGAGACTGGGGAAGTATATTCCGCACCCATCACATGCAATGTCAACTTAAAGACTAAATCGGCAGAATCGCGTGCTTTAGACAACCGCAACCAAACAAATTGGAGAAGTGGTTAACTCAGGAATATACCACTGACCGTCTGTGTTCCGAAACAGTTGATGTGTTTATCTGGAGCAATTGACTTTGTTCATTTCACTGTATGGTTGAGTATTGATTGCGTCCAGTCTTAAGACTGTAAAAATGGTGGTGGATTGACTTTTAGTCTCTTACTACTCGACAGGAGTTCATTCCTCACTGTTTTCGTTCATGTTCAGTCAATATTTGACAATATAGTTCACATATGTATAAAAAATCAGATACAGGAAGCTAAATGGTGAATCTATAGTTAGTTAACTGATAGGCAATCAGTTCGGAAACTGAGATTGATGACCAACAGACGACGTCTGACTGTGTACTGTTCATCAGATATTCCTCTTCATGATACACCTTTTAGGCGTTGTACATATTGATACATCTTTAGAAAATGCATTATCTATTCGATATTGAGGACCTACATAGAAATCATGTCCTACCTACGTTAACTAACATGATGAAGAGTGATAGAATGGGCTCCATATATACCAAACATCGGAAATGTAGGAATAACATCCCAAGAATAACCATTTTAGTTGTCAGGTTCCGACTACCAATTAGATTTTATCAATTAATCTTGCGATTTGGTTAATAATTGATGTGATTGGTGTTTGTTACCGGATATTCGAAGATAATGAGCAGTGGACCTGGTATTTCCAAGCTTCGTGTCTATCTCTACTAATCATTAGCAACATATACAGGCTAACATGATGAAACCAAGGTCTTTGTTGATGAGGTTTCGTTTGTTAATTTTGCCTAGAAAGGCAATGAAAGCTGCACGATTAAACGATTCAGCTTACAGAATGCAACCCTCGAATCGGTCCCCTAAGCTACAAATACTCTATATAAACTCATACATCAGCCGAGACGTTTGCATTTGTATCACATAGTGCTAAAGTTAGAGACCTCACTGCTATAACACTCGGGTTTGAATACGTATTGAAGACAGACATAAAGTCTAAATAAATTATCGAGTCTAGTCAATGAACTCCGAATATCTACCATAAAAGAGCAATAAACCGCATTAAACATTATTTTAATAGGAGTGATGACTGAAAATAAACTGAAAAACTGAGTCAAATCAGGAATTTAGGCGATTGATCTCCAAATCACCGACTGATAGCCGCTATCTTGATGTAGTAGTAGAGCTTGCAAATCATAACCCAATTTACCATGCTAGTCGGAAAGATTGTTTTTTTCACATTCTATAACACCAGAAACGTCTGCAGGACAGTGGTAAGATCAAAAGTAGCTACCGTTATAGTATAAATAGCTTACGCAATGATATAGGTTCAAAGGAGAAGTTGTATTGCCATCCGTACTGGATGCAATGGCAATAAGGTTGGTTCCTATGGATATCCAGCAGTTCATATTGATACTACCCTCTCTACGGGAAGTGGATCAGTTCCAAAAAATAGCACTCCCGCCAACATTGCAGTCTTTCAGTTTTGATGGAAGTAGTTTTCCTCATCTACCTGTAGCACAGTCGTATATGAACGACGTAAAATAGATGCTCTATGGGCTCTGTGGTCACACAACGCTATTACTAATCCATTTTCTTTATCCACTTGGTCTCTAAGTCTTAACCCAATTTCGATTTTAGTTTCGACTTGAACCAACACCTCATGACTTTATGACCAATCTACAAAAATAATACTACCTTGCTTAGCCTCATTGAGGACTATTATTATTATTATTATTATTATTATTATTATTATTATTATGAAAATAAGCTTACTGTTCTCGATATTTCTCCATAGCTAAAGCTGATTCTCTTCGACTATTCACTCGAAGCATATGAAAAACTGGATCGAAATCAGTATGCCATAAACTAGGCCGTAGAAAATAATGTCCACTAATAAGGCTGCCAGAGTTTTCATCACATGTAGGTGCAGCATAAGTTGCCACCTAGATAGTATATTTGTATACATAACAAGGAAACAAAGAAGATTAGGGGGACAGTGATGAAAAAAGCATGAGAGACAGAACCCTATATTGTTTGTCAATCAAAAAACATGCCCACAAGTGTACAAAGAAAAAACAATTAAGTTAAATACCATTATTGCTTGACTGTATAAAATGCTGAATGAATATCAGTGTGAAACATTTGTAAAAACATATGCCTTGAAAGTGAAGGAATTAGACACTTAGGTAAAAGAGTTACTCAATAGACAACAACAGCTTTACACCGACTCATTTCACTTCTACAAAAATTATCTGAATGATTTTAAATGTATAAAGTAGGCTGGTTAAGAAAGATCAAACGTGTTATGTGCTATGAAGTTATACACCATTGAAGTCATTCAGAACTAATCAGATTCTCGAAGAAAATTTCACAACATCACCTGACTATATGTATGTGATTATTGGACTGAACAATCCATGCAGAAATTAATTATAGCAACTTTCTACAAGGCACTCAATGAACCAAAGTCATCTGTTGACGCAGAAATAGACGGTTTTTGCATATAACTGACTGAATAAATATACACCTTGGCGTTTTACTGTTTTTCTTGCTTTCGATGGGGTGAAAAACCATCGAAAATGAGGATATGAAGATTATCGTTCAAGAGTTTATACATATTAGCAGTAAATATTATTTTTAGAAACGCTAATTGATATCATGAAATATTGGGGCAAAAAGTACTGAACAATTCAATTTTATTACTATATATCGATATACATGAAATTCTCCGTTGTTTCATTGGATGGAGTCGTTCGACGAAACGCGCATCCTGAATTCCTCTGCTAGCCACAACCAACTAAATTACTATAAGTAACATTCGGGCAATATCGAGGCATCAGCATAGGAGCCCATATGCCAACAGAGGTCGAACAATGCGATCCTATGAAACAACGGAGAATTTACAAGTATATTAATAAACAGTAATAACTACTACCCGTTGTACAGGAAGTGGCTACCGTGCCCTCCGTGGCATAGTGGAGAACGCCTTGGCGCTTGAAGTGACGGGCACGAGGTTCGAGTCCCAGTGGGAATAACATCACTCACTGGAGTGCAGGTACATCCAGCTGGTGAGTCCCAAATAGGACGGAACGCACGTCCTTGATTCCTCTGCTAGACATAGCCAACTGAATTCCACTTTAATCTGGAGATTTGTGGGGACTTATTAATTTGAAGTTGGTATTCACTGATGGGTGTAGGAAAATTTAGGCCATTAGAAGCCGATCTAGTGATTGAATGGTAAGGTGTAGGCCGGCGAGTTTGAGGGTCATGGTTTTGACCCCCTGACGAGATCATGGATGCCTACTGCTGAGTCGCATACTAGGATGAAACAGCTGTCTAGTGCTTCATCAACTGAAGTCTGTGCATGATGAATATCAGTGTGAAATCCCCACAAACCTCTAAATTGAAATACCTAGGAAAAGTTGATGTATGGTACTGTGCAAATTGACAACCTAATAGACAGTTGCATCACCGTTTAAAAAAAATTTTAAGAACACAGTGAAGATTTACAATCAGAGACAGAAAACCATGGGATATGCTGCTGTTAAACCATCCTTCTTGTGTGGTAGAACAAAGACGCAACAGTGAAGAAAACTTTCTTTCTATAAATTCCACCTACTTAAGCTGTACAATAATATTCATAAACACTGAAAAACCCAGTTTATTATTAAGCGATAAGGTCTTGTTATCATGAAAGGTTTCTCGAAAAAAGAAGGAAATCACTAATTTGGACATGGTAAGGCTAATGGGTGAAAGTAATGCCTTTGAATTCAAAGATCAAGATTAATGTTGTGATTTCTCATTGATTCGGTTTATGTACAGATGGCTCACATGAGATTCTTTGGAACTGTAGGGGAGGGACTTTGAAAATCCCATTTGAAGGAACTAATATGAGGAACTGCATGTCCGGAGATGAAATGTTCAAGAATAGAATAACTGAAATTCCTTATATCTTCTCTGAAAAAATCATAATGGATAATGATTGAAAATAAATTTCGAACACCAATCTGTTTACGTCCAATGTACGTTTCTCTGCACAAAAAGAAGTAAGCCAATAGATGCACACTAAAGTAGCAAAAAGCGGCATCCTCTTCTTAAAGAATAAATGAATTGACTGTGTTCCTCAGAAATCTCGACAGATGACCTTTTGGGATTTCAGCTACAATGTCCCTAAGACTGTCGATAACTTTCTATTGTTGACCTATCCTCCACGTTAGGTCAATTAATCCAGGCAGATAACCATTATCTAGAGGAATGTTATGTGGACATTTTAGATCATTATAAAGCCCGCAACCTCACCTGAATAACTAGTTCACTAGTTACTGGGCGGTCTCAAGCCCCCATAAAGAGAGAAGGTTGGGCATACGGCGAGCAACCATATCACGGACAACAAATCATATCGCTAAAGAAACTTCAAATCACAAAGAAATTACAGAAATTATAAAAAATAAAAACAAACTTATTCCTAGCTGGAATCGAAGAGAAGAAATGACGCCACTCAGTGAAAGCCTTCAGGAAACCAGTCGGCCGATGTGTCTTCTCAGTCGGTGAAAGAGAAAGTAAGCATAGGAACATGGAATGTCCACACCATATATGAACTTAGCAAGGCTGTCCAGGTTCCAAAACAGATGACAAGGCATGGCATAGAAGTGCTTAGAATCTGAGAGAAATCTGCAGATGGAATGGAAGTGGACTCTCCAAACTGTCTACCGGACAGTCAATAATCTACTACGATATTGTCATCCAGACGACAACCACGAGTACACTGAGTTTTGAAGTGGCTATCATGATGTCCGCCTCCAAAGAGCATCAAAGGCTCTCTCTCATGCAGTGGGAACCAATCTCCTCCTGCACGATCACGATCATGACAGCAAGATGGATTCAACTCAAAAGGAAGAAAAGTCACAATCATACAATGCTACGCTGTGCACCTACAAATAATGCAGATCTAGAGAAGGAGGAATTCTATACACAACTGAAATCAACACTGGACAAGATCTCAGCTGGTGACATCAAAATTCTAATGGGCGACATGAATGCCAAACTGAGAGTGGACAACACAGGAAGAGAACTAACCATGGGTCGAGAAGCACTCAGTAAAGTGATGAACGACAATAGAGAACTGTTTGCAGAATTCTGTGCATTCAACGATTCGGTGATTGGAGGCAGTGTATACAAACACAAGGATATTCACAAAGCGATATGGATTTCACAAGACAACAGACACTAAAAATCAGATCAACTTTATCTCAATGTGAAGAAAGTGGAGACACAGCCTACTGGACACAAGATCAAGAAAGGGAGCAGATGTAGGCTCAGACCACTTACTGTCCAGTGCGAGGAACCTACCTTCATAATCGAGTTGAAAGCCTACAAGGAAGCTAGTGATAGACCACACTTCAACTTCAACATCCAGAACAGAAAATGAAGTGAAGGACGAAACTACAAACAACATCTTCATGTCAGCCAGTCATTAGGATAAAATAGAAGACATTGAGCAACATCCCTGAAGAAATCTGTGGAACTCTTTGAAAGAGATATGGAAATCAAACTGCATAACCGTATTAGAAAGGAATAAGAAACAAGACAAGGAATAGATCTCGACGGACACATGGAAGCTGATAGAGCAGGGAGGAGAAGATGGTGGTGGTGAAGCAGAAGATGAACAAGTGCAAGGATGCACAACGACAAGAGGAACTAAATACAACATATAAAACACTACACTGAACAAAGAAGTGAAGAAGAGTGGGCGCAAAGACAAAAGACACTTCTACGAAACACTGGCAAGTGAAGCAGAATAGGCTGCAGGAGAGACCTGACAACACTTTATCAAATAACCAGGCTACCATCTGAATACAGATCGACACAAGCGAAACCAGTGAAAGATAATGAAGGAAACTTAGTTACCGAAGGGAGAGGAGAAACAAAGGAAAAAATGGGCCGACCACTTCAAAAAACTCTTGAATCGACCACCACCACCACCACCACTACAATCTACAACTCGTCCAGAAATACCACCAGCAGCCCAGTCACAGAACTATCAGTGTACACAAGCCCCCGACAAAATTAGAAGTGAAGTCCTGAATGCCATGAGGTTGCTGAAAGCCAGGAAAGCAGCAGGACCAGATTGAATTCAGACAAAAGTACTGAAAATAGATCCAGAGACAACAGCAGACACGCTCACACCACTACTGCTGAAGATTTGCAAGGAAGGAAGGAAAGGTATCTGCCAGATGGAAGAAGGGCTACCTGGTCAAACTCCCAAACAAGGGAGACCTAAGACTTTGCAAGAACTGGTGAGGAATCATGCTGTACTCCTGTCCACCCCAAGCAAGTACAAATCACCATGAACAGGAGAAATCTAAAGGAAGTAGTCCCTTTCACCTACGTAGGTAGCATCGTTCCAACTACAGGTGGTACAGATAAGTATGTCAAAGCCAGCATCAGAAAAGCAAGACTGGCTTTCACTAATCTGAAATCACTGTGGAGATCTACTGCACTCAGTATGTGAAACAAGATCAGGATTTTCAACACCAACATCAACTCAGTGCTTCTATATGGTTAAGAAACTTGGCGTCTCACAAAAAGCATTTCCAACAAACTACAGACATCCATCAACATATGCCGTCTAAGCTCACTCGATACTGAAGACCAGATCACATGGCCAGAATAATGAGAATAAGCAAAAAGGAACTCTGGCTGGCTGGCAACGAACCAACCAACAACTTATCGCCCAACAAATATGGATTGGAATGGACATACACTGAGAAGACGAATTGGGGACATCACGCACCAGGCCCTCGAATGAAATCCAAAAGGGAAACGACGAGTTGGGTGTCCGAGGTGAGGGTGACAAGGAGGAGATCATGTGAGGAAGAAATGAAAGCTTGTGGACAGTGGTGGAGCCAGGTTCAAAAGACTGCAGAGGACAGAGTGTAATGGAGGCGTGCTGCTGAAGCCCTATGTCCCACTAGGAACTCAAGGGACAAACAATAATACTAATAATCTAGTATGTCTTCAGGAAAGATCTTTCGTACCCTCGAATACAGCGAACTCATAAGGTTCTGTCTGCATCCAAGAGTAAAATAGCTTTTTCTTTTTGAAATACAGGAAGTTGGTTCATCTGAGGGAAAACACCTTATCATCATCAGAGCCCCGTCAAGCCATTAGCATGACTTAGTCACAAAATCACTCTTCTGGAGCTTTTAGTATAACCTTGACAAAAAGTATCAATACGATAGAACCGAAAGGAATAAGGAATTCAATCAATATGTAGACAATATAAAAAAAAATGAATGTCTTCATTTGTATTAATCTACTCTGTATCAACTCTATGAAATCTATTCTCCCAATCAGAAACACAATACATATTATATAAGAGTCAAAAACACTTTCATTGAAATATAAAATAAAGTGTATATCTTTTAGGAGGTAGTTCTGATCGAAACGATTTATCTAGAGCGAAAACGATCCTCAATCAATATACAACAAGATTGAAAAGGTTTACCTTTTTTAATACATAGTCTAAATTGTCTGATGTACTAGTTACTCCACAACGTTCAGGAATAAGAATTAAAAGATCACTACGTTTTCTCGATTCTGGAGCTAAGACAGAAACAAGTTCCTTACGTAGTAATTCTTCTTGTGATAAGCCTAAATGATAAAAAAAAGGAAGTTTAAAGCAATTCAATCTGAAGTAAGATAACCAAACAAATGAGAAAGTCAACTGATACAGTTCGAATTTATGTCACTAGATAATGACCATTCAAATGATGAACACAATTTGAAAATATTGTGAAACAAGCGCCTTGAGGTTGCAAGTTATCATTTGACTATCTGAGATAGCCATAGGTTGACGGACTAGTATTTTATACTGAGAGATAATTGAAAGTGTGGTGAAAATTTGGATTGCAGCCGGATTCGAACTAGTAACCACCAGGTTTCCTGCCCAATGCTTTACCAACCGGCAGCGGTTCAAATTTTCATTTCACCTCCAGTCATCTACAAGTATAAAATAATATTCTGCCTGGTTGCCTAGTTTACTAGTTACTAGAAATTACAGAAATTATAAAAAATAAAAACAAACTTATTCCTAGCTGGAATCGAAGAGAAGAAATGACGCCACTCAGTGAAAGCCTTCAGGAAACCAGTCGGCCGATGTGTCTTCTCAGTCGGTGAAAGAGAAAGTAAGCATAGGAACATGGAATGTCCACACCATATATGAACTTAGCAAGGCTGTCCAGGTTCCAAAACAGATGACAAGGCATGGCATAGAAGTGCTTAGAATCTGAGAGAAATCTGCAGATGGAATGGAAGTGGACTCTCCAAACTGTCTACCGGACAGTCAATAATCTACTACGATATTGTCATCCAGACGACAACCACGAGTACACTGAGTTTTGAAGTGGCTATCATGATGTCCGCCTCCAAAGAGCATCAAAGGCTCTCTCTCATGCAGTGGGAACCAATCTCCTCCTGCACGATCACGATCATGACAGCAAGATGGATTCAACTCAAAAGGAAGAAAAGTCACAATCATACAATGCTACGCTGTGCACCTACAAATAATGCAGATCTAGAGAAGGAGGAATTCTATACACAACTGAAATCAACACTGGACAAGATCTCAGCTGGTGACATCAAAATTCTAATGGGCGACATGAATGCCAAACTGAGAGTGGACAACACAGGAAGAGAACTAACCATGGGTCGAGAAGCACTCAGTAAAGTGATGAACGACAATAGAGAACTGTTTGCAGAATTCTGTGCATTCAACGATTCGGTGATTGGAGGCAGTGTATACAAACACAAGGATATTCACAAAGCGATATGGATTTCACAAGACAACAGACACTAAAAATCAGATCAACTTTATCTCAATGTGAAGAAAGTGGAGACACAGCCTACTGGACACAAGATCAAGAAAGGGAGCAGATGTAGGCTCAGACCACTTACTGTCCAGTGCGAGGAACCTACCTTCATAATCGAGTTGAAAGCCTACAAGGAAGCTAGTGATAGACCACACTTCAACTTCAACATCCAGAACAGAAAATGAAGTGAAGGACGAAACTACAAACAACATCTTCATGTCAGCCAGTCATTAGGATAAAATAGAAGACATTGAGCAACATCCCTGAAGAAATCTGTGGAACTCTTTGAAAGAGATGTGGAAAGCAAACTGCATAACCGTATTAGAAAGGAATAAGAAACAAGACAAGGAATAGATCTCGACGGACACATGGAAGCTGATAGAGCAGGGAGGAGAAGATGGTGGTGGTGAAGCAGAAGATGAACAAGTGCAAGGATGCACAACGACAAGAGGAACTAAATACAACATATAAAACACTACACTGAACAAAGAAGTGAAGAAGAGTGGGCGCAAAGACAAAAGACACTTCTACGATACATTAGCAAGTGAAGCAGAACAGGTTGCAGGTAGGAGAGACATGACAACACTATATCAAATAACGAGGAAGAGATCAACACAGATGAAACCAATAAAGGATGATGAAAGAAATCTAATCACCAAAGAAGAGAAACAAGGGAAACAATGAGCGGACCACTTCAAAATTTCTTGAGTAGACCACCACCACCACCTGCACTTCGTCCAGAAATACCACCTGCAGCCACAGAAGTACAAGTGAACACGAATCCTCCAACAAAAGTCGAAGTCCTGAACGACATAAAGCTACTGAAATGCCGGAAAGCAGCAGAACCAGATGGAACACCGCCAGAAGCACTGAAAATAGACACAGAAACAACAGCAGACATGCTCACACCACTATTGCAGAAGGTCTGGAAGGAAGGAGAGGTACCGACCCATTGGTTGTAAGAAGGGCTACCTTGTCAAACTCCCGAAGAAGGGCGACCTAAGTCTTTGCAAGAACTGGCGAGGGATAAAACTGTACTCCTGTCCACCCCAAGCAAAATATTATGCCGCATCATCCTAGGGAGACTAAAGGATGTGCTGGACTCAAAACTACGACCGGAACAGGCTGGATTCAAGAAGTACAAATCATATGTGAACGAAGTTGTGACGCTTCGCATCATCATAGAACAGAGTATAGAATGACAGTCAACTATCCACCTCAACTTCATCCACCTTGAAAAAGCCTTCGATAGTGTCGACCGACAAGTAATCTGGCAGGCAGCTGCTCCAACACTACGCTTCTAGTGCCACAAACCTTTATCAACCTCATTCAACAACTATATGAAGACGCTACATGCCAACTAATTCACAATGGTGATTCACCTTAGTGATGCTTTTGAAGTGAAGACAGGAGTGAAACAAGGCTACCGCCTACTATCACCCATGATATTCCTGATTGTGGTCGACTGGATCATGCAACAAACAGTGAGGAGCTGTGAGAAGAGGGGGATACGCTGGACCGGGGAAAAGATCCTAGAATATTTGGATTTCGCCGATGACTTATGTCTAATGTCACACAAACTGGAAGATCTATAGACGAAATTCAAGAAGTTAACAGAAGAGGCAGAGCAGCGAAGACGGGACTTCAAGCGAACGTAGACAATACAGAGGTGATGATGATACCCAACCAACGCCACCAACAACAACAAGAAACACCAATCATCATCAACGGGAGAAATCTAAAGGAAGTAGTCTCTTTCACCTATCTAGGCAACACTGTTTCAACTACAGGCGGCATAGGCACAGACGAGGATGTCAAAGTCAGAATCGGAAAAGCAGGACAGGCATTCATCAGCCTGAAACCAGTGTGGAAATCTTCTACACTCAACATGTGGAACAACATCCGGATTTTCAACACCAATGTCAACTCAGTGCTTCTGTATGGCTCATGGACTTGGTGCATTATGAAAGGGATTTCCAATAAACTACAGACATTCATCAACAACTGACTACGCTGGCTCGTTACTGAAGATCAGATGGCCAGAATAGTCAGAATAAGCAACAAGGAACTCTGGCTGTCAACGAACCAACCAAGAACCTATCGCTGAACAAATATGCAGAAGGAAGTGGAAATGGATTGGGCATACACTGAGAAGGCCGACTAGAGACATCACACGTCAGGCCAGGCCAGGTACTCGAGTGGAACCCCCATGGGAAGCGACGAGTTGGGCGTCTGACGTGAGGGTGACATGGAGTAGGTCATATGAGGAAGAAAGGAGAGCTTGTGGGCTGTCGTGGAACTAGGTTCAAAAGATTTCAGAGAAGAGAGTGCACTGGAGACGTGCTACTGAAGCCCTATGTTCCATTAGGAACCCAAGGGACAAATAATAATAATAATAATAATAAACTACGGCTATCTCAGGTAGTCAAATGATAATCTATATGATGCTCCTCCTCTCTAGTTCACTTACATTTCGATTGAGATAAGAATTGCTGACTAGGCAGCCAGTGTAAATACGATCAAGCGGTGGTAAAGCGAAAGGAATTCATATGGTCAGCATTTTGACCTCGTAGCTGAGTTGTTAGAGTATCGGGTCAAAACCCGGTAGTGGGTGGTTATAATCCGGCCGCGGTCCAAATTTTCATCTCACCTTTAATCATCACCCAGTATAAAACAACATGTAATCCAGATAATACTTCCCATGGTCTCACGTTTCTAATACAACACCACTTCATATTTTCAAGGAACAAAAAGAAATCCCTCTAGGGATTGGGCAAATTGTATATCAGTTGATCCACATTTAGACTCATACTGTGTAAGTTTATCGCATTAATAAACCATTGTGATTTCAAAATGCTGGAAAACATGTTCGATTAGTGGGTTCATTGGTTCGAACCCTGCTTTAAATACTTTAAGCAGACTCAACTCGTACCTAATCATATATATATATATATATATATATATATATATATATATATATATATATATATATATATATATGGAGCTGCGACTTATTGGTTTGAGATGACTTTCAACTAATGCGTCACGGGTTCGAATACTGCTCTATCTACTGAGATTTGAGCAGCCAGGTGGTGTTGGCTGTATAAGTAGGACGAGCTTCACATAATTTGAAACACTTAGTACACGTTACCAATTGTAAGTTAAATGACCCCACATAAAAATACAATTACTTCGTTTTATTACTAACCTAGATTATTGCGTATATCCAATATCCAACAAAGATTTGTTAACCAGGCTTCTAAAGCCATTGGTTTACGATCAAGATTTTTTGGCTCAGGTGGTGTAATCAAACTTAACAGTTCATTATGAAAGCATATACCTCGTAGCAGTTTTGTTTGATCAACTAAAGCGTTTAAAAAATACGCAGGTGGTAATAAAGCTGTACAAACCTATAGAGAAATGAAAATTAATCAATCATATTAATGATGATATAATATTTTATTGAAATTATCATACCATGAGAAAGTAAAATTAGTTTACTGTGAAAAGAAACAAAACACTTTAGAGAAGGCAATTCAATCCAACATGGGTATGCAACCCTACTTCTATTCAGCTTTCATCATCATTATCAACATAGGACCAGGCATTACTGCCTAACGGTCCGAGTTGCCACACCTCATATCAGCACATCAAGTAAAAAGGTAGTGAGGTGAAGGATGAAGATAAGTGAATGCAGTCAAAAGAAATATAAAGTACGAGAAGAAAGGAAAGAGGAATGACAAAATAGTGAGATTCGGTGTAGCGTTGTTAAGATGAGGATAATGTGTGTATACATCTGCGCCACTGACATCGGTTCTGAGCCATATCACCTAGGGTCTCCAACCACTGGTTCCTCTTGTCCCGTGGACCCCAACCACCTAGTCTGCATCGTCCTACATGGCTTAAACCAACAGTCAGAGACTTCATACATTGGTGCCATGTTTTAGTCTGGCCACCTCGGGCCTTTTTCCAGCCTGAACCCACCTCAGCCAACATTGTGTGACGAGGCAATCGGTGACTAGGCATACGTAGTACGTGTCCCAACCATCTCAGTCGATGAAGGTTCACAACCTCGTCGACTGACTTACCTCTTCTCCCTAAAACTCTACACCTAACTTCTGCATTACTCACATGGTGACACCACGGAATATGTCCTATACTACGAAGGCAACGGTGGTCAAATACCTGTAACCTTCTCATGTCTTCCACTTTCAATGGCCATGTTTCACAGCCATACAGTAGAACAGAGCGGACTGCTGTGCAGTACACGCGACCCTTAATAGACAAACGAATATCACGGCGGCGCCATAGGTGGCGCAAATTGGCAAAAGCCAATCGAGCCTTTTGTATCCGTGCAGAAATCTCATCGGCAACTAACCCACCGGAGTTGATCCTACTCAGCTTTACGACATAGTGATAATGTAAGAGCGTATAACACTAAGCTAGTAATCAAATCTCTATTGATAGGACAACATTTTGAATCTGTAATACACTAGTTCCAGTTTAGGTAGAATGGCTTAAAGTAATTTAGAGAAAATTAATGGCGTAAATTATCATGTCAGTACTTTATTGAGATTTACAAATAATTATAGATATTTTCTATGCAGTAGACAGGAAGACTAACATGCCAATATAAAAACTCACACAAATGTCCAAACATTCATATTGCCAAATTTTGTAACACTGTAGTAACAAGGGAAAGAAAGACTTAGCTTTTCTGTTTGTTGGCGTGTGTAGACAAGGCTAACTATTCTTTAACATAGATCTTTAGGACCTCAACCAATAAATGCTTCGACCAGGCTATAATCACTATGGTAGTCAGATCAAAAAAAAACTTCTACAAAGCTAAATTATGTAACAGGACTAGAGTCATCAGACAGTACTACTAACCAAAGAATACAACCTTGAAAATAAGATCGAGTTATTAGTAAGGTTGGCAGAACAGTTCTGACAACCAACTGAGTTAAATAACATGAAGCTATTCTCGTCTGAATGGTATGTAAACAGCTTCAACACTAACCGAAGTTTGTTAGGAAATCAGTGAAAGTCATAAAGCATAAGATAGCTCCTTTATCTCACTTTGAGAATTCTCAGCAGTGACGTAATACAACATCGTTCCATAAACTTTCTGGTCTTACAGTAGGCACACTTCAATTCACGTAATGACTTGAAATCTAATAACCAGAATCTGGCAACCTTTCGCAACTTGCGGTATAAAATAACCAGTACTCACTGTAATCGATGAGCGCGCATTCTCATCCCCGAACTAGTTTGACCTAAACTTCACGGTTTATAAATAGAAATTCTAGAAGCCTAACCTTAGAGTCGGTGACTAATTAAAAGCTCAATTCGATCAAAGACTGATATTTAAGATTCAGCAAGAACAAAATAGGTGCAGTCAATTGCGAAGTTTATCATCAGCTGCATACAACAAAGAAATGTGAATGGAATCATGTTATTCTGCCCAAAACTGATTTTCCCATTCCATTTAAATTTAGAGGAAGGAATTACATAAAACTTTTTGGCTGCATCTATCACTTGTCTACTTAGGTTTTGCCTGTCACGTAATCAAATCGAGGGCTAAACAGTTATGGACGTTCAGGTTCTGAGTCAATTATAAAGGTCTACGGGTATGATATGCTGTGCAAACTACTAATTGCCAAGAAAACACCAAAGAATCGTCGTCTTGAATATGAAAAGCATTAATGATGTATGAATTGAAAACTATGGATGGTCAACGAGTCACATCTATCGTCTGAGGACTAGTGATACTTTTCTGGCTGCCCAAACCTCGACAAGTAGGGTGAATTTTAAACCTGGGACACACCAGCTGGAATTCGATTATCTAAACTAATGTGTTGCAGTTTTCACAGCCCTGTAACTTGAAGACTACTGACTTAGATTCTGTTTTGATGTAGGTTCTTTTTAAATAGGATCATCATTCGCGAGTTTTACATCTTCAAGTGAAATAAACGGACCAACCGGGAATTATTAGAGCAGCCCCAAATATCTCTACAATAGTGGAGAATATTTGTAGCTCAGGTGGATGGTCTTGGTTGTATTATGTTCTGTGAGTTGGGCTGTTTAATCGTGAAGCTTTCATCGTCTTTCTAGACGACATCATCAACACTAACTTCAGTATGAAGTGAGCTGTTAACATCTCTCCATGAGTGATTCAGTACCCAGCCATCACAAACTGGTTTGTGATTGGTCGTTTCTCTCGATTGTTGTGTCATTGACTGACTGCATAGATTTTTCTGTTGGCTGTTTCATTGCTTGACTTTTAACCTTTCTGTCGTTTATCACTTTGCTCATTGGTTGATAGATTGGTTCTATGTCTATACATCTGCTGATTGCTGACTAACTAACTTGAATGCCAAGCTCATAGGAATTCTCTGATATTCTTTGTGCTTCCTCTCTCCGTCCAAAATTTCTACATTGTCGAAATCCAATATTCATGACCATAATTATCCACATGCATTGAAATGAGTGATGAAATGTCGTGACGTTTAATAGCCAAATGGTGTTCATGTAGACGAAGATGAAGAGGGTGACCACTTTGTCCAATGTAGTGTTGACTACAGTTATTTCTGTAAATGACATTCGGTTTGTCTTCTCTGGTTGTTGCATCCTTTAGTTTGCATAATTGTGTTTGCAGGGAATTTGTTGGTTTATGAGCCCACCAATTCCAAATGGTTTCAGTAATCTTGTCGTGATTTCTGATATATTCCTTATGTATGGTAGGATGATGCGTTTATTGATTTCTGTCGATGACTTTGTAGTTCATGATGTACATAATAGGCGTTTTCTGATACATTTTCGTGGGTAGCCGTTCTTCTTCAGGATGGATATCGAGTAATTTTCTTCGTTTCTCCTTGAAGTCGTTGTACTGCAATATATTCTTGCTCTTTTGAATAGAGTCTGCACGCAACTGATTTTGTGCGTTGTTGTGTTGTTGCTACTGTAGCTGAGGATTTGATAATAGTTTCCTGTACACTTGGGTTTCCAGCTTTCCGGCATTTTTCCTACTGACTAAAACATCCAGGGATAATAGTTGTTTGACTCCTAATCCATTGTGAATTTGATGTCATTGAAAGCGATGTTGATCAAACTATGAGTGTTCTCTATATCATCTTTTTTAATGATGACAAAAGTGTCTAAATAGCAAATCCAAATTTTCGGTTTAATCATCTCTACAATACCATGGATGCTGTAGGCCGCCGAGCATCAATTAAGCCTTTTGTACTTACGCTAATGTAAATTAGCTACCTGATACAGATTTATTCACTTACCTATACACTATGTGTATTGTGTGATAACTTATCACGTCATCCAGTTACGTAGATCGAAGTAGGTGGAGTATGGTGTGAACCAGGCATCCACTGTTAGAAAGATGACTGCCTGCGTCGATGAGCAATACCATCATTCTACGACAGGATTTCATCAGGATTACTGAGATTCTCTACATAGTTTAGGCGGTCTGAATACTAAATCATTTTGTTTAGTATCCTTGAACGGGGTTCAGTAAAAGCCGACCATGAATCATGTATGATACTTAACATTCTGTGTAAGAAGTATTATCAAAATAAGTAGATTTTCATGGAAACGTACTAGAAAGATCCTGAGACTTCAAAGACACTTTTGAACAAGACTAAATAATTTTCACATGGTAGACAGATTAGAAAATCTTTACGAGATTAATCAGTTAGGAAGTCAACCATAACAAAGTGGAATCTAAAGGATTAAAATAAATGTGCCTACCGCCTAGTGGTTTTCTGCAACTTAGAGGAGAATTTTAGTACAGATATTTCACTGAATTGACTTGATTAAAATCCAAGACATAGAATCCTCGGTTACCAGAAACCACCTCACCCACTCCCAACGGAATAACTTTTCTGAAATTATGCCTTGGTGTAGACAGAGTGAAAGTCGAAGACACAGAGTAGTTAGAGGATCGCATCAGCTTGAATTGGTTACATCTCAAGAATTATTAACAGAATCAGTAATATACATTATTCTAAATTTTTGATGGGGTTTATATAAACACAAGTCATATTGCGTAATACAGTGTATACAATCTTACTTGTAATGCAAATATATCCAAATCAATAGATGAATAACAAAACTGGCTTTGCATATAGTGTGAAACAGACTGTCTGACACCCTGACCATTACGTATCCAATAACCAATGAGCACTTCATGACAACCTAACTGTATAGATTGAAGATGATGTATTTAACAAAGAGAAAACAAGAAAATAGAGTATGAAACCAAGTAAAATATAGGCATTCTGTGAACACTTGACAAATCCTAATCTCCTCAATCATTAGTTCAAAATTATAAAGTGTGTATCAACGAAGTTGGAGCATATAAGATGAGCTGCGAATATGAACGTATAGCTTGCTCATCAACTCAAACTCATCCTGCCATAAAGGATGGGATACGCGAGAATTTCAACTTATTTGTACCTTCTAAATACGAAGTGATACTTACTCAAAAAAAAGTGCTGAAGTCTACAGAAGTTGACATTTAAGATTCAGAGCTATAAAGAAGCTATCATCATCGGTTCCCGCAGGGTACGATATCACCGAATGTTGACATTTTCCCCACTTCAACAAACTTTGATATGTGGCAACTACAATTTACAGACATCAATGAGCATTTTACATTGTTCTTTGAATAAAGGAAAACTCGACAAGAAAATGTTGCGATATTTTGAAAGGTAACAACTTGAAACAATCGAATGCACAAAAGGTAGTTTTTGTCCCCACCAGTCTAGTGAGTAATGTTTTGGTGCCTGAAGCTATGAGTACTGGATTCGAGTGACAATAGGAACAACATCACTCACTGCAATGCAGGTATATCCAGCTGACAAATCCCAGACAGGACGAAACGCACGTCCTGGATTCCACTGCTAGGTGGATTATAGTCCTGTATTACTGGGTTGTCTGTTTGGTACATCACTTCATCAAAAAGTAGTGTTTATTGAACAGTGCTTCGGAAATAATTGAACAGTCATAGTTACACACCAGATAACTCCATTGCATTTCTTTTCTCACAGACGCAAAAAAATTACAGATATAAGACGTTATTACCGTTGATACTTGAGAATTACCAATTAGTTATTGACAAAAAAGAATGACAGAGCGAAGAAATATATTCCTTTTCATATAAGTCTTCGTCTTTGACTCTACATTCATATGTAGGTTTACAGTTAATACTGAAATACCAATCAGATGGTGTGGGGTTTTATTTATTATTTGTCCCTTGAGTTTCTAGTGGAACAAAGGGATTCAGTAGCAGGCCTCCATTGCCTTCTCTTCTCTGCAGTCTTTCGAACCTAGCTCCACCACTGCGCACAAGCTTTCAGTTCTTCCTCACACCATCGCCTCGGACACCCAACTCGTCATTTCGCCTTTGGATTCCACTCGATGGCCTGGCGTAGTGCGTGATGTCCCCAAACCGTCTTTTTTCTCAGTGTACGTTCATTCCAATCCTATCCCTCTCAACTTTTTTCTTCTGCATATCTGTTGGGAGATAGGTTGTTGGTTGGTTTGTTCCCAGCCAGAGTCAGTTTCTTTATGCTTATTCATATTATTCTGGCCATCTGATCGATCTTCAGTATCGAGTGGACGCAGACGGCAGCTGTTGATGATATATGTCAGTAGTTTGTTGAAAATGCTTTTCGTAACGCCCCGCCATGTCCCTCAACCATCATATAGAAGCACTGACTTACTTGACTGACATTAGTGTTGAGAATCCGGATGTTGTTCACGCTTTATGGTGAGTAGAGTGGAGTGGAGTGGAGTGCAGTAGGTCTCCACACTGATTTCAGATTAATGAAGGCCTGTCTTACTGTATTTCCGATACTGGCTTTGATATCCTCATCTGTACAGACACCACCGCCTGTAGTTGAAACAATGCTGCCTTCTAGGTAGGTAGGTAGGTGAAAGAGGTAGCTTCCTTTACATTTCTCCCGTTGATGGTGATTAGTGCTTGTTGCTGTTGTTGTTGGTTGGGTATCATTATTACCTCTGTCTTCTCTACGTTCACCCGAAGTCCCATCTTTGCTGCCTCTTCTGGTGTGGAGTTGACTAACCATAATTCTGGATTAAAATTGTTCATTTAATATAGCCAGCATAAAGTGATACAATATTATTTACTGGATGACGTTTCAAGCACAAATTATTTCTTATAATCATATCAATGTCATCACACCACCTTCGACATTGGACTTTTACAGTCCTATCATCTCATATTCTTTGTTTTCAGTGATAGTAAAATTTTACATATCTCCAAATGATGTCAGTTCATGATGAGTATCAATCTGGTAAGAGTGTTGCATCATCCCTATTACAATTTATTGGGTGTTGATTCAATTAACAAAGATTCAGTATTCAATCTCTCTTTCTCCACTTAATTATTCAGAACAAGAATAATTTGAGCGAGTGAACAATTGTTTTTAATAACTTCTTCAGGCTTTACAGTTACATAAATCCACGAGAATAAGTGAAATACAATAGCCAAAATAAGGCATAATGTGTAATTTTTACTATATTGAAAGTGTTATGGGTGAATGGAGGGAGATCAAATCGAATGGAATGGTGGAACTGTTACCAGTCTAGTGTGTTAATTGTGCAATAAAATCACCACGACAGAACAATCAAGAAATGAGGAAACAAAATTTACAGATAATGATTCATTTATATGCATCTTGATACTGGGCAATGATCGAAGGTGAAATGAAAATGTGGGCTGCAGCCGGATTCTAACAAGCAACCACTGGATTTCTGGTTCCATGGTCTACCAACTGAGCTACGAGGTCCGACTGCTGATCAGATTTTTTATTTAACTTCAATTACCAATACATTTACTGGGCATGACTGTGTGTATGTGCATGTTTTTTTTACTAAGGGTCAAATAATAATTATCTAGTGATGACTTATATTCAAGTGGGGGAAAATCATGTGAATACTTCAACGAAATAGAGAATAACAAATGTGAAGTATTACGTCAAGGTTGAAAATGACTGCAGGTTATAGTAGGAATAAAGAAGGGCATAGAACTAATAACATGAGGAAATGAATGTTTATCAATACAAGAGAGGACAGAGAGGTTTAACTGTGAAATTTGTGGTCGGAAAGTTCATAAAGAACATGTCAATTCTATTATGGGCCAAGGTAGACAAAATGGATGTACATATTTCTTTTGAACACATAGGTCCGGTTTTCTTGCATTGATACATATGGCTTCGGCTATAAATGAGATGCGTAGTCGTGCACTTTCAGACAGATTGCAAAGGACACGATATATCACAGAAAAGGTATGATCTGCCTTGGTCTAATGTTCCGTATCTACCTAATTATATTGAATTTATGTATTGTGATTTTATCCGACCCTCATGTGTGGCTGTGTGATACTCCATGAATTGCAACAATCAAGTTTATTTCTAGATTATTGATCCAATTCGGGTTTGTCACTCTATATTTGGCTAAATTCTTATGCTCCGATAATCTAACTGACCCTGACCGACTAGTTTGATCTGTGTACTTGATCTCATAGTCATTTCGTAGTATTTCGTAGATCAAATTATCTTGTTTAGTTGGGTCAATTGGATCCTTAAGCTGACAAAGCTTATCTCTGAGTCAGTGTAGGTTTGAATGTCAATCTAACTCCAGGCTTCTTGTGAATTTCGCATAAAACTTCCGACCTTTATTCCTTATATTGTAACACAACTTGTGTTGTTTCTATGACTTCGTATTCATACTACTGTCATAATTTCTTTCCTAATATGGTCTTACGAATCTCTTAATAAATTGTAAAGAATAATTAGTACTCAGTATTGTTTCTTTTATATGTTTTGTCAGGAATTGGCCAAAAATGGAAATCATCATTCAAGGTCATTCGTTTCAAATCTTGATTGGTCAAATTAATTCTACCGAACAATTCCATCCTCCAACTGATTGGTGATCTAGTGGCTTCATTTTCTGGGTAAAAGTTGCATATAAATACTGTTTTTTGTTAAGAAAAAAAATCATCTTAAGTCAGTCTTTTGTCTTCTGATTTTCGCGGCTCAGTGAAGTATCAGGTGTAGGAAGGAATAGTCACATTACTCGTATGCAGTTCAAGTATCTCGTTGCGTTATTACTCGTCCCGCTTGTTATTAGAGCCCACGTCATACTCCGACACAGTCACATCATCTTTCAATTACTTTTTTAGGTTCTTGAACTGACTAGTGAGTTTCCTAGCTTTATTAATTGAACGTTTGACGAAACCCGCCTTAACTGACATAGGATGAGATGACCTGAAGTCTAGATACCTGTTAGAATGTATTGGTTCCCTATAGACGATAGTACCTAAACCACTGCTTATTATTCGTTTTACTCTGCAATCCGAAATAGCTATTTCTCTTCGTTTAGTTTTTTGCCTCATAAATGAACTGGGTAGCATCCTAATACTGAGTTTATGTGTGTGAAGAAACTGCCGAGATGTCCCCATTTCAATAGAGTAAATTTGTCATCCAAATAGCTTCGTCACATCTAAGGTGTACGATTAGGCGTTCGAAAAGCCGTGTGTTCTATAAGCATATCTGGTAGGATTGGGGATATGGGTGATCCTACCGCAACTCCTTCTGCTTGTCTTTATCAACTAAATACTGAATCAAAACTTACTCAGAGAACTAAGGTATAAGTTGATGAGATCATGTTAGGAGTAAAGTTTTGTCAGACCTCCACAGTCTCCGAGTTTCAGGACAAAATATATAGACAAACGGAAGGGTTAGTAATGGAACAACTAACATCCTCATTCCTAGTGGATATATTTATGGATAGTTGGAAACATACGGCTCCTCTCCTATTGTGAATTCAATCACCTAATGAACGCTATTCAACTGCTTCAGAACAGTATTCTTATCAAACTAATCTCACATTTCAGCACTAAAAACGTGTTTTCCATCCAACAACAGTATGGTGCCAATCGGTTGTTCTTTTCTTTCAGAGTACTATTCTCTAGTTTTGCTCGAAAAAAATCTGCTAAGATTGAACACAGGAGTGATCTCGTAACGACACCATCATACTGTTTGTAGAACCCATTATTGAACAGGAAATGGGGATTTATCGTATGTCTTAGAAGCAGTTCATTCAAGGTGTAGACAGGAATACCTATTTCAGTGCCACACTTAGTCAGTTCATAGTAAATAAAGTCTACTGCTTCCATTTCCTCAATGAGTATCTAAAGTACAGGTTAAAAGTTCACTGAAGCTAAAGCCATTACCTTTAAATCTATAAAAATTTGATTTGATCACTAGAGATTCAACTAATTATATCTTCATCCATTCAGTCAACCACAGAAAAGAAGGGAATACTCTAAATAACTATTAACATGAAATTGTTTTGTTTCATTTTAGCTACTGATATTTAATTAACAGTAACATCATACAAAGCACAAAAACAGACGCAATTACCATTCCAAAACAGGAAGATGAACATTTAAATATATTGTAATTTTTAGGTTGGAATTCCTCATGGACTTACATCGGTTAGAGGAACATTAGAAAACTGGGAACACTGGACAGCTGTTTCACCCTGGCATGGGACTCCTCAGCAGCTTTCACCCATGACCCTGCCATGGATCATAGGTGTGGTGTCGGCATATGATGAATTCCAACCTAAAAATAAGTCAACAAATCTCCAGATATATTGTGACTTGTTTGATGATAACTAGCAGTGGAATCCAGGACGCGCAGTTCGCCCAATTCGGGACTCGTCATCCGGATATACCTACACTCCAGTGAGTGATGTTTTCCCAACTGAGACTTGAAGCCAACCGCGATCGCTTCAAACGCTAAAGCGCTGTCTACTAAAGCTACCGAGGCACGAGAGCCACCTGTTGTGAAACCAGCATCAGTTATACTTACTTAAATAGTTAAACATATTGAGTATCGGTGTGACTGTATGAGGTAACCGTAGTTGAGCACTCTTATTAAGATCTAGTCAGCAGCTGAGTCTCGTATCTCAGTTGGTAGGGCACTGGAACAGAAACCCGACGGCCGCTGGTTCGAGTCCTGTCACGGTCAAGGTTTTAATTCCACCTTCAGCCATCCCTCAGTGTCAGCAAGATACTTTTCACGAATATCTTTTTTTTTACTGATTAAAATCAAAAAACTTACCAAAACATTCACTAAATGTTCCATAAAACGTCTTAGTAAACGTGGTTTTGGCAAAAGATAATCAGCCAATAATTGCCGTACATTCACACCATGTTGCATAACAGACAAGTGAAGAAAACAAGAGACATGACGCATCAATGGTAAGTGAAGACTGAGAGCTGAACGTGTTGGTCGTGTTTCTGGTACAGTTGGGGAAATTAAACGACCAAGATTATTCAGTAGATCACCTAGACTTGATAGACAGGCCTTAGTATACAATAAACAATGTTCACGTTCAGACTAAAAGGTAAAAAGGAAAAAAAATAGTCAATTCGGTGGAATCTAATCTTTAATTAGGAAATATACGAAAATCGCATGACGTAGGAATGAAAAATGACTTATTTTGAGAAGAGGACCCAGCAAATTTAAGGCTACCTCTTCGTCAAATAAGATTAACCACTAATTTTATTCTTTGTTAAGTATGTACCCATCCTATACATAGAGACAGAAGGATTATGAGGATAACTATGATGTCACAGTAAGCAATTAATTCGCATTGGACAAGAGTCGCCTCTTAAAGCCAGAGTAAAAACATAAAGGCCTTCAACAGAGTATATCACTGGACAGGACTGATCACCAAATTGGTAGACAGGGCAAAAATACTTAGGGGTCGTTCTCCCCAAATGCTCTTATATGATCGGCGTTCATAGCTCCTCCTAAGGAGGTTTTACTAATCCTAAACATTTGGTGAGAGATGTTTCTACAAAAGTAAAAGAGTGAAATCGAATGTTCGGTGCTATAATTGGATTGATGTACACATGTGTAGTTTGAAAACCTTGATTTCAAACCGGTGGTGTACATGAAATCAACGATTCAGAACGAATGAACAATGTATGAACCTACCTTCACCCCCAGCAACCATTGGAACGAAGTACCTTATGTTGCTTCACTGCCTTGTGAACTGAATTTCAAGTTGAAGATTCGAAGAGCAATCCCTCAATACAACTATCTACTTTGTTCTGAATGTCTTGGCAGTATCGGAGTCCATATATAACTTATGAACCAACATTATTAAAAGAGTATGCAAAGCACTTACCAAATCTTCCAGTAACGACCTTTCTACCCAGTGATTCAACCTCTTATCATTATACAACCGTTACTTTAGGATTTCTGTTATCATCCTCAAATTTATATTTATGCGTATCTTTATTTCCCTCAGCTGCACGTCATCGAGTAAAATTTATGGTCTCCCTGCGCAATATCCAGTTGCTAAACAGTAGCTTCCATGAAAGAAGTTTCCTCCCTCCGATTTTTGACTAAACTATCTTGAAACCGTGAGTACCATTTAAGCTGCCTGCGACTTAAGCCGTTAGCATTCAGTGTCGGTTGGTATGGTATATGCTTTGCACCACCAAAGAGCAAGGTGCTTCTACAAGATTGTTAAAAGTCTGTACTTGTACTCATTTTTGGCAGTGAACCATAGGAAGTAGCTGAAGCTGTGAGTCCGGGTATTCGCACGAATACTGGTAGAGGTATAACTAATGAAATTTATAAGAGTATACCGAAAACCAGAGCAGTAAACGCCAATCTGGATCACCTTGATACTATTTAGAGACTAACCTGTCTGACAGAAACAGGGTACACAATGCTTCAGTCAGAACAGTTGTTTTCTACATATGTGAAACTTGGCCTCTTCAAAACGATGTATGTTTAATCGCCCTTGTCTGAGTACGATTTCTCGCATCCACTGGAAACGCCGTTTAAGTAATTCTAAGATGAGACGGTATGTGTTTGGGTGCTATAGACGTCATTCAGAATATAACATGGCGCTACAAAATGGAGGACTGTTTTATGAAGTTAGCATTTTTCGGAGCTTCATAACCCCTTGGTGGGGTCCGATAAATAATACAACTCAATGTTTTAGGACTATATCATGTACAGTGCAAAATCGTAACTAGTGGCCGCAGTGCTACAGCTTTCCTGCTTTATCTATTGCTGAAAAGTAAAACAAAAGCAGTGAATGCTTCTTAAGATGTATCTTTGAGACTGGTAATTCGACAACCTATTTCTATTTATCCCTCCATTCTTTCTTCTCTTTCGACATCACTGCTTCTGTCTTCTTAATGTTGCTATATTATTCTGTATGGTAAATCCTTTGGCCCGATGTTTTCCTAGGTTGGCATTTTAGATAAATAAATGACACAGTCTCAACATTAACGAACTTTCAAGATGATATAACCATTTCATAAATACAGCTTAAGCTTAAGAAATAATAATTCTGGGGTCGTATCTTTCAGGTTGACTGTCAATGGGTAGAGGATAGTTATCCAAACGGATAGTACTGCTAATTGACTGACTGCGACTCATAAATCAGAAGGTATGACTAAATAATTGCCAAAAGTTATCCCTTTCCTCAAAAGTTATTCAACTGATAATGCTTCTTGACTGAAACTATCTTCAAGGTATTTAGCACTGTTAGGCTACTCAGTGTCTAAAGAGTTCCATATACAAACCTTATTGTAACCAACACTGAAGGTAAAGGTGGTACACGAAGCATTGTTTACAGTACCCAACTTCAAGGTAAGCGTTGAATTCATAATCTGTTAAAAACAATTTCTAAAAGAATAAACCAACTGGATAGTTGGAGGTCACTTGATCACAAGCTCTAGACTTAGATTTCGTTCCTGATGATTATCATCAAAAGAGCGTAACTCCAAAGTCGATAAAATTCTATCCCATTAGCTTAGGGTTGGTGTTCTGCAGTTATCGTGCGACTCAGTAATCTGTACATACCGATCCACCGCCTACCTCTACATGCCATGCTTCAAGAAGTTGAATAGAGATAGAAGATGTGTTTATGTGTTTATCCATCAATTTACATGCTACTTTGGAGCTAACTACATTGGACACCATTTGGAAATGTACTGATGAACACAACCAGGTAAGCAAAAACAACATCTCCCATTTACAACAACTTAGTGGAGTCAGGTTGTTCAACTTCCCACCATTTTTCTTTCAGTTAATTTACAGAGTTTCGTTATCAACACCCATATAGAGCCGAAGCACCAGTTATACCTGATCAATTCCTACAATCCGAAGTTTATTTCCACGCTTTGGTCTTATCAATACAGTATGCTTAATTTTATTTCATTTCACTTGGCATAACTCGCTTCAAACAGGGTAATTATTATGAATTCACATTTTTTGACAATACTTGACCCATACGTTTGAAGATCGATTCTTCCTGTTTTAATGACCACTTCTTGGATTTTATCCACTTAAACCAACTTTTCAACACCGTTTTTATCACGTGCATATTGATCGATCAACATTTCTATCGTAAATGTCTTACTTTTAACCTACAACATACGACTGAACAGCTTTATAATAAAACCGTTGACAGATTTCCTCGCTTAAAAAATTTCGTTCTTCATCTTGATTAACAAGCAGCTATACATAATACGATCAACGAAATCAGTTCAAGAGACCCAGAACTACAAATATACCCTTATAAACACATCAAACAAACAGCGTATATCTCCATAGAAATAATCATGTGAACTCATGAATTAACGGCCAACATGAAAATGCGTTTTTATAGCTCATGCCCGGTTACTACTTAAATATGAAGCAGTAGTATGAGTTAAATACTAAAACTTACAGGGAGACGATAATGCTGCCAAAAATTCCACATAGTACTGGAACTGATTTCAACTTCCATTGTAAAAGCATAGTAAAATGTCATTGTTTCATATTCAATATGATTCCCTTCTTTCATTGTAAAACAATTCATAAACTAAGGACAAAAGAAAGAATAAATGGATTGATATTGCTAACAGTAGAATGCATAGTAAATAAAATTGATTCATCATGAGAAGACAAGACAAACAGTAAAATAGAAACCAGCATAACAAGTTCACCATTTCAGGTAGCTATCCTTTACAGTAGTATGCGGAGAAGAAATGAACAGACAAGGAAAATAAAATACACAATCAGAAACTAATTCTTTGTACACGATTCACATTGAACCATTAATGATAGCAAGCTAACACCTCAGCTAGATTAGTTTAACTGGTAATCATAAGTCATTGTCACCTTAAGAGAATTAGGGGAGTAAATCATTAAGATCAGCTGTTTTCTATTTTCCTCAAGTTTTAATCAACATTCTAACTCCCATAGCTTACTCAAAGTGCAAATGGATAGCTGGGAATTAAAAGGATCGGTTGACGTCAGAAGCTACAGGCTCTTCGCTAAAGCTTCATTAAAACTTTGATGCTTAAATTGTTCTATGAGTGGTTCAACTACGACAAGCCTATGATTCCCAAGGTACAAAAAATAACACTGAAATCAATCAAATGGTTCTCGCTGTTAAAAAAAACTTCCTTTTAATTATTCAATGTTCTAATCAGTCATGCGAATCTCTACTCGAGTGTGATTAATTTCTCCACTTAATGTCAACAGATGTTGACAACTTTTTCACAAGTTATGAATTACCATTGATTATATAGTCAGAAAAACCAATCTAGGTATTTTTTTTATCTGTCCCTTCGATTCCTAGTGGAACATAGGGCTTCACTAGCATGTCGCCATTTCACTCTCTTCTATGCAGTCTTTTCAACCTGGCTCCACTGCCCTCACATGATCTCCTCCATGTCACCCTCACCTCGGACGCACAACTAGTCGTTTCCCCTTTGGGTTCCACTTGACGGCATGGCCTAGCCTGGTACGTGATGTCCCCGAATGGTCTTCTCAGAGTATGCCCAACCCATCTGCACTTTCTTCTGCATACTTGTTGAGCGATAGGTTGCTGGTTGGTTCGTTACCAGCCAGCCAGAGTTCCTTGTTGTTTATTCTTATTATTCAGGCCATCTGATCTGATTTTCAATATCGAGCGTAGGAAGCTGTTGATAAACGTCTGTGGATTGTTGGAAATGCTTTTCGTAACGCCCCACCGAGTCTCTCGACCATCACACAGAAGCACTGACTTGACATTCGTGCTGTAAATCCGGATGTTTTTCACGTTTTATGCTGAGTAGAGTGGAGTGTAGTAGATCTCCACACTGATTTCAGATTAATGAAGGCCTGTCTTACTGTCTTTCCGATACTGACTTTGACATCCTCATCTGTACAGACACCACCGCCTGTAGTTGAAACAATGCTGCCTTGACTAAGTGGCAGGTAAAAGTGACTACTGCCTTTACATTTCTCCTGTTCATGGTGTTCATGGTGCTTGTTGTTGTTGGTTGGGTATCTTCATCACCTCTGTCTTTTCTGCATTCACCTGAAAAAGTCCCGTCTTCCTTCGCTGCTCTCCTTCTGTCAACTTGTTAGTTTTCGTCTGTAGATCTTCGAGCTTGTGTGACAAGACATTAGACATAAATCATCACCAGTGAAATCGAAATCGGTGTAGCCAGCATATGCCCATCTTCTCGCTTCTCACAGTTGTCTGTTGCATGATCCAGTCCAGTGCAGTAGACCACAATCAGGAAGATGATCCGTGATAATAGGCTGCCTTGTCTCACTCCTGTCTTCACTTCGCTTCAAAGGTGGTATCACTGAGCTTTCCATTGTGAATCACTTGGCATGTAGCATCCTCATATAGCACAGCATCTAGCTGTTGAGTGAGGTTGATGAATGTTTGTGGCACCAAAACTGCAGTGTTGAAGCAGCTACACCAATAGCCTTCCAAGATTAAAGGAATCAGTGGTTGAGGACTGATTCTTGGTGACATGGCTGAAAATTGGTCAGAGTGGCGTAGATGTATTCACTCTTCGATGTCTTCTAAAACCTGAATATTCGCACAAACCTCTATCTTCGAAATGTTTATTGTTTCGCACAACTTTGTCTACGTTGATGTCACTTTTTTTCTATCCACTTATTCCTTATATATTAATATGAATTGTGCCAACTTGAACTGATGCATCTGTGTGCGAGGTTTTACCTTGGCTTTGTCTGCCTTTCTGTTTATCTGTCGAGGGGACAAGCGTTCCACTAGCATAGCTAGTTGGGTCATTGAGGTATACAAGTTCGACCAACACGTCAAGGTATTGGTCAGCTACGATCAATTTTCAGTTATGCCACCGCATTTTCCCAGTTATTATTTTCAATCGTCTCCAGAACGCTTACTAAGTCAACCAATATTTCTCTAGATATCTCAAACCAACAAAGACAGACTTCATGAATTGTTGTCATATCTTGTTGCAATCAATTTCAGAAAGAATGAAACACAAACGAATAGTGATAAAAGGGAAACTAAGTCGGGGAAAATAGTAAGGCGGCTGAAAAGCATAGGGATAAGTCGAAATTTGATTTCATTAAGTGAACAAATAAGTTGCTACTGGACACAGAAGTTCAGCTATCACTCCTAGAGATCCCTAGAGTTCAGAGTAGAATTTTTTTTGAAAATATTAGGAAGATATTCTGATAAACTTAGTAAATCGAACTGAAAAATCCATCTACAACATGATAGCCACTTAGTATCACGGAAAATCCATTAAATAATCTAACCTATATAACTAATGTGGAAATTGCTAACGAAGCTTGAATGTTTGGCGAATCTTAGTTTTTAATAAATTCCCTCTTCTCTCATACACTGTTGTCTACTTTGATATCAGTCTTTTGTATCCACCACTTGCTCTTTGCATACTATTATGAAGTGTATCAACTTGAACCGATGCACTTTCGTGCGAGGTTACATGTTGATTTTGCCCATATGTCTGATACCACCACTGAATCGTGTTGAAAAGTTATTATCCAAACTTACAAATGATATTTACATTCGTCAGTATGTTTACGTCATGACAACTGACAAGAGACAGTAATTCAAACTACATAGATAGACGTGCTAATCCAGCTTAAATCAATATTTTATTCACCAACTGCTTTTCTGTTACCGTTTTTCCTGATCCTTTTTACCTAATAATTATTTTATAACTGGTAATTTCCGGCTGTTGACTGAACAGAATTAGTCGCATGAGGATGTCTCGATATTGCCGGCAATTTAGTTTCAAAACCTGTGATAGATATTTGCTGGCAGTGGGATGTAGGACGAGTATTTCCATTCAACCAACTATGGGGAATTACAAGCTATTCCATCGAAAATACAAGTATCACATAAGGAATGGCTATCATCACTCTGTGGTCGAGTGGATAAGGATCTGGGGCTTGAAGAAATATGTGCTGCGTCCAAGTCTCAGTAGGAACATCAATCACTGGGAAGCAGGTGCATCCAGCTGAAGAGCTTTAGATAATACGAAACGCACGTCTTGGATTCCACTGATAGTCACTATCCATCATTGATTTCTAATAACTTTACATATGTATTTTAAATTGAATCGATATACTACTTAATCAGATTGTTCATCCGTTGAGCCATAAACACAATCAGATTGCATGTTTCCTCCGGAAGAAGAACGTCAATCAACTAGTCACTATCAACATAAGAAATGAGAATACTGAATTTCGATTCAAGCTATCATGCCCCACATCGGTACATCAAGATAAAAGATAAAAGACAGAGAAATAGAGAAGGAAAATGTATAGTCAAAAGTCGTAGAAGTCATAAGAAGGGAAGAAAGAGTACAACAATAACGAAATTTGATGCGACTATCAGGACGAATACAATATACGGATACATCTCTGGCATTGAGATCGACTCTGTGCCATAATCACATTAAGTCTCCAATCATAGATTACAGTTGTCACGCAGACCCCGAAAGCAAAAGTGCTTCATAATGTCGCTGATGGTATAAGTTAAATGTTTTTAAGGTGATTCACTTCGCATTTGATTCCACTGAAGGATGTTAAATAATTTAGAATCAACATGAGATCTGGAATTACTGTATAGCGGTATAAGTTGTCATACTTCCTATGAGCACATCAAAGTAGAAGGCACCAAGACGAAAGACCGAGACACAGAGAAGGAAGTACTCCAAAAGAATAGAAAGTCATGAAAAGAGAATAAGGAATCACGATAAAGAAATTTGCTGCAACGATTAAAATGACGATAATTTGGGCTTGCATCTGCACCACTGAGATCAGCTTTGAAGCAGATATATCACCTGGAGTCTCTAACTACTGACTACGATTGTCACGCTGATCCAAAACCCACAAGTCTACATTCCTCTACACGACTCACACCAACAAACAAAGTTTTAGGGGGTGATGCCATGTTTTTAACCTGCTCACCCGTAACCTTTTTCCAACTTGAACCCACTTCAGTTCATATTGTGTGACGACGTAGACGGTGATAAGACAGCGTGTCACGTGTTCTTGCCACCTCAATCGATGAAAGTACATAAACTCATCAAGTGAATTTCCTCTCCTCCCCAAATCTGTGCGCCTGATATCGGCGTTGCTGGCGTAACAGTTCCACAACACACCATCTACCCTACGAAGGTAGTGGTGGTCGAACATTTGAACGCTTCATCTATCCCCTCCCACCTTTAATGATCATCCTTCAGAGCCATATAGCAGGACTGATCGAAATAATGCGTAATACACTCGACCCTTAGTAGGTATTTGAATATCAAAGCAGCGCCATAGAAGGCGTAAGTTCTCAAACGTAAGACAAGCCTTATTTATCTGCACAAAGATTTCGTCAGTCACTGACCCATCAAGAGCTGATTCAAATTTCAAGTAAGTGAATTGATCAATGTGTTCAACCGCTTCACTCCCTATAGTTAGGCGAGGTGTTAACACAAACCAGTATTGGAGCAACAACTCGCATTTGGGTGGTGAGCAACACATCCCGAACATTCTTAAATCGTCTCTTTGAAGTGCGCTAAAAAAGCATTTCGCAAACTGCGGAAATAAATGATGGTTCATATCACTTGGATAGAAATAATCTCATACAGACCTACCAGTACTCTCAGTTACTCTTTCTAGTTTAGTGTGACTAGATCAAGATTTGCCACTAATCTATGAATCGAACTGAAATGCATTCAGTAATCTTGTGCACGTCCGTGCAGTAAGCAGTGAGCCACACCTATTGCGTGAAGGCTAATTATACGAACTGGTTGCCCAAACCTTGGTAGGTGGGGTGGTTTTCGAACCCTCGACCCACTGGCTGGAAGTCAACTCTCCTTAACCAATGAGCCACAATCCTATACCAACCTATAAAATCTTTCACTGTAGGTTTGAGTCATGTAAAAAAAGCGCGAGCTACGATAAAAATCAACGGTTAGGAACTCTAAGTGATGTAACTTAAATTCGATTGAGATGACGGGAATGTCTTTTCCCTTTATCGATCTTCAACGTTTTAACTAAATTTCATTTAATTACCCTCATTTCTCCTGCACACTTTCGACTATTTTAATATCGTTCAACTACTGCTCACTTCATCTTTGTGCACTGATGACGAGTGTGGAAAGTTGTTCCAAAGTACGTCTGCGCAAGACTACACGTTGACTTTTCCCTTCATAAGATATGATCATGCGTACATACCGTGGCGAACTGAACTATCGCCTTGCATATATCAGCAAAAACACATTCGTTATCTACCAACCTCTTTGTAAACCTTGACTAATTTACTATTATCTGATAACAATATTATGATCATGCTATCTTGGTCACACCTTATGTTCATATGCAACGGATGATTCATTTGATAAACATGCAACCAAACTGGTTAACTAGAGATTCTGCCTCCTGATCTTCAGTCAGTGGAGAGTTTAACAAGTTACCGCCAGAACATAGTGCCACTAAGTAAAAAAAAAGTCGTAAACAAGTCATCATCATCAATATCAACAAAGGACCAGGATTTACTGCGTAACGGTCCGTAAACAAATACCTATTCGAACGTTTGCACCGACATTTCATTTAACCAAACACCAACGAGGTATCACACAATGAATAGTAGTTGTAAGGTAGATATTAACAATGAAGATCATAATAATAATAATAATAATAATAGTGATGCTGCGAAGGAGTATGAAAACCTCCACTGTGTTACCGAACAAGGAAGGCATAACAAAAGCTTTACGGAGACTTTTCAACAACCTTGGGATTAGAATGGATCCTACTGATCCAATTGAACAAAATAACTTACTTTACAAAATCCCCTTTAATAATTGTGAGGTCAAATACATCGGTCAAAGTAGCCAACCAGGATCAACTGGGCTGTCGAAGGACAAAAAGCTAGCTAAATCAAGTTTGGTCTGTCCTACAAGGATAGGGAATCTCGAGAAAATCTCGGCGATATTTGTGTATGAGTCTGCGAAAAACCATACCACAGGATGAGAAATAGTGACAGTGTTAGTTAGTGTGAGGCAAGCGGCAGAAAGTCCTGCTCGACCTAGGTTTTGTGCTTATTGGCACTCGTCAGTACTGCATATCAGTTATTTTGAAGGAATTTATGTCCTCCCTGAGTTTCAAATGCGCTTCATGTAGTGTTGCAGCCGTTGACGTTACCAGTGAACTACTGAGGCAGCAAGTGCCTTCTTATAGGGCTGGATTACATACATTGATTGGTTGTTCTCCAGTGCACAGTGACAGTCCCTAACTCTCACTCAGTTGGCTTGAGAGAAGGATGGATAACTGAATGTTTGTTTATTGAATTAACACCAAGTATAATTCATTCAGACATATAGAAGATTCTACTATCTCTATCATAAAGGAGGAGAGAAAATTAGAGCTCTACCAACCCCATCTCAAAGTTATGGAGTTACCCCTTAATATGAATATGAAAAGTGAGTTCTGTCCGAAACGTAATCCAGTAAATAATACTGTTTCATTGTTTAATAGACATAATAAACAAACTGAAATGCAGTTGAAATCTACCAGTGTCTAAGTTCTACTCATGTATTAAGCAATAGAGCATTCTTATCGATAACGAGAACTGATTATGCAAACATGTTATGCTGCTATATAAAGAACAGCTGTTCCCTATTTAAACCTGAACAGTAATAATAAATTTCTTACTAATAGGTAGCATTAGCAACCAGGAAGCCCATTTTGTCCTATTCAGAACTCATCAACTGAATGTAACTGCATTTTTGTGGGAGCAGCATCACACACTGGGATGCAGATACATCTAGCCGAAAATTACAAACACGAAGAAACGTGTGACGTGTGTTTCTGCTGAATGCCATCAGCAAGCAAATCATAACGCAATGAATATTATGGCGATATTCAGATATCCGCATCATAGCCGAAATGCCAACAGATATCGATCAATTCGGTCTGATAATATCAACGACAAATCATAGGTGTCAATAAATAACAATAGTAAGACTATTAACTAACACCTTATGAAAACATACCTGCATATATCGTATCAACTTTGTCCATGCACTCAAAAAATCAGCATCTTCTACAAGGATATCAACAATTGATTTATGCGAAACCAGATTGCTTAAATCTGAGACAAATGGCCAAAATACATTATTTTGAATTAATATCCCATCACAACTGAGCACCATATTACTCCTATCGTCCAAACGCTGTAGAAAGTATTTTTATAAAAATACACAAGAATAATATAGGACAATCTAAAGAAGTAATTTTCCGTCAAAGCAAAGTTAATTCAACAATTGTAATATTTAGAGGTAGTAATCATCATGGAGTGACATCAGTTGGGGAACCATCGGAAATCTGGGAGCACTGTCTACTCGCAAAAGCTGACTGATTGGAATGATTGCTTCTCGGGTATTCTAACATCTCAAGTGTATCCAACGAAGAATGCTGTCACATGGTGCGAAATCATCATACAACTCCTACTATGAAAGAATAGGATAGGGCAGGAAAACTGAAAGTAGCAGGATTATCGTGAACGTATTCCGTCGATTCCCCTCAACCGTCTTCTAATCCATAAAATATGTTCATGATGGAAAAACGAAGTATAGAGTATACTCTCGAATACTCGGTTCACAAGGATGTATTGATTGACGTAGAACATAACATAGATGCAGATTGAACAAAACTTATGGAATTCGCTGAAGTTGTTAGGACTACTCAAACATTAGCTATTTATACAATGATGAAATGAAGATTCTAGATTCTAGATGAGGTGGCAGAAGTTGGGAGCCTGTTGTCAAACGTGTTATTCTCAAATGGCTAATAGAGTGAGTGTAATCGTCGATTGCGTAAGCATAACACGGGGTTCACAGATATTCATTATATTGAGTAATAAGATGAAGAATTTCTGAGGAAGTAAGAGTAGGCTTCAAAATAGATTGAAAGACCCGTTGCAGGAAAAACTTGGTTTCGCAAATTATTTTTAAGTTTCTGATGACATCATCAAAACCGCCAAATTCAGCACGCAGTTTCGAAACAATTTTTCGTGTGATCTAATTGAGATTTAGCGACACGTTGGAGATTCCTGTTATTAAAAGGAGGCTTTTATACCCACACAGCGATATATCATACCCTTAAAATCTAAGTCCAGTAAAGTTTGCACTCTAACGATTCTATGACGGGTTGTCACTAGACTATTTTCTAACTTCGAAGAACTAGGAGGACTACATGTTTCGTGTAGCGCGGTTACTCAATAATTACTTGATACCGGATGCAACGTCCGTGTATCAAAGTCGTTCAAAGTGATCAACAAACAAATAAAACCCATCCTTTTGCGCTTTGCTGAAGTAGTTGTAGTTAAGAAACTCATACCTGACTTTTGTATTGAAAAAGAAACAGTCGTCAATCTTGCTTTGCCTTGTTACTTTTGATCTCCCGAATTTGTCATTTCAAAATGTCATGATTATATGGTCATCAACTTTTCGCATTTTCTCTTTCTATCTATTTTGAAGCCTACTCTTACTTCCTCAGAAATTCTTCATCTTATTACTCAATATAATGAATATCTGTGAACCCCGTGTTATGCTTACGCAATCGACGATTACACTCACTCTATTAGCCATTTGAAAATAACACGTTTGACAACAGGCTCCCAACTTCTGCTATCTCATCTAGAATCTAGAATCTTCATTTCATCATTGTATAAATAGCTAATGTTTGAGTAGTCCTAACAACTTCAGCGAATTCCATAAGTTTTGTTCAATCTGCATCTATGTTATGTTCTACGTCAATCAATACATCCTTGTGAACCGAGTATTCGAGAGTATACTCTATACTTCGTTTTTCCATCATGAACATATTTTATGGATTAGAAGGCATTTGAGGAGAATCCACGATATATATGCATGGTGATTGCTACTAATTTTCTTCTTACCTTACTCAATATCAATAAACAGTCGTACACAACTCGTTTAAACAATGAATAACTACCAGTGATACATATAATTAATGAAACTAATAGCAGATATTCCGACCAATTCTTTGAGTTTGTGGCTGAAATGAAGTTCGATATGACGACTAAGATGAAGATAATATATGGACGCACCTCCATTACTCCCACCGATTCTGTAGCAACCATATTGCGTAGAGTCTCCAACTACTGATTTTGGTCGTCACTTTGACCACAACCTACAAGTCTATGCTACTTTATAGAGCTCAGGACAATAGTTACAAACTTCATCCACTGGTTTTGTCTTTTCAACCTCGTGACCTTTAACCTTTTGTCAGCCTTAGTCTACTTCAGGTGACATTTTGTAGTGCGGCAAACGGCCGTTCGGTATGTGTAACACATGTCCTAGCCGCCTCAGTCGATAAACGTTTACGAACTTGTCAATCACCTCGTCTTTTGCTTAAGACTTGATGCCTAACCATCACTTTATTAATGGATTGGTCCCATGACACATGACCAACGCCATGAAGGTGGAAGTGGTCAAAGATCTGAAGCCTTCTCATGGGCATTTTTAACCTTATTGATTCTGTTTCACAATCATTTTAGTAGGATAAAGTCGAGTGCGGCGTAGTACACCCAACTCTCAGTAGGTACTCAGATACCACGTCAGGGCTATAGAAGGTGTAATTTCTCAAAGGCACCATTTTGCGTGCAGAGATTTCGTCAATCAACCACCAAACAGTGTCGACGATGATAATTTGATGTGTCATCTTAAAAACTCTCTTCACTCTCTGTTATGCAGGCTAAAAGCTAAAATAGGAAGGGAAGACAAACCAAACATTGTCTACAAAATAAACTGCAGGAACTGCAAAAAACTACATCGGATAGTGGTCGCCCTCTTCATATCCGTCTACATGAGCATCAACTAGCAGTGAAGCGTCATAACATATCTTCGCTCATATCAATGCATAAGGACAACTATGGATATGAATTCGACTGGGAAAATGTGGAAATCCTGGATAGAAGAAATACAAAGAACGCCAGGGACTTTTTAGAAGCTTGATATTCAGGTCAGTCAATAATCAACAGACATATTGATATTGACCTAATCTATCAACCAATAAGAAACACTAAGAAGGTCAAATTTTAGGTCATCAGGAAAACCAATCAAAATGAACACAGAGACAACGACAAGACCTTGGTAGCAGCAACCAACCGTACACAAGGCATTCATGACAAGCCACTAAATAAATTGTGGAGAGAACCTTACCACTCACTTTTTTCTGAAGTTTGTGCTGATGATGTTGTCTAGGATGACAACCAAAGCTCTACGATAAAATCATTCAGCTCGGAGAACACAACATCAAAGGCAATAATCACTTGTGAATATCTTACACACCGTGAACTTCGCCATTCATCTTTGTTCCTATCGATGTACAGATGTGAAAGATCTATTCGGTGTTGATTTTACTGATGAAATGAGTCAAAATACTTATACTGGACACTGACAGTTTACTGTACACAATTTTAAAATTTAGTACGCACGTAGAAGATCTAGAGCACAGGAAATGAATTCGATTTATCCCACAATGTTCATTTTCTTGCTTTCTAACAGGGATTTTGCAACGTCTAGAAATACAACGGCTTATATTTACAATAACCTCAGTTATTTCCAAAGCTTTCTACAAAAGCATTTGCTACTGATTTTGCTTGTTTAGCAAGTCTGATAGTTACACGTATGATCACATGCCTCTTCTGAAGACTTCGGTGTATATGGATTGGCAATAAAGGATTTCTGGAATCCTCATTTTTTCTGAAGGATCTGAGCAATCATAAGTGCATTCAGCTGACGAGTTCAACATAGAATGAAACGCATATGCTGGGTGATTTCGATCTCAAATGTTGAGAGGTAATCGCCAGGAAACACATCCCATCTATGTTTTGTATCTGACGGTACTCATCAACAAGGCATACCTGCCACGATGAGGAAACTGGTGTTTTTTCGGTGATTCGAACCTGATTCTTTCAGTGCCAAAGAAATTGAGTAAACACCTAAACTATTCTGGTCACAACTAACCCTCCGTAAGACTGGATTATGCACACGAATTGATCACCAGTGAACAACTAATGCAGCAGTCGATCGAGTTTCGCGATGTGGCCACTAAGTGAAGTAATGAGACAATATGGTGTAATATATTAACCAAGGCATCACCTACATGAAAAAAACTGTGACAAACAACTTACAGTGCGACAACATGCAAACATATTTAATAAGCAATGGACAAGTAGATGATGTAGATTCCGCTGTTTAATCACACGTAGCGCTAATTCTTCACCACTGAACAGTTGTACTGATATGTGCACAATTCGATTATTCATCTGTAACGACCATTCAGGTGCAATACGTGCACGTGCAGAAAGCAGTACAGTAGCAGCTATACGCGTATAATGATTAAGATATGATTGTATAAATTCTTCCTATAAGATATATAGGAAAGAAAAAGGATACTTGATAAGAATAAAAATCAAATCAATGATGTAAATCACTTTTCCCCTGAAGCATTTACTTAAGCGGCTAGGGAGTCGCTGAAACGTATAGACTACTGTACAACTATCTCTGACTCGTTTAGGACTTTATAGTGTACATCTATAACATCATAAAGAACGAAGAAGAACACCTTAAAGTCTCGCAACGATCATATTACCATTTAATTACTGAGTTTTCCAGTTCTTCTAAGTGTATGACACAGTATGACGATCATCTAATGTCATTGGTGAGTATTTACTCTTAACTCGGTTTCTTATGAAAACTCAATGAATTTTATCTCAAAGCTAGTAGCTACCAACGAAAACACTGAAGCATTCCGTTTATAATATCATTAATTGTCACTGCTGGCAACAGGGGAGGAAATTCAATAATATATTAATTGATCACTGGAGAGTAACCAAATTCACGTTATCTAGTCCTGACTAGAATTCTATCTATCATATTGTAATATGGTCACCAAGCTGAAATCCACGATGACAGTGCACTTATATAGGTAGATTAGTTGGAGGCGATAGGTAGGAAGCTCTTAACCTAGATTTCTTGCTTTTTAGCACTTGTCAATAAGGAGTATTTTCAACCTCTAGGGAATTGATTTCCCATCTGAGACTCGAACCTGTATCACGCAGTGCTGCAGTCAGACATTACCACTGAGTGATAGTATTGACGTCATTAAGACAATGATTCAAGATTAAAAATATAATCTAAACAAGGTGGTAAGACTAGGTGAACAATCTGGCGGCCTAAGAGTTCACTGGTTGAAGAGACTTTAACGAAATCAGACCCCATGAATTGCTGTTGATTAACATTAGTCGTTTACCACATGACAAGTTAACAGTCAAAGACTTTATATATTAGTTCCATGTTTTTAATAGGTAGTTATGAAACCTTTTTCCATGCTACCATTTCACATGTCGGCATGATGAATGATTTCACAAGTAAGTATACGAAAAATACTCTAACTCAGCACAACGAAATGCACAGAATTTGATGACCAAAAACTACTATGCATATTAATACTCCGAATAAAGGTTGTTTTTCTTACTCCCACTAAATAATCATATTAAACTTGTGTTCACAACAAAACCGGATACTCGCAAGATAAAACTGTATACTTGATACAGGTTGAAGGATTCTTTTTAATAGAGTAGAAAATACCAACAACAGACACTTAGTTTTACAAGTGGTAACCTTCGTTAGTATGATAATTACTGAACCAAACTTATTCGTATTCAGATACATTTCGTTGATACACGCCGACTAAGAGGCTGGGTTCGATCCTTGCTGAGGTCGTGGGTGCATACTGCACAAGAGTCCTCTACTACGACGAAATAGATGTCCAGTGCTGCCAATTTTTCAATAGCCCTTCAACTGATGTCACTCCGTGGTTAAAACTATCTTGAAAATAGATAAATTAGATTATGGATGATTTTAACTCGCTCTACACATAGTAATTATTGGGGAATTCATTTCTTCCAATGGTGACTTTTATTTAACTTATAATTTTCTTTCTTTTTTCTTATACTACTGACCACTTTATTTCTTGTTCAGCTAAAAGTATACACTAATGTACAGTTTCCTATCAATACCTTTCTAGGTCATCAATTACAACTTTAAAGCTTATTAACAACTCTATTCATCTATAGTATCAAAATAACCGACAAATCTTATCTTTTTACTCCCATAAGTTGCTATAGTAAGTACAAAATTTACAATGTAATTAAAATTTGGGGTTATATTTTTAAACCAAATATAAATAAATAATGCAACACTACAACTATATATATATATATATGTTAATTAACTGTTAATCCATTAGATGAGCTTAATATGTTAAGCTTAAAAGCCTAAACCTCTACAGATCGAATTGCATTCGACAACCTAACATACTGATGATTGTACATTGAATACACAATTCAATGAGCCATAGTATCTCTTTCGACTGACATTAGATTTTAAAATGTAACTAGACAGAGGTCAAGTCTCAGTAAGAACATCTTTCATTGTTATGCATTTACAATCAGCTGATGAGTAGCAAATAGAACGGGACATACGAACTAGATTCCACCGCTAACCACCATCAAGTGAATTACTTTACAACAGTTTTGCTCGATGAATAGTAATGTCATCTTGATAGCAAGGCATTTCTGAACAGGTAGAGAGTTCACAGGCATCTGCAACGTAATAAACGTGTCAGAACAATTCATTCTTATCTTAATAAGTTAATTTTCAGATATTTTATATTCATTTATCTTCTGTAGCTTAATGAAGCTTGATGTACTGAACCGACAAACAACTATGCTATAACTCTATCCAAAACTCGAAATGAAATAAGTTGGCAGTACTAACTAACTTCAGAACTGAAGCATTCAATTAATATAAGCTGTAATACTTCGCAAAAGCAATCTACAATTTTACTGGACGTGTAAGTAAGTAAGTAAGTATCTATATAACAGATGCAGGTACATACGGCTGACGAGTTCCAAATAGGACGAAACGCGCGTCATGGGTTCCTCTGCTAGCCATAACTAACTAAATTACCATCTATACAACAGTTATGAAAGACAGTAGGCCCAATAATGATACGAGGAAAAAAACTATAAGAATGATGAATCGACCTTATAAGTAGCCGTCAAAATACAAATGTAAGAGAAAAGATTTGAGCCATTATTGTACAAACAATCATATTCAGACATGATTCACCCCCCTTCTCATTCAGAATAGTCAGAATAGATTCTAACCCAGTGGCTCAATGGTAAGTGTTGACCACGGAACCTGAAGATCGCGGGTTCGTGGGTGCGCACTGTTGAGGAGTCCCACACTAGGACGAAATAGCTGTCCAGTGCTCCCAGGTTTCCTTTGTTCCTCCAACTGATGTCAGTTTACGATGAATAACAACTTGAAATATTTCCAAATCCCCACAACTCCCTCAAAATTAAATAGAAAGGACCTTGAACTCTACAATGAACAAGTTGACCTTTGAACTATTAAATGTTCTGATTAGTTACAGTTAGTTAGTTACTATTATAAAACACTCGACCGATACCAATTGTATGACTAAAAGAATCAATCACAAACAATGTTTTGCTTTTTTTTGTAAACAAAAATAACAATCAATCAGTAAAACTCACTTTGAATGTTTCAACAGCTAACAAACCAATTAAGAATGTGACTAAACTCTCTGGAAAGCGTAATTTTATCGTCGAAAATATGAAAGCATCCAAAAGTGTTTGGTGTACCAAATCTTGATTGCTTATAATGGCTAGATAGATTTTTTTAAAATAAAATGAAATTTACATTTATTTATAATAGTTTCTGATTAATTAAGTAATCTTAAATATCATTTTGACCTCTGAGATATCTATGTGATTTGGCAGACTAGTACGATTGAAGATGAAATGAAAATTTGGACTGCAGCCGGATTCGAACAAGTGACCACCAGGTTTCCGGCTCCACGCTTTACCAACTGAGCTATGAGGTCCGGTGGTCGCTGATTCGAATACGGCCACGGTTCAAATTTTCATTTCACCTGCACTCATCACCCAGTATAATCTTAATTATTTGATATTGACTTAAGTCACAAAACCCTACAAACATAGTTCAAACAAAATAATGCCTACTATATATAATATATAACCTCACCTGGTTAACTAGTTACTAGCCGGTCCTAAGCCCCCATAAAGAGGGAAGGTTGGACATACGGCTAGCAACCATACCACGGAAAACTAATCCTATCGCTAAAGAAACTTCAAATCACAAAGAAATTATAAAAAATAAAAACAAACTTATTCCTAGCTGGGATCGGAGAGACGAAATGATGCCACCCGGTGAAAGCCTTCGGGTAGCCAATTGGTCGATATGTTTCCTCTCACTCTCTCGATGAAAGCGAAAATAAGCATAGGGACATGGAATGTCCGCACCATATATGAACTTAGCAAGGCTGTCCAGATTCCAAAACAGATGACAAGGCATGGCATAGAAGTGCTTGGAATCTGAGAGAAATCTGCAGATGGAATGGAAGTGGACTCTCCAAACTGTCAACTGGATAGTCAATAATCTACTCCGATATTGTCGCCCAGACGACAACTACGAGCACACTGAGTTTTGAAGTGGCTATCATGATGTCCCCCTCCCAAGAACATCGAAGACTCTCTCTCTCTCTCATGCAGTGGGAACCAATCTCCTCCTGCGCGATCAGGATCATGACAGCAAGATGGATTCAACTCAAAAGGAAGTCATAGTCATATAATGCTACGCTATGCACCTACAAATAATGCAGATCAAGAGAAGGAGGAATTCTACAGACAACAGCATTCAGTACAGGACAAGACTACAGTTGACAACATCAAAATTCTGATGGGTGACATGAATGCTAAACTCGGAGTGGACAACACAGGAAGATAACTCATCATGGGTTGAGAAGCACTCGGCGAAGTGATGAACGAAAATAGAGAATTGTTTGCAGATTTCTGCGCATTCAACGATTCGGTGGTTGGAGGCAGTGTGTACAAACACAAGGATATTCACAAGCGACATGCACTTGATTTCACCAGACACCAGGACACACTACACTAAAAATCAGATGGACTTCATCTCAACGTTAAGAAAGTGGAGACAACCTACTGGACACAAGATCAGATCACGAAGACGAGCAGATGTAAGTTCACACTACTCACTATCTAGTGCGAAAAACCAACCTTCAAAATCAAGTTGAAAGCCTACAAAGAAGCTAGTGATAGACCACACTTCAAGTTCAACATCCAGAACAGAAAATGAAGTGAAGGACGAAACTACAAACAACATCTTCATGTCAGCCAGTCATAAGAATAAAATAGAGCAACATCCCTGAAGAAATCTGTGGAACTCTTTGAAAGAGATGTGGAAAGAAAACTGCATAACCGTATTAGAAAGGAATAGGAAACAAGACAAGGAATAGATCTCGACGGACACATGGAAGCTGATAGAGCAGGGAGGGGGAGATGGTGGTGGTGAAGCAGAAGATGAACCAGTGCAACGATGCACAACGACAAGAGGAACTAGATACAACATATAAAACACTACACTGAACAAAGAAGTGAAGAGTGCGCTCAAGGACAAAAGACACTTCTACGATACATTAGCAAGTGAAGCAGAATAGGCTGCAGGCTGCAGGAGAGACCTGACAACACTATATCAAATAACCAGGCTACCATCTGAATACAGATCGACACAGCCGAAACCAGTGAAAGATAATGAAGGAAACTTAGTTACCGAAGGGAGAGGAGAAACAAAGGAAAAAATGGGTCGACCACTTAAAAAAACTCTTGAATCGACCACCACCACCACAATCTGCATCTCGTCCAGAAATACCACCAGCAGCCCAGTCACAGAACTATCAGTGAACACAAGCCCCCCGACAAAATTAGAAGTGAAGTCCTGAATGCCATAAAGTTGATGAAAGCCAGGAAAGCAGCAGGACCAGATTGAATTCAGACAGAAGTACTGAAAATAGATCCAGAGACAACAACAGACACGCTCACACCACTACTGCAGAAGGTTTGCAAGGAAGGAAGGAAAGGTATCTGCCAGATGGAAGAAGGGCTACCTGGTCAAACTCCTAAACAAGGAAGACCTAAGTCTCTGCAAGAACTGGCGCGGAATCATGCTGCTATCCACCCCAAGCAAAATATTAGGCTGCATCATCCTGGAGAGACTAAACAATGCGCTGGATTCAGAATTACAACCGGAACAGGCTGGCTGGCTGCCTTCAGGAAGGACAAATTATGTCCGGACCAAATTCCAACACTATGCTACGCATCATTATAGAACAGAGCGTAGAATGGCAGTCAACAATTCACCTCAACTTCATTGATTTTCAAAAGGCCTTCGACAGCGTCGACCGACAAGTAATTTGGCAGCTGCTTCAACAATACGCTTTTAGTGCCGCAAACCTTTATCAATCTCATTCAGCAGTAATAAGCTACACGATGCTACATGTCAAGTGATTCACAATGGAAAGATCAGTGACGCCTTTGTAGTGAAAACAGGAGTAAGACAAGGTTGCCGCCTACTGTCTCCCATCATCTTCCTGATTGTGGTCGACTGGATCATGCAGCAAACCGCGAGGAGCGATAAGATGGGCATACGCTGGCTGCACCGATGAAAAGACCCCAGAAGAAGATTTGGATTTCGCCAACGATGATGATTTATGTCTAATGTCTTGTCTCACAAACTCGAAGATCTACAGTCAAAAACCGACAAGTTGGCAGAAGAGGCAGCGAAACGGGACTTCAAGTGAACGAACAGATGACAGAGGTGATGAAGACACCCAGTCAATCAAAAAACAACAACAAGCACCGATCATCATGAACAGGAGAAGTGTGAAGTTGTCTTTTTCACTTACCTACTTATCTAGGCAGCATCATCTCAACTACAGTTGGCGGCATAGATGAGGACGTCAATGCCAGGATCGGAAAAGGAAGACAGGCTTTCATTGACTAATCTGAAATCAGTGCGGAGATCGACTGCACTCAGTGTAAAACGTGAACAAGATCCGGATTTTCAACACTAATGTCAAGTCAGTGCTTCCAAGTGATGGTTCAGAAACTTGGCGCCTCACAAAAAGTATTTCCAACAAACTACAGACATACACATCAACAGCTGCCTACGCTCGCTCAATACTGAAGATCGATCAAAAGGCCAGAATAATAAGAATGAGCAACAAGGAACTCTGGCTGGCTGGTAACGAACCAACCAACAACCTATCACCCAACAAATATGCAGAAGAAAGTGGAGATGGATTGTGTTAGGAATACACTGAGAAAGAAGACGGTTTGGGGACATCACACGCCAGATGAGGCCCTCGAGTGGACTGAGCAGTTGTTTCGTTCTGGTTTCGAACTCTTCAATAGTGCGCACCCACGACTATAGTAGGAATCAAACTCATGGCCGTCAACTTTCACGATGAGTGAATTACTACTCAGTCACTGCAGTGGATACAGTGCGACTATTATCCACCTGACTCCCAACTTATTTGACTCCACAGGTCACGACTTCTCATTAGAACTTCAGGAAATCCATCCCAAAGTAAGTCATAATTTTATAATTTTGTATGAAAACTGTCAAGAGTGTATACTCAGGTTCGCTGAAGAGCAAGTTGTGTGCAAATTTAAGCGCATATCTTCTCGTGTGTTCAAAAAGGATTTTCTTTACACTAAACTTACTCTGGTAATATTTATCTTACCCTATGACTAAGGTTGGTTGCCTTTTTTAGTATGATATACCTTACTGTTACGCACTTTTTATGTGACTTCCTACTTTTATTGCTGACATAAAATGCCTTGACAAATAAATGTATGATCAGATCATTCAAAATACATAATACAAATACATCATACTACTCAGATAAACGTTGTGTATATTTAGTATATGATGAGACAGAAATTTATCACTCGCACTTAGATTAATTGTCATAGTTCTAAAAATGTAGACGAATTCGTAATCGTATCGACAATAAAACTACAAGAGAGAGCATGGTAGATTTTGATTATGATATGCATAACTCGTTAGTCAAGCAACAAAAAAAGATTAGTTAGAAATAGTCAGTGACATAGTACAGTGGATTCATAAGTATGAGCTATATTTCTTAATAAATATTGCACCACAAAATAATGATGAAATATGCTTAAGCTGGTTTTCGTTTCGTCCATCTTCTTACATGCAACAACCGATTACAATTTAAATCGATTAAATAGTAACACACGTACCAACAATCGCACTTTGATTCTATCGAACTCAACTTCAAACGATATCGTCTTTTATATTTCACATAATTGTGGTTAGACGTGGAATCAAGTACAACCGTACTTCCACCGAGATTCAAACCTCATACTCATCGCTTCATATACCAAAGCTTCATCCACTACACCACTGAGGCATGAAAGCCACCTCCTGTACAACAGGAATTAGTTACTTATAACGATGAATGTTTAATCATCTGCATAGAAGCCTACATGCCAACCAAGGTCGATAAATTTGATTCAGCATAACGGACGATTAGAGGTATCAATAAATAATATCGTCTTTACTCCCCGTTAATTACTTCAAGTTAACTCCTGATTTTTCATCTTCAGGAAGTATATCTCATCCGTTCTTGTTAACAATCAAACATGAAATGCATCAATTGACGAGTAATTGAAAAGAAAAAACACACTCCACCGCAAAAAGACTGATAAAAAAAATTAACTGACACTGACTGACAAAATCAACCTAGAACCTCACACACAAGCACATCAACTCAACTTGCCACACTTCATAGCAGCATACAAACAACAGGTGGATGGAAAAAGAGTGGTATCAAAGTAGACAAAGTTATGTGAGAGAATAAACAATACAAAGATAACGATTAGTGCAAAAATTCAACCTTTAAAATATGTCAAGGAGTACAAAGAATACATGTGTGTCATTGTGACCGATTTCCAGACATGTCACGGAAATTTCTCACCCACTCATCTCGGAGATCCCAACCAGACAGTCTACATCGCCCCACACAACTCAGACCAACAGTAACAGACTTCATCGCCTGAAAACTGGTCTTCGTTTGGCCACCCTGAACCCTCTTCCATCCGTATTCAAATTCCTCAAGTATGAGGCATCGAGGTATCCAGTGGCTCGGCATGTGCAGTATATGTCTGAGCAATCTCAATCGACTAAAGTTCACAACCTCATCAATCGACTTGCCTGTATTGTCTAGTATCCTTAACCTGACATCAGCATTCCTCATATGGTGATTCCACCAAACGTGAGTGGTGCTACCAAGAAACCTATGATCGAAACCCGATAATCACTTCATATCTTCTACTTTTAACGGCCATGTCTCACAGTCGTACAATAGGATAAGATGGACTGTAGCGCAGATAGTCGGATATCTCGCCAGTCGGCACCACAGTTGAAGAAAGTTGGCAGATGCCAAACGAGCCTTGAGTATTCGAGCTGAGACTTCATCAACAACCAGTCCATTAGAATTGATCCAGCTCCCCAAGTAAGTGAAGTGGTCGATATATTCATCCTACTATGAGCTAAAAAAACTTTCTACAGAGTACCCTCTAATTTAAATAAAACGAATGCAGTTGTTACCAAGCGAAACTGTGATGTTTTTCACTTGACGGAGTCACTAAAATATCCCTGAAGGTTTCAGAATCGAGCACAATGAAAAGTTCCAATTCAGTTAAACGCAACATGGATCGATTAGGAAATCACTCTGAGAATCGAGTCTAAAACATTGTATAGCTTAAACAACTGAGGTATCAGAATAAAAGTCAAAATGTATAAAAAAATTATAATGATTTAATATAATCCAGGGTGGGAAATTACTCACGTGGGAATTCGAATTCAGGATTACTCGATACACTTAACTGATAGTCTTCACAAGCTCTTCGGTTTTCACTTTCTGTTAAAGAAAAAAAATATTCAGTTACAACTAGACCATCTTTGACTTCTGCTTTTATGACACACGCATTTAGCACTCCACTGAGAAGTACACGTATGGACAAAAATTGAGATAAAGATAGGATTGAGAGGAAGAATTGGTTGCCAAATTGTAACCAAGATTAGGATTACGTCATTTAGTGGAAATCGAATCCTGCTGATTAAGAAATGTGGCATGATCAGTAGGTCTTTTGAAAGCACTATTTACGATCACAGCACTTATATGACGTAGGAATCAAGCAAGAGTTATCTGACTGAAAGTTGAAGAAGATAACTAACCCACCTAGTTATACTAACTAATATCATATCTTTATCTATTTTCTTAATAAAAATGAACATCATCAAAAACATATATAACAAAGTGGTTTATGTATTTTCTGCCTCCAATATACATGACATTTATTATGTTTACATGATTTACTGTCTTACAGTATTGCTTTGCATCACCTGAGTAACTTGAGCGAAGAGTTAGAAGACCCTCGTTCGTCATCGATTTGTCTATGAATAATCATCCCTTCCCCGCCGACTCACACGGGACTTAGGAACCAGATTGACTGTCTAACTTTGAACCAGGATATCCTATGACAAATATATTTGGGAGCATTGTTATCCGATAAGATGTCTCGTTTCTGTTTGTATTAACTATCCAGATACTAGTGTGCATGCCATGAGAAAACATTGAGAAACCATTTTATTCACACCAAACCAAACAACCCGCTCGTATGGCTTATACACGAATAAACAAACATGTTTAGTGAGTCGTATATGTTTGCCACGCCATCCATCCAAATCAACATAGGACCAGGCATTACTGTGTAACGGTCCGAGTTGCCACACCTCATATCACCACATCAAGTAAAAAGGCAGTGAGGTGCAAGATGATAAGAAAATTCAGTCTACAGAAATATAAAGTACTCAAAGAGGGAAAGGAAGAATGATAAAGTGGTGAGATTCGGTATAGCGTCGTTAAGATGAGGATAATGTATGTATACATCTGCGCCACTGATATCGCTTCTCAGCCATATCGCCTAGAGTCTCCAACCACTGGCTTCTCTTCTCCCGCCGACCCCAACCACCCAGTCTGCATCGCCCCACATGGTTTAAACCAACAGTCAACGACTTCATACATTGATGTCATGTTTTAGTCTGTCGCCCCACCGCCGGAGCCTTTCCAGCCTCAAGCTACTTCGACCAACTTTGTGTGACGAGACAGACGGCGACTAGACATACATAACATGTATCCCAGCCAGCCATCTCAGTCGATGTTTGCCACTAACTCCTGAACAAATTTCTTTCAAAATAGTTAAATTCCATATACTATAATTTATTGAGACTAATACAATACCTTTGATATATGTTGATAGCTTTTTTTAAAATTATGTCTACGTAATATCAAAACTAAAAAGTTAACCGTTAAACTTACCAAATATTAATTTTTCGTAAACCAACTTATCAATCATAACATCAGCTATCATTTTCTGGGTAACCCACCCGCTAGCATGTAATGCATGAAGAATTGAGATAGCGGATGTATCGTCTTCATTGAAATCTAATCCCTCATTATCTCTTCCATATTCCCAAAGCCAGTATAACAAGGCGGATAAGAAACTTGGAAGTAAACATCTAAGTGGTGCAACCAATTCATCTGGAGGTACTGGGCGATTATGCACTTTATCTGGTCCATGAAAACGACAGAATCTAAAGATGATAAGGAAATAGCGATCAATATAAGCATACTACTATCAAATTGCTTCCCAAGATATTTTCGTGATGGACAATTACAGCTATCGAATATTGCCTGTACTTGTAAAGTTATCGTTCAATTTAAATGTCAAAATATAAAAAAAAGTAATATCTCACCGATAAGCGAGATCTTACTTCGTTTTCACAACCAATCAACATGAACGTATGAAATAACCATCTTGGGATAATAACCACTAGTAATATAACTATAATCTCTAAATGAAATTATCGTCGATGAATTGGTATACATTGCTCTAGAGATATTTAGTACTGCTCTCAAAGTATGGTGAAGATATGTGAAATGAAAATATATTGAGAAATTTCATATTCATGAACTTAGTATTGAATGCAATGTAATCCATATGTGAAGCATGAATTGAAGCCGAGCTTGGTTTGCAAAATCAAACGAATGCAAAATGAAAGTTTAGACATCATTATTGTCATCCACAAGATCAACATAGGAGCAGGCACTACTGAGTAACGGTCCAACTTGCTACACCTCAATACCAGCACATCAAGTAAGAAAGCAATAAAATGAAAGATAGGGGAGGAAAGAAAAATCAGTCAAAGGAAGTAGAAGCAGAAAGTAGTAGGAGAGGAAAATGAAGGATGAGATGAGATTAAGGATAGCGGTTAAGATGAGGATAATGTGTGTATGCGTTTGCGCCACTGACATCGTTTCTGAGCCGACAGGCGAGATATCCGACTATCTATCAAAGGACAAGTATACTGCGCTGCAATCCGTTTTATCCTGTTGTACGACTGTGAGACATGGCCGTTAAAAGTAGAAGATATGAAGTGATTATCGGGTTTCGATCATAGGTTTCTTGGTAGCACCACTCACGTTTGGTGGAATCACCATATGAGGAATGCTGATGTCAGGTTAAGGATACTAGACAATACAGGCAAGTCGATTGATGAGGTTGTGAACTTTAGTCGATTGAGATTGCTCAGACATATACTGCACATGCCGAGCCACTGGATACCTCGATGCCTCATACTTGAGGAATTTGAATACGGATGGAAGAGGGTTCAGGGTGGCCAAACGAAGACCAGTTTTCAGGCGATGAAGTCTGTTACTGTTGGTCTGAGTTGTGTGGGGCGATGTAGACTGTCTGGTTGGGATCTCCGAGATGAGTGGGTGAGAAATTTCCGTGACATGTCTGGAAATCGGTCACAATGACACACATGTATTCTTTGTACTCCTTGACATATTTTAAAGGTTGAATTTTTGCACTAATCGTTATCTTTGTATTGTTTATTCTCTCACATAACTTTGTCTACTTTGATACCACTCTTTTTCCATCCACCTGTTGTTTGTATGCTGCTATGAAGTGTGGCAAGTTGAGTTGATGTGCTTGTGTGTGGGGTTTTAAGTTGATTGTATCTGTCTGCCGGCCGGTGAGATTCCCGAATAACTACCAAAGGACGAGTATACTGCACTGTAGTCTGTACTGTCCTATTATAGGGCCATGAGACATGGCCGTTAAAAGTAGAAGATATGAACACACTACAGGTTGTTGAGCATAAGTGTTTTCATAGCAGAGCCAACGTATAATGCAACCACTAATTAAGGAGTGCGAAAGTTAGGCGAAGGGTACTGGACAGAACAGGTAGGTCAGTAGATAAGGTTGTAGGTCTTCAGCGGCTGAGGTTCTGACCGATAGGTGCTACCATGACGTGGTGACCAGGCTTGCATATCACAATGACCCAACGAGTTATCCTGGTGGAACGCTAGTTGCTTGGAGGTCCTACCATGCCAGAAACGTCTGTTTGTTTGGTGGTAGGACGAAAAGTAGTCACCGTTGTAGTGTAAATTACTACACTATGGTAGGGGTCTGGGGGCGAAATCATGCTGCTGCTAGCTGGATGGGGTGTGTCAGCAGTAGCGTGTTTCTCTTGGATTACCAGTAGTGCCACACTAATGCTGCCTTCTTAACGGAAGGGGGGTTAGGAAAGATCGGATCCGAAAATAACACACTCCACCATGCCTTACTATCTTCCGGTGCCGGCGGTATGGGTCCTCTCGGTTCGGTGATGGAACTACCAAACCTCAAAAGGACACCCACAAAAGACAGTAAGCGACAGGCATCAACTAGATGTTCTATAGGGTCAGTGATCACACAAACCTTTTTCTCTTTCAGAAACCTTAAAAAGAAATAGCTTTCCATGGGGCGTGGGTAGCTGGGAAGTATCAACTGCCTATACGCTCCTAGCAGTACACAAGACCCAATCAAACATAACCTATCTTCCCAAACTCTGTCTCCTTCTTTGTTTTCATCTCCTTATACTAATATTAAGTCTCTTACGCCTTACACAACCTCTCACTCTGCAGCCATTGTTAGTGATCAAAGTCATCGAAATCGCTGAGTGGAGTGACGGAGGTACTAGGTAGTATGTGGCATATGTGGTTCCGCCAGACCTCCATGCTTCACTAATCATCCCAGTCAATAAGAAGGGGGGGAATCTTTTGTGACAACTGTAGGGAAATAGTTTGATTAATGTCGTGTCCAAGATCCTAGGGTCTTAGCTACCTGACGCTTAACTACAGCTTCAGAACAGGAAAGTTGAGAAAACCAGGTTTCAGACAGAGCGGACAAGTGTGTATCGATCATATTTTCACCCTATGACAAGTTACCGAACAAATGCATAGCTCCTGGCGGTCAAAACCTGCCACATTTCTTGACCCGAAGGCGGAATTTGACAGTGACAGTGTCTGATTGTGAAGGGAACGCCGAACAACTATATAACAGTAATCAAAGCTCTCTACTGAAACTTACGCAACCATGTCAGGGCATATGGAAAGTTGTCTTCAGAAATGATGACAACTAGGTGTCCATCAGGGATGTCCACTCTTATCGTTTCCATTAAACTTCGTCACGGACGTTCTAATGGACATAACCCGATCTACTTCTAACTTCACAGGGATCTATTCTTCGGAGGTCATCTGAATAACTTGGAATTTGCGGACGATATTCTCCTGCTGGGTGAAAACGCTGACAAAATGCAAGGTCTTCTGGATACGCTGAGCAGAAATCTGAGTATGCTTAGCATGTGTCTGGCACATGTTAAATGTAAGATGATGCTGCAGTAGTGGTCTGCTGCAAGTACTCCAAGTTTAACGATAGCGGGTGAAGTGGTGGGATGTGTCGACCAATTCACTTACTTCGGAAGTTGCATCATCCCGAATGGGTTGGTTGCTGGAGAAATCTCAGATCTGATACTGAATGCCCGTCTGGTATTTGCCAACTTCCGTCACCTGTAGTGCCAACTGACGAGATATCCGGCTATCTATCACACGACGAGTATATTGGGCTGCAGTCTATTTCATCCTGACGTACGACTGAGACACGGTAGTTAAAAATAGAGGGTATGAAGTGATTATAGGGTTTTGGTCATAGGTATTTTCGTAGCATTGCTCGCGTTTGGTGGAATCACCGTGTGAGGAATGTTGAGGTCAGGTGAAGGGCACTAGACAAGACAGACAAGTTCATGGTACCAGTCGATGAAGTCCCCAACTGTTGGTCTGAGCCGTGTGGAGAGATGTAGACCGCCTGGTTGGCATTTTCAGGACAAAATATATCAGCGGATGAAGACTCCTGGTGACGGCTAGAAATCGGTCGCAGTGTCTTCAGATTGTTTATTCTCTTACACTGATTTATCTACATTGATATCACTCCTTTCTATTTTGCTGTTTATTTTTTACTGCTGTAAAGAGTGGCATCTTAATCCAATGGACCTGTATGAGGTCTTATGTTGATTTTGTCAGTTACTTAGTCAGCTACTGAGGTGGCTTGGTCATGTGTTGTACACTCCGAGCCACTACATGCCTCGACGTGCAGTGCTTGAGGTTGGCTTAGGTAAGATAAAGGAGCAGAACGGCAAGATCAAGACGTGGATGAGGCCTCTGGCTGGTATAAGCCGAGTAAAAACGTACTGACTACCCAACCGGTATCCCCGAGGTTATAGCAATCAACGGCTGCAGCCTATTGATGAAATGGCTGAAAATCGGTCACAATAGTGCAGATGTATTAACTTTTTAGCATCTTCTAAAGCTTAAAAATTATCACTTTAGAATAAAATTGTTGCTCGCAACATACCCCCCTGTTTACTTTGATATGTCTTTTTGTATCTTTCTTTGCATGCTATTGTAAAGTGTGGGGCATACTTTGTCAATAACAAAACAAGGAGTATCAATATACGTATTTTACAACTCTACTTGTTCTATCAAGAAGAAGTACACAAATCAGCTCGAAATACACTTAACAATGTTTTTTTTCCTCAACAAAAAATTGAACATATCACTGGAACTCTGGTCGTTAGCTTTTAATAGCTGGCTACTGATGCAAGGAAACGACAGACTTTGAATTACATAATCACTTAGACACACCAAAACAGTACGAGCATAGCACAAAGACAAACATAACTAAGGAGAATCGTACTTAACCAAGTATGGGTCCACAGTGTAGAGAATTTTTTGGTAATGTCAAAGCCCAAGTCAAAACCGATGGTCGGTTTGAACTCTTGACCAAATAGCAAACAATAAAATTGGCTGCAAACAAGTCTCCAGTGAATGAATGAAAAGTAAAATAGCAGAGTAACGATACACACGTCTATGTTCTACGACGGGAACCACACAACGACTGGTGAGTTGCAGTCTCTGGCTTTCCTGTAACTTTATTCAAACAGCATACTGTCCTATATATCTGTAAAACGTCTCATACCTTGTTTAGATCTACCACTATCGTACTGGAATAAAATCTCTACTTTGAAGTAACGCATTGACTTTTTTTATTTTTGTCAGTTCTTTTGCTACTTGAGGTGAATTCACCTAAGTGAATTTTTTCTCGTATAAAAAGCACTGATATTCTTTTTAGTTACTGACTATTTTCTCTTAATTTTAAAGAGGGAAGACCATTTAATCGATAAACAATCAAATTCCTTATCCTAACTATTGACCTAGTAGGAAACAAGAGGTGATGGTCGACAGAAGAATCTTTTGAAGCAGGTCTCATTGGAAAAAAAACATTACGGTGCACAATCGCTAACTTACCCTGATTCCTTCATTACACAGGCGTCACCACAGTCACAAGCACCACCAGCATGGCTTTTGAACTTATTAAAATCGTGTCCGTCGTGATTACCAGCAGTAAAGCAGGAACTGCAAAGAGACATACTCGGGGACATTCCACAAGTTCTGCAACGGTATGCAAAGTAATTAGTTGTCCACACAAGGCTGCACCTGGCAGAATAATCATATTCTTTCACTGCAAACAGTAAGACATAATGACTGATCGATTCAACAACTTACACTTGCGCCTAAGGTTCTCAAATCCTATTTTTCCCGATATAAGATATTCAAAAAGCTTAGTCATACACAACATTTTGTTTTTAGTCCTGAAGCGGCTGCTGCAAAAGCAGTGAAAGCGAAAAAGCTTCCGAACGGTGGAGTAAACAGGAGTATCGAAGTATCCATTAACACAGGCTTCATGAAATTCGTCTTGAAACTCCTCTTTCGTTAAGTTTAACCTGCTGGAGACATATGTAATAAATTCAGGTGGGTCTTTGAATTCTATTTCATCAATGTCCATCATGTTTAGAAATTTTCGAAAAAACCGCCCTTATATTAAGGCCGTTTGCTTAAAGAATGTGAAGTGAAAAAACGGCTCTAGGCAAATACTAATGTCCAATTTCGAATTGCTAGCTTGAATCAGATTATAGTAAAGATAACGAAACTTGAAACGGTTATGCTACTAGGGGCTATGGTAACTAGAAAGGCGAAACGTATGACAGACCACGGTAACGCTGAGTAGATTTCGTAGTAGAAGTAACAATACATGCAAATTGACATGGAGCTGACTGTATTCAAATGATGTCAAATCAGCTGGTTGTTTGGGCAAGGCTCGTACCCCAACTCCATGGACGCAAACCGAGTCGCTGCACAGCTGTCCGAGCTTTTCCTGAGGCTGCCGATAGATGGCAGTAGGAATTTCGACATTACAGCGACTGAAAACTTGGAGAGAGAAAGGTGTGAATGAAAACAGGTTTTCGTATTTTGAAAGGTGATTCTGCTTGCTTTTCGTCAAGGGTTGCTGCGGTGACCATCCAGTAGGATTTCGCTGTCTGGATGACTTTTATTACTTGGTATCTTGCAAGCCGTCATCAAGTAACGCAACCTGCATCCTCATAGGGTCTTCGATTACATTCCCACAACAATCTTCGTGGCTTGCCTCTGAACTTTCTACAGGTCGCCCACATTTTTTTTCAGGTAAGGTAATGACGTTGTGGACTTGTGAATAAGTTTTTATGTAGTTCTCCCAATGCTCGAGGAAGTTATAGGATGAAGGTACTTAGCTGTCCACGCACAAAGTGGAAAACTGCGTGGGACCTGGGGGCGTTTCCTAGATGACTGGAACTTGTCTCGAGATTGCCAGTCAGTATCAGTTTTTATTCTCAAATCATTCTCCTCGGCAGCGTGGGAAAGATGCCAACGCCTGTGACAGTAGGGCACTATTTGTGAGTCAGAAGTGCGGACAGATATGGCTCGACATCCAGGTGAAATCCCAGTCCATTGTTATTCACCCACCCCCAAAGAGACGTGAGACCACTTTGTAGTGCGCTTGATTCTGCTTTGAACGTTGCAGCTCTCCACGACTCAATGTCGTAAGGCAGAATCAGGGAGCCGGGACTCGATGGAAGGTCAGCCACAAAAGGTGGAAATAGCATGGTGCCTAGAATCGCCTTCAGTGATACGCTAGATAATGACCCTGTCCAAGTAGAGCAAACCCTGCTGATTTTCATCCAGAACTGCTTGCCATCCAAACAGTCCCCTGGCCAGGATAGCACCTGACCGCTGGTAGCTAGCTTTGTTATTTCGTATATGAGAATGCCGCGCGAGACTGTCTAATACCTTGGGATCTCCAATAAAATCACATGAACAGGGGCTTAGAGATCCTAACATCTTGACCAGTTATCACTGGCTGCCAGAATGTCCCAGATGCAGGACCTACCCTTTAGCAAACCGTGTTGGGTGCCATTTAGCGCTCTCCTATCGTCGGAATATTCTTTAACGTGGTTGTCTACCAGGCTCCACGTTGCTTTCAACAACACTGGTAGACTGACGACACTTCAGGTTCTGCCCGTTCTCTCGTTTGAATGTGGGCGAGGAAATGGCATGTTTCCGCTCCTGCGGGGGCATGTGTTTGTTTGCACAGAGGTGAAACAAGTTGCAGACTGGACCATATGATGGACCTGCACCTTGTTCCAGCAGAGACGGTTGAAGGTCAACGCATCAAAAGAATTCTTGTGCCCGGAGCTTTGACAATTTCTCAGAGGCTAAAGCCATGGATAGCTGTGTTCTATGTAGATGCGAAGATCGCTCAGGCAGTTGGTAATTTTGGTCGGATGGCTCAGTACTTATTTGTGTGTTGGAGGTGAGGCTAAACGTTCCAGTAGCCAAAGGTCCATGGAGGTTACCTCCATCCAGATCTTTCGTAATGTGGACCCTCCGGCTAGTAGATTTGCTCTCCGCCATGAACCATTGTCGTCCCTGGAGACCACCCCGCGCTCCTGAGCCAAGTTTGTCTGAAACGAACTCATATCTTCCCGCACCTTGGCGCTGCACCGACTGCCTTCAGCTCTATACTCACCAGGACCTGACTTTTTTCCTGAAAATCCGCATTTATGCTATGGCCTTCTCTCGGCCCTCCAAACGCACCCACCACCATGTTTCAGCTATGAGGCTTACCTCTTGGCTTTCGTTGTCGTCACGAGGACATTTCCGGTGATAGCCCTCTTATTGATGCCTCCCACTGGTGTGTAGTGGCAGGCAGTCGGCAAGGAACCCCACTCCTTGGACAACAATGCCGCTGACGAACACTGGTTCATCGTCGGGTTGTTTGCCTTGCTGCAACAGAAACAAGGGTCATGCCCCTCAAGTGGCAGTTTTTCACTGGCTGTTAGACCTAACACCAATATCCCTTGACCACTGCTGACGAATAGCTTGAACCCAAACTTCTTTAAAAAGATGGTTGCTAGTAACAAGACACTGGTTTTGATGACGCTCCTCTCAACCACCAGTGAATGTCTTCACCAATCTTTTCACCTAGCCCAGCCCTTTGGGTGGCTTTTAGTGGGTTTCGGTCAGACGTGCGTCTTGAAGTCGTGTCATCCTGCTCCGAGTTGATGGTTGGGGCCTTAAAATTCTCCCCTATGAAAACCTGATCACACCTCATGGTTATCACTGCGGATGTAACCTGAATCAGTTGTCCCTTTTGTTCCACACCCCCACAACGGTTCCAACAGACCCTCCCTATTGGTTGCTTAGTATGCCCGACCGTGAAGCGGCACCAGACAGCCTCTGGGCTCCATCAATATAGATTCAGCACCTTGATCACTCCTAGAGTGGTCACTGTCGCACCTCCCGCTTTGTGCCCTCCGTCCATCCTGGACGGCCACTTGCAGTCCATATTCATACCCATGTTCCCAATATCCGATAGCGAACAGTTTTCTGTCAGAACTATGAATTTCGGGGCAAGATTGTTGCAGAGGAACCGTAGCTCCACCATCGTGCCTCCAGGTCTCCCAACACTAATATCACGGCACTTGGGCATACAGCAGCCGAAGTGAAAGACATAAGGGTTTATTCTATTCCTGTTTTAAGGGCTCCAGATACGTTGAGTTCATTGACGAGCAGAACTCTATTGAGTTTCAATGAGAAAAAGGATCTTCACGATAATGCCCAGAGTACAGCGGAAAAGGCAAGAACGAAGGTCAGCGATGCATCGTTAGTGGTAGGGCTTTACTACGAGTAGCATCCCTTGCTCGGAGAAGCCGTGCGGCAGACTCTACTAATGCCCTCATAGCAGTGTTGAACGCCTACTTTGACCTGCCTGGTACATAAGGCCTGCCATCAGGAAGCTGTCAATCGTCTTACAGATCATGGGGAGAGATGGACCGATGAATGGGTCGAAAAGTTAGGTTTCCTGTCCTTTCACCAGGAGAGGATTGCGAGTGATCCAAACGAAGAAATATATTGGGCGATACGGGGGTTGAACTCAAGAAACAGTTGTGCTCTATCTCTGAAAAATGAAGTTTGGAGTGTCGAATGAATTCCATATTTTTAAGTAAGCTAATGGAAAGTCGCTGCACGAGAGCGGTGATTACCTCCTCGGATTACAGGCCACTACTCTTCGCCCCAGGCAATGTCTAGAAATGGGGGAAAGAAAGGGAACTTAAACCATATCTAAAACACGTTATTAAAATCTTACCTACTGTGATTAAGGTAAATCTCTGCCTACAATTAATTTAGAAGCACATGTTCGGCTTTCGTAGCATTCCTTCAAAATTACACACGTATAAATAGTGAAAGGTTGCCCTAAGACTCGACTCCTTGGGAGCTGATCGTCTCGGATTTGAATAACTGGTCTAATTTCTTCTAAGCTTGCTTACTACTTGTCCAGCAAGGCCATGTGACCTACCATGTGCTAATGTGGTGGAACCACTTTCCTTGAGACTAAAAATCGTGAGAAGTGGAAAAGTGAGGTTGTGTTTCGTCTTTTTGACTTAGTTGCTCATTTAATTGCAGATCTTGGATTCGTTCAGGTATTTTGAACTGGGTCATATGATCCCAGTCACCATCCTGGTGAGTCAGCATCTGGCATTGGAGTGTAGGTAAGTCTTTGAGGCTACTCGTCACAGTGCAGTATTTCCCATATCCATTTTTAAGTGAGTAGCCAGCGAACTGCTTCCTGCCTAATGAAGCAACCTGGATAACCACCACAGCAACGGCATCCGAAGCTTTGCCAATTTTTTAGGGTGAGTTTTTCGAGCCCCGAAATCTGACTCCAAGTTTATATTCGCCTCCCGATACATTATAGCCTTTCTACTTATCCCCGACGCTGCTGATCCACCTGCACCAGACAGTGTAAATACCAGGGGTTAACGTGGGGTATGAAGCAGGACGTTGTATTCACAAAACAGCCGGCAAAAATTGCAAATCAGTACAATTAAACAAGTGTTCAACTATGAGTCGGTAAATATTTAAAAAATGCTCTGGGTAAATGCTAAATAAGTCCCTTCTCAGAATACAGATATAGGAAGGAATATATGTGTTCGATGCAAGGTGTCATCTGATAAAGGTACATTCGTCTTGAAGATATTTGAAGGATCCGAGGAGTGCTAAGGATATCTGTTATCAGGATGCAAACTGCTTGGGAGGGTATATGTGTGTTAATGAAATGTCTGGTAATCGAAATGCCAAAATAGCTTTGTCAAAGTGATAATATATCGGGAGGAAAAAAAGCCAAAATCGCGATACTGGTAATGTTGTTGTGAATCACTAGTTTGGAAATAAAAGAAATGGTTCGGGGGTCCACGCGGCTACGCGGATATGTTGTTTTGTGAAAAATTCTGGCAAAATCGTAAATGTTTGATTGCGTTTCAATCAGGTAGTGAACAAAAACAATAATACTGTTACCAGTAGACTGGCTTTATCAGAAATAAATTGTCTGAAAGTAACGTTGTGGTAAAAAGACTCCTCTTTCAAACCTTGTGGTCCTGTTACGGTCACTAGTTGCAGGCGATCCCGACGCCGTTGTTTCCGGTTTGACGGCGGTTTCCTGTGTTCGCCACTGC